AAGGAAAGCCCGAGGAAGTGGAATACCTTGTTAAATGGGAGGGTTACGATGAGGGCTTCAATTCGTGGGTGGGATGGAGAGGAATGGCAGGGTCCTTGGAGCTCCTGAAACAGTGGCATAAGAGACACACCAGAAAACGTCAGCCGAAGCGGAGCCACTGGGAACTATTGGAAAAGCAGGCAGAGGACGACGAGGAAGAAGCAACGGAACCAACAAAGGGAACGGGGAGCGGGGAAGGAGAACAAGGAGGGAAGGGGGGAAGAACCAGACCAACAATTTAACGATTTACGACAAGACCACACGACACGACGAGCACTACGATTGCTATGATTGCCCTCACAATTCTCATTTTCGTCTTTGAATCATTTTCCGTTTCGTCAACATCACGCAACTCACTAATAGGGTCAGAAATAAAAACACAAAAAAACCAGTTAATATTTGGGAAGAAGGGGAGGTATAGGACAAGCACGATCAAGAACAGTATAAAAAGGAATACAGGGTCTAAACTACGCTGAATTGGGCTCCTGCTTCACTACCGACATTTCTCCCATCCGGACAAGAAATTCCTCCCGCGATTCGTACAACTCATCGTCGTCCTCCCCAGTCAAGTCAATGGTCTCCCGAGGAACGTCAGGAGCCGGGGCTGAAGGAGGGATGGAGGAAGGAGAATGGGGGGAGGGAGGCGTCGGGGACCCAGGCAAGAACAGGGGAGTCCCACTCCTTATGGGAGCATTTGTACCTGAGACAGGAGGGTCTTCCGGGATAGGCGGAGGGGCGGTCGCCTCAACAGACACACCAGGGTTCGGAACCTCTTCCGCAGGCGGGGCAACAAAGGAAGGAACGGGGTAACCCAGTACCTCGCTGACGTAGTTCGCAATCATACGCTCCCAATCCAGCATTATAGAATCCATAGAAGGGACTGCGGGAATGTGGTCGGAAAGGGGAGTTTGAGGAAAGGGGATGGGGTGACCAAAAGAGAACATCCGACGATGAAGAGGAGGTTCCAATGAACCGGGAGGGGCATCCACATACCCTGCATGCTGAGCGGCAGTCAAGAAAGCGTCGTCTGAAGAAAACCGGGAGTGAGAAAACATCTCCTGGTACAGACCGTCGACACGATCAGCTGCGTTGGAGTAGTAATATAACAAACTGCTGGTCGAGCGAAGGTGCAATTCGCCATGCGTGAGGCGACCCTGGGAGAGGTAGTCCAATGCCAATTCAACCACGGGGCGCATTTGTTCGGGAGGATGGGTGAGGCCACGAGAAAGGAGCGCAACGACTGCCTCGATAAGACCCCCCACATACGTATTGTGGTAGTGAAGGAGATTGGCGGGGTCAGCAACGTACAATCTGTGGGCAAAGGTGGCAAGACGCCGTACCAATGCTTCGGATTCGTTCAACCTGTCCTGCATGGAAGAGAGGGAAGGCAAATCAATCTCGTACAGACCCTCATCCTCAGGGTACTGTCGGATTAGTCCCTCCGCGCTGTGAGCACGATTCCGGTAACGTCGAACGGACTCCTCTAGCTTCTCCATACGATCCCTAAGCCGCATTGCACGGGCGTTCGCAACGTCGAGTTCCTCATGCACCTCGAAAGAACGTTTATCAATGGCAGCTAGCTGCTCACGAAGCCGTGCAATCTCCTGCTTCTGGTTAACGGCAACCTCCCGATAACCCCCAACCGCCGCCTGGGAAACCAAGAAGCGGGTCAGTACGTCCTAAAGTAAGACTAAATCAGCAAGGACACCGAGAGGAGGATGGAACGACCACTTACATCGGAAGACGAGCCCGGCAACTCTGCCTCAATAGCCCGAAACTGAGTCAAAATCCGCTGGTACTCTACACGATCGGCCGAAACCTCTTGTAAGGCCCGACGACTCGACTCAAGCTCCTTGCTACGATCATCCAACGAAGAGGAGGTATCGCGAAGCAGGGAGGTAAGAGTGGCGTTCTCAGTACGAGATACCTCCAGAAGCCGCCGGAGCTCTGTTACCTCGGATTTCAGGTTCTCGTTTTCGGTCTTCAAGCTCATAGTGAGCTGTGACCGAGGATAAGGGCGCAGTGCCTCGCGATTACGCTGGGGGAAAGGCATGAATCTTAGTTCGGAGCACAAAGGAGAACAAGAAAGAAGAAGGACTCACTTGCGGAAATGGGGGGCTTTTTAACCGATCCCTAGGAACGGTAGCGGTCAGGGTCGGGGGGACGAACTGACCAAACGAACCAGGCTGAGCCGGTCGAACCCCGTAGGAGGTGTCGACACGAGGCGGAGAAGGCACAGGGACCACAGGAGACGGCAACAGAGAAGCCTCGTGAGGAGAGCTCCCAGGACCGGGAGTAAGCGGCTCCACAACTTCTGGACGACCCCTAGCCTGAGGAGGGAGCACCAGAACCACACGGCGGTAGTCAGGAGCAGTACCCACCCCCAGATCCTGCTCCCCAGAACGCGTACGCTTCGAGGAGGATACCTCATCTACCCTTGCTGCGCGTTTCCTCTTCTTTGGAACCAAGGAGGCCTTGGCAGGAACCGGAGAGCTAGGTGGGTTGGAGGGAACCGGCTCCGTAGCGGTGGAAAGCTTCGGCTGCCGACGAATGAAGTCCTGCAACGCAAGGTGGTCCTCCTCGAGCCGATCCTGATCATCGAGGGGACTCAATTCTAAGAGGGCTCGAGTGGAGCTCGTACTGGACTCTATCTTCTCGGCGATAATCTTCCATTGCTCTGGAAGAAGGGAAAACCGAGTGCGTTGACCGGGATCCCCGTGGACTTCCAAAAACCTACGTGCAAAAGACAAGTCGCGGGAGCATTTACGAGCAAAATAACGGAACCTCGCCAAACGCCCCAGAATGCACGGCTTCTTATCGTCACAATTGCTACAGCGAGCCAGATGTGGAACGACAGAGCAACTCTCCGACTTCTTGCTGCGTACACAAAAGGAACAGGGGAGACCAGCAGCAGCAAGGATGGGCCATAAAGGATCATCGAGTATGTACCGCGCCAGAGAAACACCTACGCCAAAAACCGACTTGAACAGAGTTAAATGCCCCAGAGGGGGATCTTCTATGGTGCTTGTAAGTTCGTCAAGGTCGTTTTCACCAGTCGCAGAGGGAGGAGGGGAAGGAGAGGGAGGTATGGGCATTGGTGGAGCTACAACACGGGAAGTGGATCCAACAGCAGTGGAGGGTGTAGACATCGCAATCGAGTTGAACTCTGAAAATCGATGAAGGGGGCGGTAGGAAGAAAGAAGGAACTGGAAAAGGAACTTGTAAACGAAAAAATTCAAAGCCACGTGAAAGGCACGTGACTGATCCGACACAACCTCCTCGGAGGCTCGGAGGATTAGACGGGGGGTAATGTCATGCGCTGGCTCCAAGCCACAACGCAGTACTCCTCCCTTCGTATCCCCAGTAACACCCCGAACCTCCCTCTTGCCTCATGGAAACCTCCCCTCCCTCCCTAGACGCCATCTCGAAACCTCCTCAAACCGTATCCGAGAACCCGATACCTACACAACCGCCACCGCTTGACAGACCCGGGAACTCGTCCACGCACCCATCAGCCTATTCTCATATATCTTAGATCATCCCCTTTAGATGTCCACTTCACACAATGTTCCCCTGATCCTTTCCTCCTGTCTATATAAGTACTCGTACATCCTAAGGATCCCCAGCTTGGTATATTTTGAACACACACCCTTTACATAGGTCCAGTCCCTGTCCCTTTGTACCTGCTACCTATACGGAATTCTCTCTACTCTCTGTCTCTCTACTTCTGTTTCTCTCTACTACTGTCTATCGTCTCTCTGATCGTCTATACGATCGAATATACGCTTTTACTTCAAGTCTAAGCCTTCCGAGTGAGTCTCCGAGCTCCCTCGAACATTACTAAAGCTCCCCAACGCCTACCCGCTTGGTGAGCTACCCTTCCCCAAACCTCCCAGAGCTCCCTAGCTACTTCGTAAGCTTCGGGACCTCAGTCTAGGTAACGTCGAAGCTACCCCTCACGTCGAACTACGTATTGCTTCTCCGTTACCACCTCCCACACTCGAGGACGACCATCCTCAACCCCAGCCCCCAGGGACCTACCCTCCCTGGCGTATCCCTTCTCGGGAGCTTACACCCTCGAGCCCCAGTTGCATAAACTACCTACTCGATCCTATATTGACGTTCTAGCGAGTACAACTCCTACTACGCAATATCGTACGGTCCCGCACTCTTCCTGAACCTCCCTACGCATTAGGGACCTCCCTGGACCTCCTAGGAACCCCACAAGGGTCACCATCTCGTCGTTCCAACCACTACTAGGTCATTCCCGTCCTCGGTCGCGGTTCCCGTAGCTCCCTTCGAGCTCCAGCCTGCTCCTAGCACGCTACAACATAAACCTTCGCATACCAAAACCTACCCTAAGACCCATTTTGACCCAGGTCTTACAGTGGGACAGTAGTGAAGTTATTAACAACACCGCCGTTACGCCGTTAGTCCCCGGAGAGCGAGAGTAGAGAGGGAGGAGCTAAGTAGCAGCCAGGTCGGAGCGGCAGTATTGCCGATGACGAGGAGCGAACCAGAGGACGTCTAAGTCCTAGGGTTATAGTAGAGAGTACTCCAAGGCGTTGAGCCTGAAGACTTAGAGAAGAGTTGAGTTGAGAAGGGAGATCTAAGTTGATCTAAGTTGATAATTAAACTGAGGAACTACAGTAGCGTACAGGCAGTATTTATATCTACGGAACGGCGCATCGGTGCGGAGCGCTAGACTAACTACTAGGAGCTATACGAGTAGTACCTGCAGGGTAGAGTAAAAGACAATAAGGAGAGACTAGAACGAAAGAGTAAAAGACAATAATGAGAGACTAGAACGAAAGGATATGTGTAGCGAGAAAGAACAATAGGAAGAGATTACAATAAGAGCAGATCTTCGGAGTACCGAGCGGCGGAATGGAGGCCCGCGGCATGGACTTGACAGTGTTAAACTCACCTCTCAAGAAGTGAAGCCCTTCGCTCGGACATTCATGGCCGCAATCAATCAGCTTTACCACCATCGGCTTGCACCCTCGAATTCCAGTAACCTCACCATGGAAGCGAGACGCTATATTACGAACACACTGCTCAGTACACACATCGAATTCAGATTTGCTCAAGATGAATGGAAAGTACGGCGATACATAACCCATAAGTACCCTGAATGGAATGCAAAGGATAAAACAAAGCTTACCCGTGCGTAATGTGTCCTCCAGCCGATATTGTATACTCAGTCCATTTTTTGTAGGTGGAATTCCCTCTATCAATAACTCTGGTAAACGCAAGGGTGATGAGATGTTGAAGAAAGAAAAGAAGAAATTAAGAACTGGAAAAGATAAGAATGCACCTCCGCTAGGCACAGAGATCATCGACCTAGACAACGATGAACTGATTGCAACACCAATAACCTCGGAAAAAGCTCAACCCACTTCAATTAGCAACTCAGTTCCTCAGTCGAGCCATCTCCAATCATCTGTCTCAAGTTTGTCTCCTCAGTTGAGCTTTCTTCAATCCTCTGTATCTGCCTCATCTTCTGCACCTGCTCGATCTACTGCTATTTATGCGGCCTCCATTTCTGTGGTAGCAACTTCCACTGCTCTTCTCTCGGATTCAACAAGTCTTGACAAAGTGATGGCCCCAAGCTTCAATGCCGTACCCTCTACAGCTATCTTGACCAGCAGCGAACATGCCCCATCTCCAATTGCACCCATCGAAGGTGACAAATCGCTGCCTGTGGGTGAACCTAACAAGGCTGTGAATTCAGTGGCTACATCAACCAATGGCGACCCAGCCCCACCTGAAACCGTGCTTATTGATGACAGCGGTGGAATTATCACAGCTTCAGATGAGCTATCATCTGCTCGGCGTTGTGTGAGTTCTCGTGATTCACTGTCCTTCATATTTCTGATACAGTTTCCTCCCTTTCCTTCATAGATTAATCCTTTGTAAGTCTTCATGCACTGTAATTCATTCAGAATTAAGTTTTGCTCATTTACTCAGGGCGGGTCTCACTATTCCATCAACTATATCACTTTTGCAAGCTCCTCCATCTCCGTCATCAAATCCTCTGACTACGATCTCAACTACTACGGCTCCAAAGCCAAAGAAGTTTGCCAGTGTTTCACCAAACCTGTTCAGTGCACGGTATTCATCCTTGTCCATTATAGGCAATTGTCATATACTGATCTTGACATTATAGGAATATGTATCTCAAAGAATACTTGGCCAATTCAGCAAATGTGCGGCTAACAACTGACGAATTCAAATGCATTTGGGATCAGAAGAAGAAGGACCCAGTCCTTGTCAAGGCAAGTACCATTACCTCATCTCCTTGGCCTTGAAATTCACTGATCCGCCATGTCAGAAATACACAGAAATTGGGAAGAATTGTAAATTGGGAATTTCGAGCGCCAGAGACAATGACAAGAACTAAAAGTAAGCTACTCTTATCACTTCATACTCTTTCAGTATATCTGATGCCAGTTCTCTATTAGCTTCGGTATTATACGTATTCAGTTCCACCATTCAGATTGACCCAGATATATATAGATGTGTATCGTAGTATAATGATCCAGATGTCACCAGAAATAGGTGGCTATTACTAGATATGTCCAGAAATCAACCCAGTACGATCTAGTTTTCCGCTGGAAAGGCAATAAAAACTGGACCGATACAGGCCTATCTAGCTAATTCTGAAACTGAGGATTTTCCAGTTAGACGCAGTTATTTCCAGATATATTTGGACCAGCCCAGAGCCGGTTTTGACTGGGAGTAAACACTAGTGACGGACCAACTTTTCCCGGCCGGGAAATATAAAGGGAAATGTTGGGGAGAAATTGTTGATTTCCCCTAAGTAATTAAATACTTTTCCCTGAGGATATTGATCAGATTTCACGTAAAGAAACAAGAAAATTTCCCGTTTGATCAATATTCTATTGATCGCGAGAGAAATTTTGTATTTCCCACAGGAGAAAGATATTCTTTCCCATAAAGTAAAGATAATCTTTCGCATTAGGTAAAGATAATCTTTTGCGTTAGGTAAATTTCACATTGCGCGCTTGTAAAATTTTCAATTTTACCATGGCGAAAACAAATAGGTCCAAGCACACCAAGCGTCTATGTGTGCTTGTAATATAGCCGCTCAAAGCTAGCAGTACTACAACTAAAGCGATTGCCTTATAATCGATTTATTAGCCATGGCATGGAAAGGGAAAGCATTTGAAAACATCTTTGGTATTGAAAGACGTCGAGCAGCATCTTCCAATCTTGACATTACGCAGGATCCTGCAACTAATAGGTGCCACTTAAGATGGGTGCTTGGACCTATTTGTTTTCGCCATGGTAAAATTGAAAATTTTACAAGCGCGCAATGTGAAATTTACCTAACGCAAAAGATTATCTTTACCTAATGCGAAAGATTATCTTTACTTTATGGGAAAGAATATCTTTCTCCTGTGGGAAATACAAAATTTCTCTCGCGATCAATAGAATATTGATCAAACGGGAAATTTTCTTGTTTCTTTACGTGAAATCTGATCAATATCCTCGGGGAAAAGTATTTAATTACTTAGGGGAAATCAACAATTTCTCCCCAACATTTCTGTTAAGATTATGCAGAGAGGTCTTAATACATGTGGTATATATAGTCCCAACCACCTATGACAATTATCCTGTCATAGTAGCCTTTTGGCTCAGTTGGATTTTGTGTTAGTGGTTGGGCATGAATTTCACAGTATGACAGGATCCACAAGGTCACCGGTTCAAACCGGGCTGCTCTCAGTTTACCTCTTAGGCAGCTCTTTGATCAGGTGGCTTAAAGGGCCTGGGAAACCCTTGGGGCTGTGCTGTACATTAAGCATGTGACCTGTTGAAGTGGCAATTTCGGAGTTTCATCTCCATTTGGGTGATTTCTTCTCACCAATTCTGGGACTTCCATGTCCAATCTTTCGGGTCTTCCATGGCCAATTCAATTGCACTTCAAGGGTTCAGTGCCTAAAGGGGGGGCACTGTTAAGATTATGCAGAGAGGTCTTAATACATGTGGTATATATAGTCCCAACCACCTATGACAATTATCCTGTCATAGTAGCCTTTTGGCTCAGTTGGATTTTGTGTTAGTGGTTGGGCATGAATTTCACAATTTCCCTTTATATTTCCCGGCCGGGAAAAGCTGGTCCGTCACTTGTGAAAGCGACCGAGGGACCAGCAGGGTCTGAACTTGGCACAATTATCATGCATGGATCGCCCCTTCGGGCAACATTCGGTAACATTCCGAGATATTCTCTGAAGCTATGTATATCCCCCCATCCGAGCCCTGAGACCTGGTCTCTAGAACGTTTTGTAGTACCGTGCACTCCAAATCCAATCCAACTTGACTTTCGCTTAAGCTATCTTTACCTACATACCACGACGGTCACTTCACACATCATTCTCACCGCCGTTCTGGCTGCCGGGACCGACGTACTCGCTATCCCCATTGTCTCCATGGGCGGCACCCTTCCTCCTCCTTCTAAATGTTGGATAATTGAGAGGAGTCAAAATAGCGGAATGTTTCGGGACATGCTTGGTCCATTTCTTCTTGCGCGCAGCCAAGCTTGCATCTTCCTCGATGTTTCTCACCATAAATCTGGAGCTGAAGGCCTGATGGACTGACGGACTGACGATTCATTTGGCCAATTCAAACTTTTGATGCTGTGACGGCTACTTGCTGCGTGGAAGAAAAGGAGATGGCATGTCGATGAATCTTCAAACAATGAATAGATAGATAGTATGTCGCAGGCATGACCGTTTGTTATCTACTTATTGATCTTTTAAATAAGCAGAATCTGGATTCCCTGAATTTCTCTTAGCGTTCACATCCTTCTCTTTCGCTACTACTTACTGTAAGCTTCTATAAGGGCCTTCTTCACCGCTGTGCACATTCTGACTCACACGGTTATCTTAACGAACAACAAGTACACACATATATTGCATCGAGCGATGAAAGGTGGCGTATTGAGTACACTGTAAGTAATGAGGCTGTCCAAGATCAGCCAAGATGTCATCGTCATCTCCAGGCTCCCCTGCAAAAACTGCAATTGGTGAAGGGTTTTTGTTTCAACTCGGTTGTTGTCTGTCTGGAGGGATCATCGACCGAAGCCGAAGGGATAGGTTGGAAGAAAGGAGTATGTGAGACCAGTCTCAGTCTGAGGTAATGCCGTCTTGGTCCTTTTCTCTCTGTGCGTTTTTGCGTTACCGATTCTACAGCCGCTTACTACAACATCTCTGAGTAGACACTCCTGTTTATTAAAATGCTTGATATACCGACTGCCTCCGATTCCCTTGAAAGCCGTCCTGAATTTCAGCCAAGTTGTCTTCTTCACAATCTTCCACCTGCCGCAAAAATGTTCATCGATTATCCCAACGAATCTCATGCATATGAGCAGATATGAGCTTATTCAGAGCGACAGAAGAACTAGCAAAGATGGTAGCCGAGTCGGATTTGAACTGGGCATCATGGATCATCATCGTCCCCATCTTTTTTTCCAGTCTCGAACTCTCCTCCCCCATTTCCTCCCCTCCCAACCACTTACCTTCAGCGTGACTTCTGGAAAATTCCAATTGGATTCCTGACAGCAGCAATACAATGTGGTCAAGTTCATCAGCTAGTTCCAGCCTGGGTCCCGCCATCACTGCGAGTGGCCTCAGTATATCTGGCATCCAAGGTGGATTTTCCATCGACTCCTCCAAAATCCGCTGACAGTCTTTTGCTTTTCTCCATAACACGCCTGAAGGTTCGTCAGTCGACACCTCTCAACCGCTCGGTTAATTCATCCTTCAGATTCTTAGCGTATATCACGCATACGAGTGCTCAGAATCCAGAGCGACAGACTGCGACAGAGTGACCAGAAGACAAGGTAGCCGAATCGGACCTGAATACCATGCTGAGCAGCTTGAACCATCATCACCCCCAATCACCCCCATCCTCCCCTTGCAACCGCTCGCTTCCAGTTGCGCGTCCTTCCGAAAACTTCCAAAATAGTATAAGAGAACAACAGTTCCCCCAGTTCATATACTTAGAGCTGGACTCCTAAAATTTTAGTGCCGTGCACATCCGATATCCACTCCATCTTCATTCAAGCTCTTTCCACCCACTCCAAATCTCTCTGACATTCACGATGGTCAATTCATGCTCTATTCTCACTGCCCTTCTCGTCGTCGGGACTGTTGTACTCGCTGTCCCTATCGTCCCTGAGGGTATTGCCAGTACTGGGATGTCTGAAGGCAGTACGTATCTGTACGGTTACCTTACTATGACAAGCTCTGACTTTCTGAGGTTTTGGAAGTAGTCGGATTTCAGCCAAGAAGCAGAAGCATGGATCCAGGATACAGCGAACCCGGTCTCCCAATCAGAACGAGGCAGCATGATGATATTTCACGAGGACCCCCAGCTGCTGAAGGCAGGCCTGGTCCACAACCATCAAGGTCATTTCAACGTCGTGATCCCAAAGGCATAGCTCGTTCCATTCAACTATACAATTCTCAATCTCATTCCGCTTGCTAAAATTCACTAGATCAGGAAATGCTGGACTACGTCAAGAAGTACCCAGTACTTCCCCCGAAATACAAACAGATAGTGGAACAAGTTGACCATATGATGCATACAGGAAAATCCGATTCTCATCCAGACAAAACGACTGCTGCTTTTCAAAATATCCTCAAAGTAGGCTCCATGTACGAACTTATCAAGATGTACATAGAGCAGAATGGTACGTCTCCCTTAATTCAATCATTTCTGGGGGTTCTACTCATATTCTGTTTTCTAGGTCCGAGTGGGACTAGTCCTATAAAACTGGAAAGAATTCGTGGCGGTTTTGAGAGAGGGGAAGATTTGGATGTACTCGCACGTATAGCAAATACACCAAACTCGGAATAAATTGGAGGAATTGCCCTGTACGTGGAGATCTTCCTTTCAGGGATGAGTCTAAGATTTCCATTGATGTATGAGTTCGATATCCAGATACAACGTAGTTTAATCTGAAATCAACTTTGGATTCTGGAGTTCAAGATCTGTCGTGTTTATCCCGTCCAGAAGCAGCATTTTGAAAGAGAGCCCAGAGGGCTGTAAGCATTGAAATACTGAAGGGGTGTTGGAGAGGTATCATGGACCTATGTATGGAGAGGGTCTCGGAGAGAGTTCCCAGTTGTCCAGGAATGTCTGGATCGTTTCTTGGACAAATAACAACAAACCATTGTCTAAAGCTTTGATGAGTCTCTTTCCTCCACACCACCGCTCTCAAACCCCCGGTAGAGACAGTAGGCAAAGGTGTTGTTACTACAAAATGAGCCCAAGGAATGGTAGACAATCCACAGTGTCTACACGGCATTGAACAAGTTTTGCAGCTTCCGGGATGCTTTCTGACCGGCACTAACAAGAAGAGACAAGAAGTGTATAATATTGCCCGGCACAGTACGGCAATTGTTTCCCTCATCTCTTCAGGGTGCTCTCGAACTCCTTGCCATAGCTTGCCATCGTATTGTCTGCAACCAGCTCAAGCAATATTGAGCCTTGGAAGACAATGGTTCCCGTCACCGCTGCGAGTGGCCTCAGTATATGTGTTGTCCAAGGATAGGATAGGATAGGATATGAATTATACTGGCGAGGTCCGATTCCCGAACAACCAGTTTACCATGTACTGTACAATATTACATGATGTTGTACAATAATGGAACACACATATCTAATACAGGGGGGCGATTATGATCATCCATGTCCTGGTTATTGAAGGGAAAAGCGGAAAAAAACCCCTCCCATGGTATCATGAATTACACGGTCTTCCCTGCCTCAATATGCATGCAGTGTGTCACTCCAGCCAATATATTTCAACTGCATAGAATACTTCCAACACCTCATGCACATACTTTGCCAGCAACCCCACAACCCTCTTATCTGCCAGTAACTCCCTAAAGAGCTCCCATCCATCCCCATAGTGCCTTGCAAAATGGGGTATCTCCTGTATTACCCTTTGCATAAAGGCTTTCCTCAGCTGTATGACCTTGCAGCTGTTGCTGCATTCAAACAAAACATGTGCCCCATCTTCCACTTTTTCCCTACACATTCTACACAGTCTTTTATCATGCTGCAAGGTGAATCTTTCATTGACTTCTCCAAAATCAGCTGATAGTCTTTTACTTCTCTAGACTCTCAATAACACGTCTGAAGATATTACTCTTGCTTTCATAACTATTCACTCCCGAAGAGGATAAGGGTTCATCAGTCGACACCTCATCAATCACTCACTTACTTCATCCTTCAGAATCTTAACAAAGCATGACAGGTCCCTCGCTGAGCCATATTATTTTTTTCGAAACCGAAGATGCGTAAGTAGACGTTGGTCAATCACTATTCTTACGCCAAGGTTTTTTACAAGTGTAGCTCAAGAGGTGAACCAAATTGATGGAGTTTTATTATGTATTTCTAACTCTAACAGTTCAATCCATTTCAACTGTGTGTATGCATATAATACTGCTCCATATATGTTAATGAGACTGTCTGGCAAACTTGGAATCAGAGGGGGATGTCCAAAGCTACACGGCTGGTTCATGCATTTCATTCCCCGAACCAGTTGATACTTATCTCTTCAGTTCGGTTTGATCGTGAGCAGCTACCGACAGCTTCTACCGCTATTCTACCTCACATTGCTGATGCGCGAGAATCTGTGGGCATGTAGCGATAATGATTGATCATGCGAACTTATCTCATGATCAGGTAGTGATCAGGCCTCTAATTCTACCATCCTTCAATCACTTCCAATCACCAACTCTCCGTCGCATGACGATGGCCCCCTTTCACATCTCCTACAATGCCTTGAACTCTGTTGCTCCTATAGGAAAGGAAAGGATAAACCGACACGGTCCCATTGAGAAACTGCTCATAGTGTGCTCTTTATTCCCCAGGAAGCTTTATCGACAAGTCAATTTCTTCACAGTTCACACTTGCCGCAGAAGATCTGCTGAATATCACGCAAATAGGTAGTCAACTGTAGTCAAGCCAAAAGGTCTCATAGCGACGGAGGGGCCTGGAGGGGCTCGGAGGGGACCAGTAGAGATTGGTAAAGGATGATAACCGAGCCGGACCTGAACTTGGCACGATCATCATGCATCCTGCATGGATCACCCCTTCGGGCAACATTCGGTACATTGCGAGATATTCTCTGAAGCTATGTATAAAAGAGTACCTACTTCCCCCCATCCGAATCCTCAGAGCTGGTCTCTAGAGCATTAGTACCGTGCACTTCAAATCCGATATTTTCGCTCAAGCTATCTTTACCTACCACGATGGTCAATTCACGCATCATTCTTACCGCCATTCTCGCTGCCGGGACTGTCGTACTCGCTATCCCTGTTGCCCCCACGGGCGTCACCGGTATCGGGATAACTGAAGGCACCCTTCCTCCTCCTTCAGAAGGCGGTATGTGTTTGTACAAGAAACTTACCATTCTAAGCTCACGTTGTACCGCTCTTCTTAAAGATGCCAAAGGAGTTTCTGCACCGGGTGGATCACATCCTGGAGTCGGGGACACACAGGTCGGACTCAGTGAACCCAACTTGTTTGAAACTACGGCCGCACAAGGACAAGTTACATCTGCTGAAGGCAGGTCTGGCCCAAAGCAATTAAGGTCATTCGATCGTCGTGGCCCCAACGGTATAACCTTTTACTATCCTTCCTTTCGAACGTATGAATCCTCATTTATTTTGCTCGTCATGATGCAAACAGAATCGGCGATAGAATTAGCTTGGCAAAGGCTGAACGTTGTCAAGAACTACAGCCCACTGCACGAAAATTACCAGAAGATGGTGGAACAGGACGAAAAGATTATGAAAGCATACAGTGCTACGGTTGAGGAAACACAGAGTGCAATTGAAAATGGCAACAAAATAGTCCACCTCAGTCTCATTATTGAGCATTTTGTGCAGAAGAACGGTATGCCTTCATTGCTATGATTGTTCGAGAGAATCTATATATTCTGTTTCTAGGTCCGAAAGGTAAAACTAATTCCGAAATACTTGGACAAATCCGCGAGGGTTTCAAGAATGGGGAGGACGTGGACAAGCTCTGGGGACTTGCAGTACAAGGAGCCAAGTAGACCCACTCGCACCTTGGTCATCCTATGGCAGTGACTCCAATTTGAAGCTAGAGTATGGCAGGATGTATTTAGCTGAACGTCTGATTAAATTCAGTGAATATGTAAACGTATGCAAGAGCACTTCTCTATATACTTGCCCTTCGAATTCAATATTGCATGAGCAAGCTTTCCATGGATTTCCTTCATCTGTAGTACCCTCTGAACAGCCCCAATTAACAATATAGTCTGAATTTACGCTAACTTCGCTTCAATCATCATCCTCTCGAAATCCTGCAAATCCATAGATTTATCTGGAGTAGTCGAAAACACCTCTAACATCTCTAGCATCTGGATTTGCGCAAAGGCAATATTCAAATTAGTCCGGAACGAACAAGTTGAAAATAAGTTGAAGCTCGATCACCTCCTCGGCTTTGAGTTTCTCCCCAAGCAGCTTCGCCACTCTCTGAATATCAGCGAGCAGAATCCTACGCGTTGGAAGGTCGTCCTTTGCGTCGGGGAAGAACAATCTGAATGCTTCCAGACAAGTGGCTTTCTGACGCGCAGTCAGTCGTCTGGTCCTTGAGTTAGTCCTTTCTTGATCATCGTCAGTATCTTCACCGGCATCCGAATCAGTCTCGGCAGTTTTAAAACGAGTACCACGCGTTCGGCGTTTGCCGCCTGCAACAGAGACGGGAGAGTGACGTCGGGTGGACCTGGACTTGAATCTTGTTGCGGAGGAAGGTCCAGGTTTGTAATCGTCATCGGATTCGGGTTCGTCGTCATATCGCATATCGGCATCATCCTCGGCATCCTCTTCCACATATTCCCCATCTCCTCCAGGGCTCCCTGACTGCCTTCGACTTCCATCAGCCATGCTATCATCGCCTACACCCGGTTCAAGTAATATTGTACACACTGCACGCCAATCCGCTCGCGTGACTGCTAAATTATCGTCGGTCCGAGAACCATCGTGGTTGTCCCATCCAGACGCGGCGTTTCTAAAGATAGCGAGAACTTGTTCGTCGTCAGGAGGTAGATCAAGGAGTTGGAGGGCTGTAGGAATGGAGGAGAGCGGTATTTGAGAAGAGTCATGGACTTCTGGAAGGGAGAACGGTTCAGAATCATTAACACCCTCGTTTTCTTGCTCGTCTTCGCGTACAAACCCCCCTGCAGAGGTATTAGACGTATTGACGTCTATTATGAATCCTCCTCCTCCTTCTCCATCACCGTTTCTAGCAACATCAGTGTCATTCAAGATGAACCCTCCGCCACCTTGACCATTGTCTACGGCCACATAACGCTTGGGAATGTCCACGATAAATCCACCTCCAGAATCTACAGTCAATTCAGTGTGCGTCGATATTTTCCGTCTCTTCAACGGAGGTTCTGCTGAATCCAAATCACTGTGACGGCTTGTGGTAACTTCCAAGGAATGGGCGTGTTTGATAGCTGAGAGAAATGCGGCGTCTATGCGGCGTTGGATATGTTGCGGGAGAGTGAAGAACGCCTGGTCGTGGTCCATGTCGTACCAGTGAGGCTGGGCACCTGAGTCATACACAGGAAGCGCGTTTAGCACGTGCTCAAGTGAGCTCTTGCAAAGACAGTCCAATTGATAAATCAAGGTTCATAATTTCTTGTAATTTATACGCAGAACGTTTGGATGCAAAAGATTAAGAAATGATAATTAAGGAGGGGTTCTCTTCAAGAAATTCAGTTACGTATCACTAATTTCGAAGGTCGACGAATTTTACGGACAAGCTACCGAAGGTTTGAAGTCCTTCATGATTGTACATAAGGCTTTACCCAGAGAGGAAGTTGACTTCCCTTCTCAGGTTCACTCTTCAGGTGAATGCGTCGAACGATGCTTGATTTACCGACGATATCCTCGGGGGATACCGCGAGTTCGAACTCAAAGGCTCGGATGAGTACAAATAGTAAAGCTTTCATTCTGTCCCAAAGCTTCGTAAGTGATTGTCAAAAGATTGGCAGCTAAATTCAACACACTCGACCAGAGAGAATCTATAACCAATACAGGCGTGGGCTCCTCCTAAGAAGGACAGCATGTTGCCCCAAACTCCGGGGATTGATGCAACAGTGCTCGGGACCCCACCAGGTGTCAACCACCGTTCAGGTCTAGGGTAAACGCTCCATTAGAGGAGATCATGTTTAGAACTGATATGTATGGCCACTTACTTGAAATCCCTAGCATCTTCCCCCCATAAAGCCTTCGATCTGTTCACGGCCAGAACAGGGATGTTGAAGAGATCACCTTTACGGACCCTACACGATGCAGTATTTCAGATAGTGTTCAAACATACTTTGTACACAACAAGCTACTGACCGAATATCATTATGCACTTCGCCGTTCTTATCAGTGAATGGCACACCCAACGGTAGGATGTCGTCCTTCATTGCAACCCTCTCAGTGCCAGTGACAGGCGAGTACACACGTAGAGTCTCCCGGACTACAGCATCGAGATACGGCAAGGAGTTGAGAATATCCATGGATGGGCTTTCAGTCGAGACTTGTAAGAGTTCCCCACGCAATTTACACTGAATCTCCTTGTCTTGGGTCAGAGCATACAGCGCCCACGTTACAGCCGTCGATGTCGTCTGAGTAGAGTTCAATTATCCACAGGACACGTCAAGCCAGAACCAAAAATCATATTCACCTCATGACCTGCGACTAGGAACGTCGGAACCTCTGAAAACCTTTCTGTCAACAAATAAGGTCGCTGACTTAACCGGTCACATACGAGAAATAACGTCCTCGTCGCTCATTTTCTGGTGTTCAAGGATATCCTTGCTCATGTTAGACCGGACCAACAACGATAATAAATCTCTTGCACGCCAACCATCTCCTTTTTCTCCTGTTGCAGCGAGGTGTTCTTTGCTTTGCCGGAGAAGATCTCGGCCGATACGTTCCATAGTGACCTGGGCTTCTTTCTTGACAGAATCAGAGGTTGAAGGCTGGAAGATGGGTAGTAAATGTACTCGGTAACTACTAACGCTTCTGCGATGTCAGAGAACGAGGTACGCACAAATACACGTAGCAGAGGGAAAAGGCCTTGCAAAACATCATTCCATAACGTGAAGCGAGAAGAAATTCCAAATATAACAGAAAACGCTTTGCTCAATTCATCGGGTTCGGTGGAATCGAGCGCGTTGAATCGATGGTTGAAACCTTTGGATAACGACGTGAGTAATTAGGAGTAATTGTAGAGTATGTATAAAAAGGGCCTGTGATACCTGCTCGACCTATTACATCCAACGTCATTCTACTAAGCCACGATTGGACATCAACACGGACTGGCCCATTATCTGCTCCTATCTGGGACAACCATATATCCCTCAGCTAAAGAACGGGACATCAGAGAGCAGGTCCGAGGAATGAATTTGCGTCCTTCACACACATGAAGTGATTCATCAACGAATATCTCAGTCAATTCACGTATTTGTGCTACGCCAAAAGCAGGGTTCTGTAGTGCATGAATCATTTACCTTGGAACAATCTGTGTTTGGGAGAAGGGACTGACCATGACTTTACGCTGGCGCCTGTGTTCATCTTCCTCCTGTACGAGGATACCTAGCAGGTACCCATTATGTTTTCAGCTTGGAATTAGCACAACACACCGAAAGACGAGTTACCTGACCCAACAACGTTTTTCAAAATCCAATTCCGCAAGGCTTCCGGCTTTTGATAGTCATAACCACTCATAAGGATGTGGTTCAAAGCCACAGTATCCACCGTATACAGACGTTTTCCCTATAGCACCCTTGCTGTCACTAACCATCAATATTGAAGACGTCGATTCTATCACTTACGAGGAACCACTTATAAGCAAACGTCGTTCCATACTCTTCAACCCATTTCTCTTGTGTGACAGAGGTTTCCTTTTCATCCGTGTTCAGAGTGGATCAGCAATCCATCATCCAAGATCTGGGGTTGACCACTCACAGCATCTTGGATCTCCTTCGAATTTCCATAAATCCAACTGGAATTCGGTGGACCAGGCAGGGCGTTCAAAGGAGAGGTGGCTTCCCTATAGAGGTATTGGGCCAACAAGAACAGCCCATAGACTCCTAGAGTCCCGAAAATCGAGGCAAGAATTTGAAGGGAGGCATCAGTTGAACTTTAGTGTTGGAGTAATCAGATTTGAGTCAAAATAAAAGCAGAGTTTGAGATGAGTTGAATCGCAGAGCTAGAGTGATTCCACACTTTATACTAGTTGACGGAAAGTCAACGTGGTCTGAACTGCGCCGAAGCTGATCGTGTCTGAATATGTTCAGAATTCACGGGTCTAACTCTCCGGTTTGAGAAGTTGCCGAAATGTATGCCCCCAAGAATTGAATAATTCTTTACTGGTTATCACAGAGAAATTTCACAATACGTGCTGGCTATGTATACTTGAAAAACTTATCAGCATTTAATCCGAGCGCACAGTGACAATAGAACCTAGGCTATTTCGATCTTCTACCTGTCTCTTTATCTATCAAGGCCGCAAGCATGTCGACTTCCTCTGTACCTCTCATAGGTGCCATTTCTCGAAAGAGTTTCTCTGCCATTCCGACGAGCACGAGGTGCAAGTCATGCACCTCTGCGAAGATAGGTATACATCATCTTCATCTTAGATCCAGGAACTCCGCGATCGTGATTGGGATGAAGGTCGCGTCACAGCCGATTCGCAGGTTTTATGACGGGAATGGGAGATAGTGCTCGAGAGGGGAAGATTTGAGCTTAGGGATTATGGTGAAAGAGGCTTGTCGTGTTTGACAAAGGCTAAATGTCAGGTATTCGACGTTGATAACTAGCGGTGGACAAAAGGTGAAGGCATTTTGGCAAAATCCACTTAACAGATTGAGACGCGCGTTCAGACCTTGTTCAGGGCAAATAAGAAGAGAAGCGCACCAATAATATCTTGCTCTCACTGTCAGAAAGCTTACTCTGAATTGGGTCAACTTATTTCCTCTTTGCTCTCGAGGAGTCTCCCAGTCTGCAGCATATCTCTTAATAGCTTCATTGGGCACTGCCGAGCTGATATAAGAGACATCTTCCTTGACTCTTGTTCAATTCTGATTTCTGGAGCTGACTGATCGTGAGCTGTTCCCGACATGCATGGTGGTACAGGCGTAGATGAGATATATGTAATAAGCGCTCATGAAAGAACTTGTTCAGTTGCCGGCCGGAATGAGTGCATCACCGCAAACGCTTAATTGTTCGCGCTGTCGATGTATGGAATTTCACCGGCACCTTTCATGTGAGTCTGTACGTCTTTTTTGAAATAATCTCGGACTCGTTAAATTTTCTAATCGATATTTGAGAAATCCGAGGACACCTGTCATGAACTGTAACAGACTAGAACAGACTGTAACAGTAATGTTCATCCTCATGCATTTAACATTAGATCGGAAAAACTTAGCACATGGAGAAGAACATCCCCAATGTTTCGAGGTTTCAAGACAAGTAGCTCTCTAACGTGAAGTCAGTCGTCAGATCCTTAAACTATTCCCTTATTGATTAACTGATTATCCTTAACTACATCATGAGTCGGAATTTACATCGGTATTCGAATTGAGTCGACGTCCTTGAACTATCGCCAGCTATCACCACCCATTCGACCTTTACCATCTGAACCAGATGCCTCGGAGGATATGACGTGAGCGGATGTCGGTTGGACCTATGCTATAATCACCTGCATTCAATATGGTACATACCTGCACGCCCCTGCACGCCCGTGAGACTGCCCAGTTACCGTCAGTTTTCTACCGGCATGGGTATCCCCCTCAAAGCAGCATTTCGAAGATGGCGAGGACTTATTCATCGTCAGGATATACAATGAAGAGCTGGAGTGTCAAAGGGATGGAATTTGGTCGGAGCTGGTCGGAGGCATCATGGCCGGAGCGCTGCCCAAAGATCGTAGCTTCCTTGCTCACTTCCTGAAAAGCCTGCACGCCATTTCTGAGATGCTCTTCATGATTTCCAAGGCGCGTGGTTCAGGAATAGTCTGGCTATGTAGCCGTCTTGTGATTCACGAAATAACAGAGGAACAGGGATTGAACAGAAGCCACGTAGATTTGGCTCATCACTTCTTCATCCATTGCATCGTTGGTGAAAATCGTCAACCTCGATGAAAGTTCTTGCAGACGATGTTTGACCGAAGGTGTGCGTGGTAATAGCGAGATGAACGCTCTGACTCAGAGACAAGATGTATCAGATGACGGCGCTGGCGGCGGCGGGCGCAGACACAAGAATATATCTTGGAACCTTTCCACCTCCCTTAACCTCCTACTGAACCGACCTCTACAGCATGTCATTTTTTTTCGAATTTCATCAGGTCCTCCCTATCTCTCCGAACGCGCTATCTCTAAATGCGATAACCTGGACGATAATCTTGCTAACTTGACAAGATTGGCCTGTCCAGGCTCGAACCGGCTGAGACAAATGTTGGTTATATTGGTGGATATGAGGAGACACATGAGGAGGCAATATTCCACGGCCAAATCTAGATGAAAGTCAAACCTCTGCTGCGGGTAAAAATAAGAGTATGTCAATCGAAGAAGGGAGGATACTGCCTACAAGAACCAAAGTGAATGGATGTTGTTATAGTGTCGACTTGGGGATGTAGAGCTCGCTCAGCACCCAGCGCCCAGAGTACCCCGAGTGGCCGATTCATTTATCAGATTCGCCTTACCTCAAGGAGCAATTGCCAATACCGATAAAACGGCCGAGTTTTTTTCAGATCGGAAAATCCTAGCTCATCCTTCTCCCCATCTTACGAAGGCAATAAGACCATCATGTCGTCGAGCAGCTGGACCCCCACGGACATCCTTATCCATGATCTTCAACTACAGAAGCATCCTGAAGGCGGTGAGCACAAATTGATTCAAAGATGGTGCATTATCCTTACATTGTTTGAACTTTGTTTCTGCTATGTCAGGGTACTTCGCAGAAACCGATCGTCAGGTTACCCAAGTGCTATCACCATTTTCCAGTGAGTAAAACTGGTCGCCCGTGAATAATTTGTTGAAACATACACAGGGAACGAACCTCGTCCTTTGGGAACCTCAATATACTATCTACTCACCAAAGATAGTCCAAGCGGTGTAATCCATATGAACAAGTCTGTTGTAAGTCAGCCATGGTCAATCGACCAATCGAGACCAAACACCCTAATCTCTGTCGCCACGTTTCCATAGACGTACCACATTTTACACCAAGGTCGTGCAGAATATACTCTGATATACCCCACCAACCCGCCTACAATTGAGAAACATATCATCGGGACTAACGTCAGCGCTGGTGAGAGTCGCCAGCTTCTCGTTGGCACCGGGGTGTGGAAAATGTCTCGTCTTTTACCGGAGGATATGGATCATGGCTGCTTGATAACTGAAGTCGTTGTCCCAGGTTTCCACTGGGAGGATCACCAGTTTCTAACAAAAGGGGGACTTCATGAGTTGCTCGAAAATGTGAAAGGGGAAGAGAAGGAGACAATAATGAAACAGTTGGAGAAGCATGTAAAGGGTAGAGGAGCATGAATTTTGTTACTTCTCCCATCCTTCAGATATATCCTTACTTTACAAAAGTAAATACGTCGATTTAGAACCATCTCCTCTCTCTCTGTAACATCGTCGGTGCAGTATGACCGTCCACTAATACTCATAGACCATGGACAGTACATCGTTAAGATAATGTCAGAAGGCATTGTATTGAGAAACCAGATAATCAAGGAAGGTATTTCTTATAGAAAGTCCAGTTATAACGAAAGGTTAACAAATTGTAGTCAGTAATTTACGCCAAGGCAGCCCCAAAGGCTCGGAGTCCTTCATGATTGTACATATGGCTTGACCCAGAGAGGAAGTTGACTTCCCTTCTCGGGTTCACTCTTCAAGTGAGTGCGTCGTACGATGCCTGTCTTTCCGACAATATCCTCTGGGGATACCGCAAGTTCGAACTCAAAGGCTCGGATAAGTACAAATAGCAGGGCTTTCATTCTGTCCAAAAGATTCTTTAGTGAAAAATTAAATTGGAAGTTAAATCCAACGCACTCGACCAGAGAAAATCTATAACCAATACAGGCGTGAGCTCCTCCTAAGAAGGACAGCATGTTGCCCCAAACTCCAGGGATCGATGAAACAGTGCTTGGAACCCCACCAGGTGTCAACCACCGTTCAGGTCTAAGGTCCAGGCAGTATATTGGAGGAGATCTAATTGAGAGTTATATGACCACTCACTTAAACTCCCTAGCATCCTCTCCCCATAATGCCTTGGATCTGTTCACGGCCAAAACGGGAATGGTGAAGGAATCGCCTTTACGGACTCTATGCAATGAAACAGGTCAGCCATTCAAACATAGCGCATGACAAGCTGCCCACCGAATATCACTATGCACTTCACCGTTCTTATCGGTGAATGGCACACCCAGCGGTATAACATCGTCCTTCATTGCAACTCTCAAAGTACCAGTGACAGGCGAGTAAACACGCAGAGTCTCCCGAACTACAGCATCGAGATACGGTAGCGAGTTGAGCATATCCATGGTTGGGCTTTCAGTCGAGACTTGTATGAGCTCTTCACGCAATCTACGTTGGACCTCCTTGTTTTGGGTCAGAGCATACAGTGCCCATGTTACAGCCGTCGATGTCGTCTGAGTAACTTCAGTTAATGAAACGTATACATACATAGAGATAGAACAAATCATGTACCTCATGACCTGCAACTAGAAATGTCGGAACCTCTGAAAAGCTTTCGTGAACGAATGGCGTCGATTACAACATCGAGCACATACGAGCAATGACGTCCTCGTCACTCATTCTCTGATGTTCAGGAATATCCTTGCTCATGTTAGACCGGACCAACAACGATAATAAATCTCTTGCACGCCAGCCATCTCCTTTTTCTCCTGTTGCAGCGAGGTGTGCTTTGCTTTGCCGGAGAAGATCTCGGCCGATACGCTCCATAGTTACCTGGGCTTCTTTCTTAACAGAGTCCGAGGTCGACGGCTACAAGGGTACTCAGTATGTAATTATTCTATGATTTCAGGCCACTCACAACTACCCGTAGCAAAGGAAAAAGGCCTTGTAAGACATTCCAGAACGTGAAGCGAGAGGAAATTCCGAAGATGATAGAAAATGCTTTGCTTAACTCATCGGGTTCGGTAGAATCGAGGGCGTTAAATCGATAATTGAAACCTGTAGATCACGGCGTGAGTAACTGTGGAGTATATATGCAGAGAGAGCGTGATACCTGCTCGACCTATCACGTCCAATGTCATTCTACTGAGCCATGATTGAACCTCAACACGGACGGGTTTATTGTCGGTCCCCATTTGAGATGACCAAATATCCCTCAGCTAGGGTACAATTAGGAACGGGTTCAAGGGACGAAGGTTGAAAGTTTACACACATGTAGTGATTCATCGACGAATATTTCAGTCAATTCACGTATTTGGGCACCGCCAAAAGCAGGGTTCTGTGATGCACGAATCATGTATCTTGGAATGGACTGTGTTCGGGAAAAGGAACTGACCATGACTTTACGCTGCCGTCTGTGTTCGTCTTCTTCCTGGACGAGTATACCTAGCGGGTAACCATTTGGTTTCCAACGTGTAATTACAATAAAGATGTCCTACCTGAGCCCACGATGTTTCTTAAACTCCACTTCCGCAAGGCTTCAGGCTTTTGATAGTCATAACCGCTCATAAGGATGTGGTTCAAAGCTTTGGTATCCACCGTATACAGACGTTTTGACTGTAAGGTCTGGGTGTCACTAACACCAAAGAACAACTAATCCGTCACTTACGAGGAACCATTTATAAGCCAAGGTCGTTCCATATTCTTCAACCCATTTCTCTTGTGTGACAGAGGTTTCCTTTTCATCCGTGTTCGAAGTCGATCAGCAATCCATCGTCCAAGATCTGGGATGGCCACTCACAGCATCTTGAATCTCCTTCGAATTTCCATAAATCCAACTGGAATTCGGTGGACCAGGCAGGGCGTTCAAAGGAGACGTCGCTTCACTGTAGAAGTATTGGGCCAACAAGAACAGTCCATAAGCCCCTAGAGTTCCAAAAATCGAGGCGAAAATTCGAAGGAAGGGATGCATCAATCAAGCTTTGGTGCTAGAGTAATCAAGTTTGAGTTAAATAAGAGCCAAAGTCAAGGGAGTTTAAGAGATAGTCAAACTGCAGAGCTGGACAGTGTTTATAGTCGATGTAAAGTCAGCATTGTGTACGTGGTCGGCCCCAGACTTGAACTGCGCCGAAGCCGATCGTGTCTAAAGTATTCAACAAGCACGGCAGAACCCAGGAGGTTGCACCAAAAGCGTGATAATTCCGACGGGATTTCCGGTTTAAGCACTTGCCGGAACGTCATGCTCGGGTTCGAGTCTCAAAAGGTCCCAAACGACGTATGTTGTCAGTAGAACATAGAATTAAACAATCTTGGTTGTAATCCAGTTGAGGACGATCCGAAGGATGTATCATATAATACAGAAATACAAAATTCACAATATGTGCTGACTGTACTTGAAAAACTTATCATCATTTTACACGAGCAAACAATGTAATCACGACGAACCCAAGCTATTTTGATCTTCCACCTGTCGCCTTATCTATCGCAAACATGAAGGCCGCAAGCGTATCGACCTCCTCTCTACCATTTATCGGTGCCATTTCTCGAAAGTGTTTCTCTGCCATTCCGGCGAGCACCAGGTGCAAGTCGTGCACGTCTGCGAGTATTGGTGTACGTTGGAAGAAATTGTCTTCATCTGAAAGCCGAGAACTCCGCCTTCGTGATTGGTCCTTGGGATGAAGGTCGCGTCGGGGCCGATTCGCAGGTGTTGTCACAGGAATTGGGGATGGTCCTCGAGAGGGTTGCTGGAGATTTAAGCTCAGAGAATATGGTGGCGGGGGCTCGTCGACAGTGTTTGGTAAAGGCCGAATGACAGGTATGAGGTCAAACGTTGATAAATAGCGGTGGACAAAAGGTGAAGGCATTTTGGCAAAATCCACCTACAACGAATTGATACGCGTGTTCAGTACGTTGCTGGACGCGAATAGGAAAGAAGCGTACCAGTGATATCTTATTTTCACTATCAGAAAGTTTGCTCTGTACAACATGGATTGGTTCAACTTTTTTCCTCTTTGCTCTCGAGGAGTCTCCTTCAGCTCTGTCTGCAGCCTGTCTCTTGACGCCAGCTGTATTGGGTGCTGCTGGGCCAATATAAGGGGCATCTTCGTTGACCTTTTTCCGATTCTGATTTCTCGAGCGACTAGAGGCTGACTGTGCTGTGCCAGACATGGTGTTACACGGTAGATGAGATACTGAGGCCTGCCTGACTGAGGTCTTTGAGATCAATTTGATAAGCGCTCATGACCAAATTAGGGCTTTATTCAATTGCCGGCCGGAATCGAGTCAATGTTTTCAACTCGCGGCCGCGGACCTCAGTTGGACCATAGTATTCACGAACACATCGGTCCTTATCCTTACCCTTTAAAAGCCCAATCTTACTTCTAACTCTCTCCCAATAATGTCTACATACGGGCACCTTTTCCGCGTTACAACTTTCGGCGAAAGTCATTGTGCTTCAGTAGGTGCGATCATAGATGGATGTCCACCAGTCAGTATTTCTTTCGATCTTCTCATATCATTCAATTAACTCAACGACACAGGGCCTAACACTTTCGCCTGAAGATATTCAAATCCAACTTGACAGAAGAAGACCTGGGCAGAGTGACCTGACAACTCCAGTTAGTGGAACACGCAACGCGTCTATCTTTTACTCATGGGTCGATTCAGAGGAATGAGAAAGATCGCGTGCATCTTCAGAGTGGACTAGAACTCGGTGTCACCCTCGGAACACCCATAGCGCTCCTTGTCAAAAATGAAGATCAACGTCCGCATGATTATTCCGAGACGGATTCGTACCCGCGGCCGAGCCATGCAGATTATACCTATCTAGAGAAGTACGGTGTGAAGGCAAGCAGTGGTGGAGGCCGGAGTAGTGCTCGAGAAACCATTGGTATACTCAATTTGCTCCATATACAAAGCATCATCTAAATCTAATCTATCGTCCCAGGTCGAGTCGCAGCCGGAGCTATCGCAGAAAAGTACCTCAAGACTGCATTTGGCATCGAAGTAATTGCATTCGTATCCTCTGTAGGCAAGATCAACATCCCTTCCAGCGTTCCTTCTTCATTACCCTCCAACGAGGATGACGATGAGGTCGAAGACGCACTCAGTGAAGAATTCCGAAACTTGCTCGCGACTGTTACCAGAGAACAGGTCGACCAACACCCTACTCGATGCCCACATCCAGAGACTGCGGAACGAATGACCAAGGTACGCTTGATTCAGACCTGTGTGCCTTTCTGACAATATTTCACTTGCAGCGGATCATTCGTGCTAAAGATACCTCAGATTCCATTGGTGGCATCGTTACCTGTGTCATCCGCAACGTCCCTTCTGGTCTAGGTGAACCCTGCTTTGACAAATTTGAAGCAACCCTCGCACATGCGATGCTATCTATCCCTGCCACCAAGGCCTTTGAGATCGGGTCTGGTTTCCGTGGCACACAGGTTCCAGGAAGCAAACACAACGATGCGTTCGTGAGACGTGATGATGGCAGACTTGGGACCAAAACCAATTGGAGTGGAGGTGTTCAAGGTGGCATCACTAACGGAGAGGATATCTACTTCCGGTATGTTGCTTCCTGATGCTCGCTACCTTACTATCTCCTTACTGTGGAATTCCCGTAGTCTTGGCTTCAAATCCCCTGCCACAATCTCCCAAGCTCAAGACACAGCTCAATATGATGGCACACCTGGATCCCTTGCAGCTCGGGGCCGTCACGATCCCTGTGTCGTGCCTCGGGCAGTGCCTATCGTCGAGGCGATGGCTAGTCTGGTCGTAATGGATCAATTATTGATTCAGAATGCTCGAAAAACTGCCGCTTCATTGCTTCCACCCATCACAACTCTGCCTCCCACTATGGTCATGCCCGGTGCCAAAGGCCCTGCGTAGTAGTAGCAAGCAAAATATCCATTGTGATAAACATGATCATCATCTAACAGATTTTCGGGTTATATCTGGCTTATTCATAGAGAAATGATTTGCTGAGTTGCTTCATTCGTGCAGATATACATACGTGTACAGACAATGACCTACAATGTTCTGAGCACACACCCCCAGTCAGAGTTTGGTCCAATGTGATGTTGCTCTTCAATGTAATTTCCGATGATCTATCCATTGAACGCCGTGCAGAGCCTCGAAGTCAAATTTCATGGTCTTCTACTTTTCTGTGGTAGGGTACGAAGTTTCATTGTCCCGGCGTTCCTTTGGGCGAGCTCAGTCTCAGCAACACTATTCGCGCTAGTTGTTCTCTTTCTCTTCTTTTCCGCGTTTCCGGTAGGGAGTGCATGTGAACCTGACTCTACAGGTTGTCTAGTGCTGACTGTCGACTTCCTATTCCTCTTCGCATCTGCTTTCCCAATCGCGCCATCCTTCGCGGTCCCAGCTGTAGACTTTTTCCTCTCAATTCTTTTCTTGCTCGAACCCCTGGTTCTTTTGACAGCTTCGTTGATCCCCTTCGCTTTCGTAAGCTTTCGTTGGTCTATATATTGCCGGGCTTCCTTATCCAAAGCTATAGCACGTTTGTTAGCCAAAGCCGCAGCGTATTCAACCTTCTGTCCTTTCTCCGCAAGGATCGCCGCCAACTTATTTTCTGGTATAAATTGGTCCATCACATTGATCATTTTCTCAATGTTCAGGGTGGCCAGGGGATGCCCTAAGTCATCTGGGTCAGTGCAAAGTGAGAATTTCCGTCCGGCGTCGGTGACAATCTGGCCACCTTCTTCCCTCTTTTGTCCAATATCTTCGTCGTCTTCATCCTCATCTTCTTCTTCATCGTCCTGCGAGGGTATTCTATCGAGCTCCATTGGAGCGGGAAATGGACAGATGATCCTCAGAACACTGTAAGGTCCTGCTAACTCAGTATTCCTATGTGGGAGGAAAGACATTGCTTCAAGGGTGCGTTCTGGTAGCATGGGAAGGCTCTTGGGCGAGTAAGGCTGAATAAATAGAGAATTGTCAGTGATTCTGATTCTAAAAGATCATGTACGACAAACACTACACACCTCTCCATTTTTGTCAATATAGAATTTCGTTGGAGCTAAAGTATTCAGACTATCTTGAACAGATTTCTTTGATAAGGTCTTCGTCGATAGACGGAGTTTGCACTGAACCACAACCCAAATGTATGTTGGTTTAGGATCTAAGAGTTTGAGTACAAATATAAGGTCCGGTCCAAAGTGGTTGTCTGGGAAGCAGATCGCATTGCGATGTCGAAAAAGTAACCAATTTAGAACTTCCTCTGGCTGTTGAGTTTGTCGGCCTAGCACTGACGTGCAGTGGGACAAGTCGGGGACATTGGTTTCTGCAGTACACGAGATGAATGCTCCTTCTGATATAACATCTCCTTTGGTTGGCGCGGGAGGCACGACGTTCAGTTTATTCAAGATAGTAGCCGAACTATAGTCGTCAATTGACTCATCCATATCCCTGCCATTGCGAAGAACATTGACAGCGACCAGTTTTGCCGTTGAGTTCATAAGCTTTGTTCGGCCGTGGAAATGCAAGATTTCTCCAAGCCTACACCCTTCTTTCCTGGCTAAAACCGTTGCAAAATAGTAAGCAATATATTTCTCCAGACCATTCCCCTTCACAACATCATGATTGGTGATTTCTGTGGTAAGCACATAATGAAGAGGGCCTATTATCCACAGGTTATGATTGCGATTGGCCCACAAGGCCAGTGCGAGAAGGATGAGAGGTTCTGAGATATGAATTGTTGGTACCAGAAGAACTGAATCCTCCTGCTGGAAGGCACCCTCCATTTGTATGACGTCCTCGTCCTTGATTGTGTATCGGGCAAAACCATATTTCACGAATTCTATTTCTTTGGCAGTAAAAGCAAATGGAGGCATGCTGGTCATGAAATACTTGTAGACGTATTGAATAAGGTTCGCAACAAGGGGACTCTTTCCACCTATTACGCGAGTAAGATGCGTATAATCATTGAACACGAAATGATACTCACGTTTCATTTCCGTCAACTTTGAAAAATCAAAAGGAAAGTTCCTTATTTCTGGAATTGCGCCCAAGAACCTACGTTCAGCTTGCGTGGATTCTACGCACATATCTGTTGGCTGGCACTGTATTGCTGCATTTATAAAACAGTTTAACACAGTATGTGGTCTTCTAAAACCGTCTTGCAGAAGTAAAGATATATATTCGGCAGTGAAACGGTATCTATTACCACTCAGTCTTTATAAACGCAATCGCGGGAATTCTATTGCGATAACTCACCTACCCCGAAGCCAGTGGCGAATTCTGTCAAAAAGATGTTCAAATTCCAACGATTTCACGAGTTTCAGAGGGAAATATTTTTCAACGTAGCGGCGATGGGCGTCGCAGTCATCAAGGGTGTGAGTGATATATGTGGAGTAGAAGTTGCCTTGCTTGAGTACTGATGAAGCAATAGCATCCCTCACAGTATTTTCATCTGCAAAACATGGATGTTCGCCAGAGCAAGGATACTGGCTGGAGAGCGCTGTCCAGCACTGAAAGCACTCCCAGCAGTATTGATCAACTGCTGGGAGTGCTTTCCCAGCTGGACAGCGCTGTCAGCTGCTCTCCAGCTATTAGCCGAAAATCCAGGTTTTACAGATGTTTCTCAAGACCAGTTCCAGTAATGACCAACGTCGTTTGAAATTGGTAATTCCGGATAAGGTTTTGTAAGGCATCCAGCCACCCCCTTACTATTTCTCGTAGTACGGGTCGGAATACTCCTGTTGATCCTGTTGAGTGTTCTATAGGGGTAGGGTCATCAGGTCCCGACTTGAAAGCCAGATCATGTGTCACGGCCGCAATCTGGGATTCATCCATTACAATTGCAAGATTGTCACGCAAAAGTTGTACAATTCGGTGTGCACAGCGCTGGGCGACATGGGCAAGATCTTTTTGGGGGGCATGAATCTCATACAGAGTTTTTGAAAAATCATCGAAGATATCAGGGACACCACCAAGGTGAGGTTTGAGCTGTAATATGAGCCACATTTTCTTGTAGTTGTCGGACTCGGAGCGAGCTGGTGCATCCGGCCCGAAGACTGCCTCGAGATAGGCGGTAAATATTACGAGCCTCGCCAGAAATACCTCGAAGAAATGTTGCCTAGCAATGGAGCGGTTTCGCGTAAGAAAAGTGGAAGAATCCTTGTGTTCAACAGATGAAAGATCCAATGTGAAATTTTCGTCGCCAGTCAGACCGTCATTGATCATAGAAGACAAGTCGCTGGACCCGAGCCCATTGTCGTCTCGAGCGCATACAAAGTAGAAGCCCCAATGTCGTGTGAGGCCTTCCAGAATGGTGCGAGTTTTACCTGAACCCGATGTGCTAAGCAAGAGACTATAGGCATCGATATATCTAATGTTATTGATTGATCAATGGTCCTTTTTGACTCTGTAAAGCTTACCACGGCTCCTCATTCTCGAAGATTTTTTTGATCGACTCGAGTAATTCTCCATCGATGATTTTCCCAAGATTATGTAGAAGCATATCGGGACATTGCGGGCTGTTAGAACGCGCTGGAATGCCAAGAGAGCGAACATGCGCCAAAACATCCTGCCTTTCACGCTCATTTAGTCCAGCTAAAGCGGACTCGGGTAAGGTCCACTCAGGCAAACGATTCTCCTTCAGATATCCCTTCATCGGCTCTTCCATGGATTTCAGAAAATCCTCTACCACGTCTTCCACCCGGAGGGCTGAGGAACTTTTCAGCATATTAAAGCAATCGCCATCTGGAAAAGTTCACATACTTGGATGACGGACAGTTGCACTTGATGGATTCAATAACGACGAAATTGTAACACCGGCATTCAATTGCTCGTATACTGTGACGGTGTAGTGTGAGTTAACAAGAATGCGCCGAAATGAAACACCAACCAGCTTCAAATATTATGCCATGCTCTTGCTGTAGCGCGAGCTTTCGCCAATACTCGTTACTTCTAATGATGTTCAGACAATCCAATGGGTCCAAATCACAGTACAGGGCTGGCTGAGCTTTCTCTAGATTCAGCTGCAAAGATATCCCTGCATTGTAGATGGCCTCTGCAGTAGTACGGGATGTACTGTTAGGGGAGGCGAGATGGGACATGGAAAGTTGGGGGATCAGTGGCATATCGAAACTCTGCTCAACCTGTTATATTACAAGGGAATTGAATTCAGGTCGCCTTGAATACAAGGAACATGGTAGTAAGGCTATGGAGAACTATGGAACAAAAGGGAACAAAAGGAGAATTTAAGAAAAGAGAAGAACAAGAGAATCTGGTATTAGTAAATCAGATAAAATCTGCTGCCGGGTTATACCGGTCCGAGATCGTCGAGTTCGGCATCATTAACATACCCGAACACAGCTTGAACCAATGTCATCCTCTGAAGATGGGCAGGCAAGATATCTCTCCGAATACTTGAACAATGTTTGGAGCAAGATTGCAACCGACCCACAAATAGTTTCCTGGCAGTGTTGCGCTCTGCTCCTCAAGCGCGACCCGGATTTGCGAAAGTTAGTGCAAAAGGCACATGTGGAGGAGAATTCGGATATCCTGAAGGGCTACGGTGAGCTCGATTGATCTTTGGACACAAGTACTTACTGAAGGTCCAATCCAGACCTTCCCAGTCGTCCGCGGGCAATGGTGTATTACAGAGAAGAATTATGCAAGGTATTCGACGTGCTAGAAACTATGCGTGTTCCTTTAGAAAAGGTGGCAGACGGCTCTACGACACACAATTCACTTAAATGGAAATTGCGCGGCGACTCTCCCATCAGCAAGGATATAGTGGAGCATATTAAGAGACTCAACATTCCATGCAAGTATCCTAATAGCTCACCACTCCTTATATTACATGAAAACGGGTGCTTTAAATCAATGCCCAATCTCAACAAACGCTTGGATCATATCTTTACTCCGAAAAAGAACACGTCTGTCCCAACTCTCTTGAATCCTTGCTTCTCTCATTGTCCTTTTTGTAGATTCCTGGTGAATTCTTCAGGGACGGGCAAAACGAGACTGTTATATGAAGGCCTCTGCAAACATTGGGGTCTTTTCCTCACAGCTGCAGTCGATTCTTCTGGGTTGGGTTCGGTTGATGTTCAATACATCATCCAAGATCACCTTCCATATGATCGAAGTTTTACCGCTGTGCCCCGCGATGAAGATGCGAATCCTGACTCCAAACCCGTGCTAACCAATCTCGCACTTGCTCGTCGTAATTTCAGCGGAATATTACTGGCTCGGCTGTTAGCCTTCAAACTATACATAGAATTCGTGGCGAAGGGCGAATTTCAAGAAATACACAAAAGGCGATGGTTTCTTGCCCAAATACAACCCTATTTCACTGACGGTTCAGACGTGTTCTCACTCTTACAGTGTACTATCTGCGACTCGATGGCCAGTGATGCCTTGCTTAATGATTGTATCGCACAGTGCATAGAAGACATCATCGATCTCTTCGATCGTCACTCTCCCGGTTCCCATTTCTTCGTTGTTCTTGATGAGGCCAATGCTGCTTCTGAAAGACATAGGCTTGCTTTTCGAAGTACCCATGGTCCCCATCCAGTCTTAAAGGAAATCATACAAGTTTGGCACTCACATTTGCATGCAACACCTTTCACCATGGTAGTTGCAGGAACATACATTCCTGACATCTATTTCAAGGAGGACAAATGGAAGGAATGGCGATGGATATCATCAACTGGCGCGTTCGATAATATCGAGGATCAACGAGCATACATACTCAAATTTCTACCGCACGATTTCGCTTCTTCTCCTTCTGGTCAACATCTCTTACATCGTATGTGGGTTTGGCTTCGGGGGAGGTGAGTATTACTAAGACTTCCTTCATGTAAAATTTCAAAACATGACATAATGGCTTACAGGCATCGTATGACATCGGCGTACATACTAACTCTTCTCGAAAACGGATACCAAAGCCCACATTATTTGCTGAGCCGTTACATCCATATGTTCACTGGATTCTGGCCATCCGACGGCGGTGAATTCATACGAGCCGAATCGCCTCGGTCTTGTTCAGAGCTTGACGGCATTCCAATGGGACAACTTGAACGTAGTACGTTTTCAATTCTATATGCTGCAGAAAACACCCTCATTTCCACTGAAGTAAACCCGTTACGTGTAAACATGCAACATCTGTTATTGAAGCATCTCATTGCCGACTACCGCTTTACCCCACCATTGTTTCACGAAATTGGTTGGGTGACCACTGCGTTTGGACGTTTTTCCGACGATGCAATGACGTGCGTTGCCGTAGACGAGTCCCTCGTTCTTATTGCCGTGGCTCAGTGGCTTTTGGAAGAATCATATCTGGCTCCAGACTTAGATCACTTCATCTCTTCTCGTTCTTTTGCCGAAAACCCTTCTTTATATCACATGGACTACGTTGCATTTGCTGTAGCGTTGTGTTTCAGAAGACCCCGGATAGTTTCAGAGGTTCTCTCCTTCTCAACCATTACACCTCCGAACTGGGCATCCCAGCGAGCACACCTTGTCGCTCTCAGAAGGGAGGGAGAAAATGCAATAGAAGATACTATTGAATATTCGCCCGAAAAAGCTTCTCAACTTGTTTTCTATACATCGATTTCATCTGCTGTGCTCGACTGGCTGAAAGATAGTCATGGCGTACCGTTCTGCATGCATACGAGAGAGACGACAGCGACGCTATATTTCATCCTTGAGCTCGAGGACTCTACTCGGATCTGTCTATCTCTCCAAGGAATACCCAGCAGCGGGGATGAAGATAATGTAGAGAGTACGGCGATCCGGACAGTAGTCGACGGAATGACACCTCTTGGACTACTGAAAGAGGTAAGAAGGGCGAAGGGCCTGATCATTGAAATTGTTGCTTATGCCTTCCAAACCAGGGCGATGCTTTTGATGAAGCAACCCTTACTGGGGCATTCAGAGCTATACCCAAACGATCTTTGGATATAGGTTCAATAGGCCTATTGCGTACCCTCGTTTCGCTCCCTGACAAAGTTCGTGTCCAAGGTGTACAATTCGATGCACTTGATAAGTATCCAGTGGCGGCACTGAACATTACTACTCTTCGAGACGCTGTGAAGGATATTTCACAAAAAGATGTCTTTTCCAGCCTTGTTACGTCCATTGTAGGTGATATGAAGAGGAAAGCTCCGCCAGAAACATTTGTATCGCGCACCAAGCTGCGTCTTTCTGATCCTACAATGGAAGCGTCTTCATCCACCTCGGTCGCCCCTCCCCCTTCCCGCACCAAAGCAATTGGTGGTAGGAAATTGCGCAGCGCCGACCAACCACAGACGAGTAACCCAAAAAGCCAGGGAATCAGAATTCGGAAACCTTCGGTTCCCAAGAAATCTTCCAGAAAGGCACCAACTACTTTGTTAGAACCGGCTACATCGCGATATAATTTGAGGCCCAGGAAACCAAGATAGTATATTGTTCGTGACTTTTATACATAGTCTCGGACTAGGTCAAACTCAGACTCTGCTCTCTGGTACTCCATACCATGGCCTGACCATGGCGAAGTTACTAGACATCACTACTTCCGAGAACTTCTTGTTTTTTCTCTTGTATGTGCTTTTATAGGTGTATGTAGGGTCCTGTAGAATTCTACTGCCTTTGTATTCGAGACCTTAGAACCTTTTTCGTTGCAATGCCAGTATTCTTGCAATGTGATTGTAAGCCAAGTCAACGATCTGCCGGGTTATCACCGGTCCGAGATCGCCAAGTGCAGCCTCATTATGATTAACATTCCTGAACACAGCCTGAACACAATGTCGTCCTCTGAAGATGGGCAGGCAATATTTCTCTCCGAATACTTGAACGATGTTTGGAGCGAAATCACGACCGGCCAACAACTAGTTTCTCGGCAATGTTGTGCTGTGCTGCTCAAGCGCGATCCGGATTTGCAAAAGTTAGTGCAAAAGGCATATGTAGAGGAGAATCCGGATATCCTGAAGGGATATGGTGAGTTCGATTGATTTTTGGACACGGGTACTTACCGAAGGTTCAATCCAGGCCTTCCTAGTCATCCAAGAGCAATGGTGTATTACAGGGAAGAATTATGCGAAATATTCAACAGGTTAGAAACCATGCGTGAACCCTTAGAAAAAGTGGTAGACGGTACTGCGACATATAATTCACTTCCATGGAACTTGCGCGGCGACTTCGTCTCTAGCACGGATGTGGTGGAACATATTAGGAAACTTAGCATCCCCTGCAAGTATCGCAGTAGCGAACCGCTTCTTGTACTGCACGAAACGGGACGCTTTCAGTCAGAACCCGAACTCAACGAACGCATGGATCATATATTTACTCCAGATAAAAATACGTTCGTCTTGACTTCCTTCTGTCTTCCTTCTATGGCTGACATATCCGCAGTTTCCTGGTAAATTCATCAGGAACAGGCAAAACCAGGCTCTTGTATGAAGGTCTTTGCAAGCATTGGGGTCTTTTCTTCACAGCGGCAGTCGACACGTTCGGTCTGGGTTCCGTTGATGTTCAATCTGTCGTCAATCAACGACTACCATATGACCGATACTTCACCGCTGTGCTCAACGATGAAGACGCAACTTCTGACTCTGGACCTGTGCTAGCCAATATTGCACTGGCTTATCGTCGTTTCAGCGAAACATTATTGGCCAGGTTGTTGGTATTTAAGCTGTACATCGAAATTGTGGCCAAGGGCGAAATCCAAGAAGTACATAAAAGGCGATGGCTGCTTGCTCAATTACAGCCTTATTTCACGAATGGTTCAGACGTGTTTGCAGTCTTACAGACCACTATCCGTACTTCAAGAGTCACTGATGCATTACTCATTGATTGTATCACGCAATGTATAGAAGATATCATGAATCTCTTCCGACGTCACTCTCCTGGATCTCATTTCTTCGTCGTTCTTGATGAGGCCAATGCTGCTTCTGAAAGACTTGGGTTCGCCTTTCGAAGTGTCCATGGTCCGCATCCAGTACTGAAGGAGATCATAAAAACATGGCAATCGCATCTGCATACCATGTCTTCCACCATGGTAGTTGCAGGAACATGGATTCCTAATGTTCATTTCCAGGAAGACAACTGGAAAGAGTGGCGATGGACATCATCAACTGGCGCTTTTGACAATTTCGAGGATCAACGAGCATATATACTCAAATACATGCCACGCGATCTCGCTTTTTCTGCTTCTGGTCAACATCTTTTGCATCGCATGTGGGTTTGGCTTCGGGGGAGGTGAGCGACATCAGAGCTCTCATTGATTCAGCTATTGTCATACCAAAAGTAGCTTACAGACATCGAATGACTGCGGCGTTCATAACTATTATGCTTGTTGATGGATTTCGCAGTCCACATTATTTGCTGAACCGTTACATCCAGATGTTCACCGATTTCTGGCCATCTGATGGAGGTGAGTTCATACGAGCCGAATCGCCTCGGTCTTGTTCAGAGCTTGACGGCATTCCAATGGGACAACTTGAACGTAGTACGTTTTCAATTCTATATGCTGCAGAAAACACCCTCATTTCCACTGAAGTAAACCCGTTACGTGTAAACATGCAACATCTGTTATTGAAGCATCTCATTGCCGACTACCGCTTTACCCCACCATTGTTTCACGAAATTGGTTGGGTGACCACTGCGTTTGGACGTTTTTCCGACGATGCAATGACGTGCGTTGCCGTAGACGAGTCCCTCGTTCTTATTGCCGTGGCTCAGTGGCTTTTGGAAGAATCATATCTGGCTCCAGACTTAGATCACTTCATCTCTTCTCGTTCTTTCGCCGACGAACCTCTTTCATATGACTTGGACTACGTTGCATTTGCTGTAGCGCTGTGTTTCAAAAGACCTCGAGTAGTTTCGGAAGTTCTCTCGTTTTCAACCATTACACCTCCGAACTGGGCATCCCAGCGAGCTCACCTTGTCGCTCTCAGAAGGGAGGGAGAAAATGTAACAGAAGATACCATCGAATATTCGCCCGAAAAACCTTCCCAGCTCGTTTTCTATACATCGATCTCTTCTGCTGTACTCGACTGGCTGAAGGATAGTCATGGCGTACCGTTCTGCATGCATACCAGAGAGGCGACAGCGACGCTATATTTCATCCTTGAGCTCGAGGATTCTGCTCGGATCTGTCTATCTCTCCGAGGAATATCCAATAGTGAAGATGAAGATCATGAAGAGAGTGCGGCAATCCGGACAGCAGTCAACGAAATGACACCTCTTGGACTACTGAAAGAGGTAAGAAGGGCGAAGATCATTGAAAGCGTTGCTTATTCCTTCTCAGGGCGATGCTCTTGATGAAGCAACCCTCACTGCTGGATTCGGAGCTATACCCAAACGATCTTTAGATATAGGTTCAATAGGCCTATTGCGTACCCTTGTCTCGCTCCGCAACAAAGTTCGTATTCAAGGTGTACCATTCGATGCACTTGATAAGTATCCAGTGGCGACACTGAACATTACTACTCTTCGAGACGCTGTAAAGGATATTTCACAAAAAGATGTTTTTTCCAGCATTGTTACGTCCGTTGTAGGTGATTTGAAGAGGAAAGCTCCGCCAGAAACATTTGTATCGCGCACCAAGCTGCGTCTTTCTGATCCTACAATGGAAGCGTCTTCATCCACCTCGGACGCTCCTGTTCCTTCCCGCTCCAAAGCAATTGGTGGTAGGAAATTGCGCAGCGCCGTCCAACCACAGACGAGTAATCCAAAAGGCCAGGGAAACAAAAATTGGAAACCCTCGGCTCCCAAGAAAGCTCCCAGAAAGGTGGAAACCGCTTTGTCTGAACCAGCTACCTCGCGATACAATTTGAGGCCAAGGAAACCAAGATAGTAGTGACTTTTACACATAGCCTCACCGGGAGTAGCTTATATGTCAAACTCGGACTGTCTGCTTCTGGAACTCCATATCATTATCATGACAACGTTGCTGGACGTTACTACTTTTAAAAACTTCTTGTATTTTCTCTTGTATGTGCTTTTATACAAAGAGGTAGGGTCCTATTGGCGTTGTACCTAAGAATCTTTTCTATTGCAATTGTATCCTTGTATTTGAGAATAGTACATAATATTTCTGACCTATAGTGTTCGTTCGCATCTGGTCGCGCTGTCTCTCAAGGACCGAACCGTGCAGGTTGATCTTTTCCGACAGAGGGCAGGCGGGCGCTTGATTATCTCTTCCCTTACTAAACCCCAGTTATTAGCAATGGGTCGGAAAAACTCAGAAACGATTACTTCAACTTCTCGAGGAAAGCGCGGGCGCGGTGCAGGATACAAAGGAGGCTCACGAGGGACTTTCCGGGGGAAATTAAACCGAGAACGGGACCTGGATGACTGGAAGCCGGACAGTATTATCGACTCTGCTGAAGGTGGATCGAACCTTCCAACTGATGGTACTTTTAGGCATTGATCGTTAAGGGAAAACTTGGATATTAACGTATATAATCACAGATGAACAAGAACAAGAAAATGAGCCACGAATTGACGTACCGGTAGCTATGTGGGTAAGTTGTTAGATAAAGCACACAATCTGACTCCTCGATCTGAATTCATGACCAGGATTTCAATCATTGTGATCCCCGACGCTGTTCTGGAAAGAAATTGGCACGCCTCGGGTTAATCAAGGAACTCAAGGTCGGTCAAGGAAGGTACAGAGGTATCGTTGTCTCGTGAGCCATCTTCGACAGGTCCTCTCGCTCCTTGACAAATAGCCAACTTGTATATTTCGCTTTCAGACCCAAAGGATCTCAAGTAATATCTCCTTCAGATCGCGATATCATTGTCAAAAATGGCCTCGCCGTTGTCGAGTGTTCTTGGGCACGCTTAGATGATGTACCATTCGGGAAAATAGCCAGTCCCCATGAAAGACTACGTGCGCCGCCATTCGAGCCCTCGCTTTCTCTTTTGAGCTTTGTTTTTACCTAGTGCCTTACCTTCTGGCCACGAATCCAACCAACTACGGAAAACCCTGGCGTTTGAACTGTGTCGAAGCACTCGCAGCCGCATTCTATATCACTGGTTTTGATTCATATGCTGAAATTTTATTGGCCGGCTTCGGTTGGGGTGCATCATTCTGGAAAGTGAACAGGTAAACCTCGGGTTACATTCAGATCTCGCCCAATCCAACCATTAAGCTTGGCAGACATTTCTTAGAGAGATACAGAAAATGCTCAACACCGGCCGAAGTAAACGCGGCTCAAGACCAACTCATGGAAGAGTTGGAGAGTAACTGGGTGGAATCTCGAAGAGAAAAGAGTCAGTCCTCATGTGTTCGTACACGCCTGTACTATACTCATTGCTCCCTTAGATGCGCATTCGAATGACTCTGAAGATCTTCTATTCGAAAACCCGAATCATAGGAGGGAATACGAGTCTGATGAAGACGGGTCCGCTGGTGAAGATTGGGAGCACAATCCGAGGAGAGAAAGCAACGAGAAACGAGTAAATGTGCCTGTTGGACCTCCTCCATCTGATTCTGAGAACGATTCAGAATGAGTAAATGTGTACTTGTATACATTGGCCGCTAGTCAGTGGTATGAATGATCTTACATAGGACCTTCCCCGCTACAGGAACTGTAGTTGGCGGTAAAATAAACATAAAAAATTGAATCATCAATGGAATTTGTTCAATTTGAAAGCCCATTCATGAACGTTGAACGTTGAACTCCGGGCAAACTTGCTTTTGTTGATTCATTTCTTGCGCGTGGGAATCCAGTATCCTTCAATTATAACCGCCACCATCTCCCTCCACCCTCTCCTCTTAGGAACATCGGAATCTCATAGTCTGTACTGTGGGCGTTCTAATTTTATCATATATTGGTTTCCTGTGAGTTCTATCCTGCTCTTTGGGACGCCAAAGCTTATCTTAGTCATTGCAGCCTACTGTAGTAAAGTTCGTGCTCACCCGGAAATCATCGTGTATCAGGCAGCACATACTCTTTCGAGCCATAACTCTAGCAGTCGCTCTAACAATCCACGGAAACCTTTCCCTCACGCCGATCCATCCGCGATATCTCTACAACGGCGCTCTCACGTTAACCAGTTTGTTTGCTTGTATTAGCCTTCTCTTATTCTAAAGGCACCTTTGTTCTGTGCCCAATTACCGCATATATATATCTGCTTTCGTCCCTTTTTACACCATGTCCTCCGACTCTGTTGATGCCGCCGACTTCTCCATGTCACAACTCTCTCTTCATTCAAACAGTTCACAAAGCGAGGACTGGGACCGCTCCCTCATCATAAACGAAAAGGACATAGGGAATGATGCAAAAACACCGCGTAATTCCGTCGCGTTCCCCGCAGACGGTGAAGTTTATGCAACTCCGACAGGACCGACTGGAACGAAAGGGAAGAGGTCCTTGAGTGAGCTTTTGAGGCTCCATGCAGAGAAGGGAACAGAATGTCGGTTCAGTCCAGAGGAAGCAACGAGAGTGGCGGAGGTCCTTGGACAATGGGTACGTAGTGGTATTTTGTTTTCTTGTGTGCCACCACGAACTTGACTCTTTTTTCAGATTAATGCATCATCATCACCTTATGAAGACGAGGATGATTTCTTTTCCAAGGGATCACAAGATGATTTATCTTTACCAAAACGCTCTCCGTCTGCGCTATCAAATAGTCGCTCGAGAGGCCACAGCGAGAGCGCAAATTCGCGTCCTCCTAGTTCCGCAGGAAAACGTTCGTAGACTTTGCCTTTCGGAATCGGTCATCTTTGTTTTTTTTGTCGCTTATATTGTGCCTCCTTGCTTTGCTCTTCGCTGTCTTATACTTGGGATCCTGCATTATTTATCATCCTACATAGCTTCGGATTCCTCCCATTCCACTCTAGAACACATCACTCCTATAATCTACGACTTCACTCTTCCTCATGATGTTTTTTTGCAGTCCTCACTCCATTGTTGCATTATTTTTACGACTTTCACGACTTGCAACGACCTATCATGACAATATAAATATGTCTAACGCTGGAGGAGATTTCAATCAGTTTTCAGTTCAACTCCTGTCGAAACTAGTATTATCTGGGAGTGTGTTGATAATTAGGCAGAGATGAATTCTGTATGGATCAAAAATGAATTTGAAGACAAGGCGACAGGATATGTACTATAACCCAACTATCAACAAACTACGAATGCAAAATGTCCGATGAATGTTCAGAGGCAGGCAGGTTTAGGATATGAACAGGGCAATGGTACCCAACAACAAGGCAGACATCATGCCAACTACAACGGTACCGCTCTTTGCAGCCACTCCCATGCAGCCATTGGAACTGGAGCTGGATGAGGTAGAAGTTGTAGAAGTGCCAGAAGCAGCAGAGCCAGTAGCGGACTTGGTGGCACTGGCTGAGCCGGAGCCAGATGATGCAGATGAGGTAGGCGCAACGGAAACGAGATTCTTGACAGTGCTCCAGGACGCGCTAGAGTCCGAAGAAGAATTGGTGTAAGGAATGTAGTTCACAGCACCAGAAGAGGTGAGCTGGACGATGGCAGCGTCGGATGCAAAGTAGGAGGCGGATGAGTCCTTGGTTGAAGGTCCAGCCATCGTTGCGGTGGTGTTAGACTATAATGTAGGTATCAAACATTGCTCGGAATGAATAAAGGGTCACAAAATCCCTTACCACGACGTCGATGATGTATGTAGCAGAGCCGTCATCAGGAATGTAAGCGAAAGCGAGCTGGACCTGAAAGATATACACCACATCAGGCGAAGTCCCGATAATTTGAAAACATGAGGGTACTAACACCATCGTTAGCAGGCTCAAAGATTGAAGTGGTCTGGCCGTGTTGCGCAGGGAAGTTTCCGTACGACTGAGAATCAGGTTGGAACCACGAAACTGTTTCGAAAAATGAGTACAGAAAAACTTGTATCAAAGTGCTCCTTACAGTGGATTACAAAGATGTCTGCACTTCCTGCAGCGACTCCGGGAACATCAAGGAAGTGAACATGGTTGTTTGCAAGAGCCATGACGGGTTGGTAGTTGGTGGTATCAAAGCCAGCTTTTTCAACATCAGTCCAAGGAATAGTCGAAGACTGCGCGGCGGTCGTGATGTTTTCGAAGCTCAGGAACCACAGTTCACCGGAGTCGGAGAGTACGTCTGAACACAAGCGAAGTGAGCATTAAGGTATTGCAAAAAGTAGAATAGAACTTACAGAAGACATTTGTGTCGTGATCGAGAACGGCTGAATACCCGTCAGTGGGACCGCCACTGGTGGCTTGGGTAGTCCATGATTTCGCGGTAGGGTCATAGATGTGCACGTCGGAAGGATTAGAAGAGTCGCCATTCAGCACATAAATCCCGTTGTAGAACTGGCAGTTTTATCAGGTCAAAACCTAACGATGTCAAAAGTTGCACTACATTCCTACCTGGGAGAGATAGCAAGTAGTGTTAGCACCGTCGAATGGGCTGAAAGAATTACAATTCAGGATCGACTAGTTTCTGTTTCATTGAGATGTAATGAACTCACGGCCGACCCGAAGCTGTAACGTCGGACGCGGTGCCTAGCAGAGATGATATAAGAGCCAAATCCTGATACGAGGTCAAGAAAGGCATACCAGAAGCCCAAGAATCAGAGGTACCAGCATTGTAGTCCTTGCCATTGAACCCGAATGCGTACAAGTTCCACGAAGCGTCAAATGCTACACAAGGACTTGCAGCAACCCGGGAGCCGACGGAGAAGAATAAAAGAGAGACGAGGGTTAGTAAACGAGCCATTAACGAATTCTTAGTAGAGAGGTTAGGATGGGGTCAATCGGGTGTGTCGTGGTGGAAAGAGAAAAAGTAGCTAAATGGCGTTGGAGACTCTAAAAATATAAATCAATTGAGAGTGAATGTTGATGGCAACTTGCCGAAAACTCTATTTGTCCCTGCTTGTTTCGATGAGCTGATTACACATGATTAAACGCCCATTGCTCGCCTCAGGCGAAAGGAGTGGGTGGGCGGAACTGAGCTGCTGAATGTGCACCGCACGAGTCACTCGTAGTCTGTTTCAAGTAGTCATCTCGAATAAGGTATGAACATCCTCAGCCACATGAGCTCCTTCGTAGGATTCTAACTAACATGAAGTTACAGGATAAGTAGTGCTTGGGTTTGCAAGAACCATGCAATAATATCAGGGATCCACTCTCTGATGCTACAGTACGCTAGACAGGAAGGTCGATTACACATGTCATCCTCGTCGGATGGCCTTAGTATGCTACTCAAGAATAACTGCGGTATCCCACATCTGTAAAACCTGGATTTTCGGCTAATAGCTGGAGAGCAGCTGACAGCGCTGTCCAGCTGGGAAAGCACTCCCAGCAGTTGATCAATACTGCTGGGAGTGCTTTCAGTGCTGGACAGCGCTCTCCAGCCAGTATCCTTGCTCTGGCGAACATCCATGTTTTGCAGATGCAGGTTTCATCTACTGTCATTCATCGAAGGAGAAATCAAGATGCAGTCGATGTTTTGCTCAACGTCACTAGAATATCCTCTTGACAATTGCTGTCTTGTACTGGCAATCCACTTCCGCCACCGCCGGAACCTAGACGGTACCAGAGGAAAGTAGTCCTTTTTCGGAACTGCTTCTGACCCCATCTCAGGTAAGAGACCTCCCCATGAATATCAAGCGGACGCAGTAGACCTTAGTGATCGAGGGTGAGTGAACTTGGGCTTTGTCTCAATTACCTTTATCTCTATCCTTGCGGCAGCAGCTGTCAGACTGTTGGCCTCAAGGTGGTATTGAAGGTGTTTGTCCCTTTTTGCTCAGCGTATCTCTACTACATCAGTCGCAGCGTCTTATCCTTTGTAGAGCTTATCGAAGGTCTAGACATTGATACAGCTAAACCCAGCGGGTACATCTTCGATCCCTATACAAGATAGCTCAGTATGCCTAGATAATGGTAGTTCTTTTGATTTGACCAAAGAATCTTTGTTTTGTTATCCCTCGTGTTAAACCCCACGCTTTTGAGCAACTCGATCTTGTATATCTTAGCCAACCATCGGCTTTGGGGATGTAAGTTGGTGTAAAGCTTTGCCCAATCATACTCCATCGTGCATGAACACGGTTTACATATATCATGATCTTCCAGAGACGCGTACTTTCAGAATCGAGATGGTTGATCTGGGAGCTTTCGGCTAGATGTTTCTAGATGTGCAACGTGTTCTCCTCATGTTAGGGAAAGATATCAGCTGATGACCCGCAAAGGAACTGGTTGAAAATAGCGATGAAGGCATGAGCAGTTTTTCGCTCGTCGTCCTGCTACTAGAACGTCTTGGGTCTTTCTTCTCTTCGTTTTGCAAGGTTGTGCATCGGCGCGGGTTTCAGTGACATACAGAAACGCGTTGAAAGGGCGCGATCACGAGACTTAAATAATTGATCGGCTACTTGCGGTCCGAAGGGCGTGCCATAAAACCGACGGATTCGGATTGCCCTTATTCCTTCCTTCCTTGTTCAACGTCGCGTTTCCCGCCTGTTGCCAGCGTGTTCGAGGGCCTCCGCACAGACACAGCCCTTGGACTGCTTCTATCACTCGACCTGAGTTAAGCTCACCCACTGTCCTTTCTTCTAATCCTATACGTCTCTTCCACGATAACGAATACTTATATGACTTTTATGTTGTCCAACGTCCGCGACAATCACGAGGATGCTGAACATTCTTGCTCGAGTGGGACGAAAAGGAAATCCCTATCTCTGTTACCGTCGTCGCCTACAAAGTTGAAGCGTGTCGACCGCTCACATTCTCGAGGATCGTCTTTGTCATTGCTAACAGCGTCATCGTTGACGACGTCCGCGATATCAAGACTATCGTCTTTGAGATATTCAAAGCGTTCAGGTCAACCGCCATCGCCGAACTCAAGGAAGTCGCCTCCAATCTGTACGATATCATTGGAGAGTGTGACTGTCAACATCTGTGATGAAGATAGAAATCTCTCCAAGTCTTATACAGTGCCTTCCCCTTTAAAGGTTGTGGACGTTAATGTCATCCCTTTTCCCAAGGCTTCGTCAGATGAGTCGGAGCCTCAACCATCTTCCAATCTGCCAACAGGTCGCCGACGACGTTCCAACCATCTCCTTCTTGGTCATCGACGTTCAAGTTCCGTACACTCGATATCATCCCAGCATAAGAAGGAGAACTTGGATTCCTTTGCGTTCCCATCTCCTCGAGCGTCGCCAGCCCCAAAGAGAACGAAATCATCTGCACGCACGCCCGCTAGTAACAACAGCTTCTCGGCTCCTAAAGCCAGCTCATATTCTTTCAAGGATATACGTTTCATTGCATTGATCAGAAGAAGTATCATGCATGGTATTACGTGGAGAGAAGAAATGAAAGCCTGTGGGAGGATGGACATCGACGGAGGATTTAGTAGTGGCAGTGTCACCTTCGACATTCTCAGCGATAGCGAAAGTGACGAAGAGGGTGATGAGACTGCTGATCCAAGACGCATACAATCGCATGATTACATTATGCATAACCAGGATGTCCTGCTTGTTGATCGGCTAGGCAAACATCTTTCTGACTGGGGTTATCGCGAACGAGAGCCGTTTGTGCCACTTTCTCCACCTCCATCCCCTCTCCGTATGCCTCTCGCATCTGTCGCCCTTTCTACTGCCACTGTTACTATCGATTCTGTGCCTCTCCTTCAGCCTTCATTGATGGCGCCTCTTGCGACTGGGATCATTCACCTCCCTGACCTCGAAGGACATGCCACGCGTGTGTCATTCCTTGACAAAGCTCATTATCAGGAAGAGAATGCAATGGACATGGACGTTGACCGACCCGAACGACCTACTTCTCCTGTGGCGCGGTTCCTCGAGCCCGCTGCGAATATCCTGCCGATAACGGAAGGGCCTGGTGAACATCCATCGCCGCCTCTTTTCGAACCCTCCTCATCGTCGTTGAACGACACAATCGGGCCCGCGCACTCGCAGCAACACCCGGTCATTGTGGTCCCAAAACCTATTCCATCTCCTCCACCCGTATCTCCCTTTGCTCTAGGCTCTCCATCTTCCCACCAACGCGTCCTCAACCCATCTCAACTCGTCGCGACACTTGTGTTACGCCACAGAGAAAAGACGGCTGTAAGATCCCGTGGATGTTCCCAAGTCGGGAACGACACGTTTGGTAAAGCCATGATGAGACCCTCGCCGCTAGCGTGCGAGCTGTAGCCTTGGTCGAGAATGGGAGGCGCTTGCGCTTCTCTTGTGGTGTGAAGGAAAAATAGGACTGGCTCAATCATGTCGACTGGTTTCTTGATTTGTACTTTCGCCGTGCGATTGATTAAGTTGTTGGCTTCAGCCATGTTCGTGCTCTGGCGGTACGAGATATGAATGAAGTTTATTGGTCCACTTCATCTAGCTTTGTGAGTATATGTTGATTTCTCTTCACCATTAGATTGCTACCTTTTCCGCGGATGCTTATCCGTTGTACAGGAATACTAGTCTGGTCTACGTTCGGTAGGATTTTAAGGTATCCATCATCAACACCAGCAAATTCTCTGCAATCTCAACCCTTTGTATTCTTTGTCTCATCGATCTCCATGCTTTCCACTCATCATCATCATAATGATCATAATCATCACCCATTGCATCGCATTTGTTCGTCGTCCTATCGCTATTGCTATCGAATAACACATGTGTACCAGTTATCTGCAATTCCTTGTTAGCATCTGCATTTTTCATCAACTACCCCTTTGTCTGTCCCATACTTCATCCTTCTATGACTCGGTCGACTCTTTGATTGCGCAGCCTTTGTGCATGCTACATCTTCAGCCTATCACGATCGAGTCGTGTACATAGTTGACCGAGCTTTTCATTAAAAAAATCCTCTTCGTCGTCTTAGCTGGCGGTTCACAAGTGATGTTAGTACACATCCGGACTTGTTATTCTTCTTCTCCATTGTATGTCATTGAAGTTTTCGCAGACTTTTAGCCTTCTCCGGGGGGTTTCCGTAGTATTAGCGTTGGCTGTTCTTTTATGACTCCTCGTAGACGAGTATGCCTTCGTTTGTGACGCTTTACACTTTATCACAATGGAATGTCTTTTCGTCACTGTGGGGTTTTACCAAGTTTTTCCGTGGAGAACCGTACATACGTATACAATTTTATGGATTGCGGTAGGTATGTATGAACCTGAAACTTAAATAAAGCTAAAGTTCGGAGGCCTTTCCGCTACTTTCCGTCGGTACTTATTGGATACCTCTCTCTGTCTTTCCTCATTGAATAACGCGAAATCTAGCCCACCGATAGCTCACGGTTTAGACAGTCGCCACCAATGAGCTTGCAAAGTTAGTCTGGCGGTCGCATGACTGCTCTTTATACAGTATTGAAAGTATGTAATCGCTTCATTCGCTTTATCAGCTTTCTCAACGCGACCAGTTCAAGCTTTACTTTCTCCTTTCTTGTCTCTCAACAGCTGTATGTGGTTTCGCTCGGCATCCAGCGACAAACATGGCGCATTCAGTTAACCCTGGACCTCAAATCGTTGGCGATAATGAGTTGGCAGAAGCCAATGCCACGATGAAGTTGGATTCATCTGGTGACGGAAATCTCAAATCGCACAGTGAGCATCTGGCGGTTATCTATATCCCACCAACAACTTACTCATCTGAATAGAGTCCGATGAACAACGCTCACACCGGCCGGGTTCGATAGAAATAGTTCCCGGCCTGAACATCATCGACTTGACTAGATCACCTACTGATAGCTCCCGGCAAGAGCTGCAAGGCCTCACTATCCACGACTTGGATACTGATGATACTGACGATAGCGAGGAAGTTCCAAATATTAATATTAACCAGGGTAATGCCTGTGCTATTACTTTCCGCAATTCGACCTCATTCAAAATATCTGTTTCACTAGAACATCCTTCGCCTACAGCGCCCATGGTTATACCTACCAACAGGTCCATTCGCTTTCGGTCACGAGTGAGAATAACATCCGGGGTTCACCGGCACCGTGAGCACCGACATCGAAATACCGCTGTTCATAATTCTTTACACCCTGCTGGATTACTTGGCCGTTCTGAAGGAAACACAGCGGTCAGTTCTTGTTCCAGCTCACCGTCGTCTTCAATCTCTGCCCCCATTCGATTCAGAGAAGACGAAGCGACGGTGTCGCCGAAATGGGGTCCCCTCGGCCAACGCGTCCAATTATTCGTTTCCCAGCAAAAAGATAAAGCTAAAAGGGTTCAGGCTGATAGGGAGGCATGCGAACGAGAAGCCAGAAGACGGTATCTATTGGTGTATAGCCCTGGTCCTAACTCTGTTTCGAACTTTGCTCGTTCACCGGCAAATGATCATGAACGTACACCTTTGCTAAATCCTGCGAGAACAGGACAGCAAAAGTCGCCTGCAGCAGCGCCGTTAGGAGACGGCGATGACTCGGACCTTTGTGAGATCGAAACGGAGAGTGATTACGAGGCGAGGTTGAACCATGAAATTGATATGATCTTTGGGCAATGGCCTAAAAGGCTATTGAATCGACATGTAAGCATCATCCTTCTCTATGGGAGTAGCAACCCATTTCTGTTTTTAGTGGTGGTGGTGGCAAATAAAACCTATAGTTTGCTGCAGTTACGCAGAAGACTGGGAAACGGAATTTTAACGCAAAAACATGACTGCGTAAGTAAGTAAGTATGTGTGTATATTGAGCGGACAGAACTTGTTTTGGAATACTTATGTAGTACAGTACTGAAGTAGATTTTCACTCTCCTCGTCTGTTGTAATCTCATAGTAATTATATGGTAACAAAGGTTGTCGAGCGCTTCTCAATTTTGATGATCAAGCGCCCAGTGATGCAGACACTTGTTATTCTTTTTCCGGAACTGAGAGTTTGCAATGTTTCCAACAGTGGCACGATTGTCCAAAGCCTCTCGACGACCTTTGACAACAAAGAGAGGAAATAAGGACTACTACAAAGGTCTTTTTCAAAACTTTGAACTTCCCTCCTTGAATTCTATCCTAATTAGAATTCTTTCAGGTACTCGTCAGGCTTTTCTCCCAGGTGGCCATCGCACTGGTGCTCCAGGTAAACATGTCGTTCGGGGAAAGGCGAAGTATCGTCTACTGGACGAAAAAGTGAGAGTGTTCGTGGCTCCGCCATTGCATGTCATCGAATCATCACCGGTGCGTTCCTCTTCATATTCTCTTCAGTTCTTTGCTCGAATCATACACATCCTGCTCCATTCATAGCTAAAGCCGTACGTCCATACCTCTGTAAGGCACACAAAATCCCAAGGACTCACGCCGTACGGAAAATTCAAAACCGTTGGTGGTTTGACATCGGAACATTACTTCAAATTGCTACGAACCACTGCCGCAGAACAACATAAACGTGCAAAGAACGGCCAGTTGGTGGAGGCAGATGCACAAGGAGCTGTAACACCTGATGGTCAACAGAATCCAACACTGTTAAATAGGGCTATGGAGACATTGGGGTTGCGATGATGGCGTGCCCTAGTGAGTCCCAACTGTTGAACGATGCCAGAGAGTTCTTATATCTCTAATTCAATGTGCAGCCTGAGGCTTGAGGATGCACATTCCTTCGAAGTATCTATCATAACTATGACGCTGCCCGTGTATATCTAGTATTCACTATTCAACTTTACATTCACTACCTAGAACTTCATCATGACATCCGTAAGTCAGTGACTGTTCATACTAAGACTGCGAGTTATACATATTCTCCTCAACTTGAACATAGCCACTTATAATTAGTGGTAACAACAAATATACACACTGCTAACCGAGTAGCTGCGAGTTGTCTTCCTCCATCACGTCGGTTTTGGTGCGTCTCATAATCATTAATGAAAGGATTCTCATAAATTCTTTCTTCTAGGTATGTCGGCATCAGACCCACCCGATGAATTTGAAGAACACGCTATTTCGGAACGATGGCGAACATTTTCGTCGCTTCCAACTACTCAACTTCGCGCGATATTGACACAGGAGCAAATCGATATTCATATTCTTCGCGACAAACTCTCTGCTGCAGAGAAAAAAGTCGCGATGATCAAAACCATTCTATCTCCATTTTCGCGTCTTCCACAGGAACTCATTTCCGAAATATTTCACGTTTACTGTGCCACTCAAGGTGTCATTTACGACGCGTTCCAAAAACGGAATTCGCGAACTCGCCCATCCAAAGTTGACCCGGACAGAATCGTATCTGGGGTCTTCACGATCCCTCCTCAGTTGATCCTCACACAAATCTGCAGCTATTGGCGAACTGTGGCCCACGAGACGCGATCTCTTTGGACGAATTTAACCGTATATATCCAGACGGGCAAATTCACTCACCACGAACAGCTCATCGAAAATTGGTTAAATCATAGTGGTCAGAATATGCCTTTAGACATTTTCCTATCCGTTCCAAAGGGCAAAGGTCAAGTCACCAAGTCCATCATGCTCGGTATCATTCCGTTTGCAAATCGTTGGCGTCGTCTTGAGCTCTCGGCCCCCTTCCAGACTATCCGGCCGCTCCTCATTAGAACTCTTGATGCTCCTTTGCTCGAGCACGTGCGGATGAACATCTGTCATATCACAGAGTCTTCGATGCTTGCGTATTCCATGGATGTAACTTTCGTTTCAGATGGCTACTATCCTGCCTTTCATAATGCTCCGAAATTATACTCCTTCGACTGCGGGGCTATCTTCGACCCCGATACTTATCATGAGGATACATTCTCCTTCCTAACCATTCTTCCACAGCCTCAGCAACTTACCCATCTCGCTATGAATGGCAATGCATTTGTCCCATCCATCTCTGGCGGTTTCTCGTTACTGGGGGTATATGCGCACAATCTTGTATCTCTCTCTATCCATGTATCTCGCGAAACTCCTGACGCAGAGGCGCCATTTCCTTTGACCTTTCCCCAACTTCGTTCTTTATCGGTCGTTGCGTCATTTCCCTTTGACGGAGACCACTTTTTCGAACAGCTTACCTTGCCCGTCCTCGAAACTTTCGAATTCACGATAGAGAAAGATTGTTTTATGAATGATCAAGCATATACAAAAATAATAGATATGCAGGCCAGGTCATCGTTTGTCCTGAAGGAGATCGCGATCTGCAACGCTTTTAATGCCTCGAACCTGTGCACATTTCTTGAAATGCAGAACTCATTGAGACGTTTAACCCTCTCTGCTCTCCATTCTTGCAAACTCCAGAATGTAGTGAGCTGGCTTTCTAACAAGCCCTCGGCCTTGCCATGTTTACAAGAATTGCACCTATTGGGTGGTCAAATGAAAATGGGTAGTGAAGATCCCTGGGAGGGACTAGTGGATATAATTCATGGCCGGGCTCAGTTACCTGGCGAGCTGATGGGTGTCTGCGGGAATCTGCAGCTACTCGATATCCGCATGTCCAAGACGGCATTTGGACGTATGGACCAGGATGAGTTAAATTCACTGCAACAATATAGGGATCTCGGGTTGGACATTCGTTTCCATATATGGCTTTCTAACGGGAAGTTGGTCGATGCCGTGGATCACCTCGCTTCCTGAACATTTGCATCTATTTGAACCTCATGGATGGAACGTACCTATCTTTTTGAACCCTCATGGTTTCACGGAACTGTACGAATCCTCGGATTTCCAAGAGCTACTATGACGTCTTGTTAATATCCCTACTCAGTCTTCTGTTTATAGCAGGTTTCGTCTGTCCACTTATATGTCTGTGTTGGACCTGGGTAATAATCGAATTCCTCGGGCCTTGCGGTCTGTTCATTCCATGTACATAGATTCATCGTGCTTGTTCAAACGTTCACGGGGCAGACCCTTTTAGTCCGATACTCTCCGCGTAAGCCGTCATCAACGCATCCCGTGTCATTATGAGGGTCACTAGAGAGGAACCAGGACCTAGCCAGTATGTTACCGCATCCTCATGTTATATCCCCCCATACGTTGGAAGGCATTTAAGGATTCGGGAGAAAATCGCTCATATCGGCTCATTTCCTCTAGAGTCAAGAAGATAATTACCCCAGATTTGCGCGCGTATATACAGCCAATCGCAACCGAATCGCAAGTAAATGGAAACCAGATGGAAACCTACATGAAGGCGCGCTAAGACCCGCGAAGACCTCAGACCCGAAGAGAGGCGCAAAGGGTAGTGAGAACCATCAGGTCCCCAGAATCTCCTGCAGAACCCCGCCCGGCCTGACGCCCTAATTGACGCTACGATTTTGCCATGATTGACGCTATTTCGGACCAGGATCGTCACGTGAAATCGAGAATTTTTTCTAAAATTTCCTTTACAGGGTTTTGCATAATTCCGTGAAAACAGGGTTTTTTTTTCCTACTTCGGTCCGATTTTTGAATGTTCCGGACCCAACTTTGATGTCGACCCGACGTGGCAACAACGACCACCCGCTCAACATCCCGACACACTGTTATTACATTAGTGCCTCTTACTTGTTAGAAAACTTCAATATATGACAGCAGCCTCTCAATACTAAGCTTTTTAGTCAATACCTGCTGGATCCTGTTCTTTTTGCAGCTATTCCAGTAAATTTTAGGTGCATGTACATCGTGAGGAGACAGTGTGCAGAGGTATGGCGCTGTTACTGGGCACGACGCCAAGCAGTCAGCTGTCAGGCCGGAGATCTCGGTCGAAGTCGCTTATGGAGCGGTCCGGTAAAAAAAAATTTCCCATTTTCACGGAATTATGCAAAGGGCTGTAAAATTCAAATGTTGATGTTCTTTTTCCAGTGCTCAAAAAAATTTTGGTTCGGTGCTGGTGCGCCGACTCCTGCCGACTCAAATGACGCTATAAACGGACAAGGACTACGGATTTTGACTGAAAATGACGCTATTTTAGGACCAGGAAATCGCCAAAATCGGGTCCAAAATGACGCTATTTCGGGTGAGGTTCTGCAGGAGATTCTGGGGGCCTGAACCATCACATCTAGATGACATGATTAGTATGTAGGTATGTCAGCTCAGCAACAAATCGTTTCTCGGGAGCATGATACTAGTAACACCTGATAGCAGTTACTGCATTTGCCCAAGACCTTGAATACCACGTATAATTTTTCCTTTCTTAAGGGAGTCAGAAGAGCCGTCGGAACGGCCTATAGCCTCAGAATGCAAGTGGGCCCTGCAAGGCACTACATATATATGTGTTTGCGCAATATTACAGGTTATTACAGGCAGTAATGCGATTGCCATTGTTTTAGATCGTACTACTGTACATTTTGATTCGACAGATATTCAAAAACGATACAATTGTGATGAGTATACCATACATCAAAAACCAAATTTATCCACAGTAAGTAAAGAAGAGTCCATGAGCCATACAATCGGAAAACAAATTTTTCGGAAGCCGTAAGCAACGATTGTCGGATATGTTTTGTTCACCCTCTACCTCGAACCCTAACGATAACCCTTTGGTAATTGAATGCAGACATCCAGAGAAATTATATGCGCATTTCCGCGCAGAGTGGTAATGAGAGGCAGAGTGATTCGAATATGACGGAGCCAAAAGAGCGTGAAGGAAACAACTAGGCGAAGAGGGGAAAGATGGGGACAGCCTAAGCATACACTGAAGCGGGGTTTCGAGATATGATGGCGACTGTCAGAAGGAGATATCCTGGTTGCTGGGACATTATTTGATCCTGTAGGTTACCAATCGGCGGCGCTTTCCTCGTTGGTACCCGAGCGCCTCCAATCAGCGGCACTGGCCTCTCCGGTCCCAGACCGTCGCCAGTCTGCAGCACTGGCCTCTCCAGTACCGGAGCGTTTCCAGTCTGCAGCGCTAGCCTCTCCAGTACCAGACCGACGCCAGTCTGCGGCACTAGCCTCTCCAGTTCCAGACCGTCTCCAATCTGCAGCGCTAGCCTCTCCAGTCCCAGAGCGTTTCCAGTCGGCAGCGCTAGCCTCTCCAGTCCCAGAACGTTTCCAATCTGCGGCGCTAGCCTCTCCAGTACCTGACCTTGAGATTAAATTCTAACATGCAAAAAATTAGAATGCGTTCAAGATCGGATTTTATCAAGGAGTTTACTAACCTCAATCGGAGCAGCTCGAGAGCAAGCAATTAATATCGAGAAGATGATAACCATAGCACCTGCTATGAAGAAATTTGCTCGCATTGTGAAGATTGTTATGGGGAAATGTGGGTGGCAAGAAGGAAGAGGATGAAAGATGACAACGGCTTTCTCACCGAAGCTATGATATATTCCGCATATTTATATACTAATCATTTATAGGACGGAAAGAGTGACGGAAGTCGGGACTGAAGTCTGAGGTGCCTGAAAACCTGAATACCGGTTAGACAAAATCTAGTAAAATTGGTCCTGATGCGTCCTGATTTATCGCAGTTTCTACAGAATATTTTGAGGCCAGGTACATCAATAGTGATACTTCCGGCGGCAGGCCATCTCCTCAACATTGTGCCTTATCAACGTTCAGCATCGCTCCCATGCCTTTTCATGAAAGGTCTCAGGGCTTTTAAGTCACAAGCGTTGGACGTCATCTTGGACTCTGCCACCTGTAAGGGTTCTCGTTTCTTCTTCAACGAATTCCAACATTCACGCGGTCGAATTTGTTGGAAACTCATTATCACAGATCAAACTACTTCCTGTTACTTCGGTTATTGGCAAAGATATATATACAGCACCATGTTCCTGAGCTATCCGGATGAATCCGCAGTCATCCCAGCTTTGGAGCAAAAGCAATTTTGCAACAGACTTTGACTATGTATCATTCTTCCTTTCGAGTCTTTACTCCCTCCGAGCTCTTGACGGACGTTTCTCACTCTAGCCTAGAATCCTTATCCTTACACGTTGCGGAGCTCATGATTCTCGCAATTGAACAGACTATAATCAGCGAAGTTCCGAGTCTTCTCCACTCAATACTTCATTATGAAGTTCTTCCGACTTCAAGGTTATTTTATATCTGTCTTATCCAAACACAACTCGGAAGCGGAAGATCCATGGACATCTAGCGATTGTAGACTGCCAATACAAGATACTTCAGAAAATCTCCTACCCAAATTGCATCCTGCTTTCAAGATCGGTATACGAAATTTCGTGCCTTTGCCTGTGAGATCCCCAGTTGTTCAAAAGTTCCCTTCTTGAATAGGACATTCGGACACATTGCGGACAGGAACCATTCATCTTCTTCCCACTATTATGCAATTCTTTTGAAGTGTGCCGGTCGGTGGACGAGAAAATGGAAAACAGACTCCAGCTATTAGTAGAAACTGTTAATGAAATCTTAAACTGATCCTTCTGCGACGCAACAAGAGCATTTTCATCACTGGATACAGGAACCATGTTCATGGCGTCCAGACTGACGGGAAATCATTATAATCCATGCTCCTTGCAATACTACTAAATAGTTCGTAATGGTCTCTCCTTAATGGCCTTGTATCCCTATGCATAATATGTTCAATCTTCGCACCTGGCAATTTAGCTGCCGGAGTGCGGTTCTGAATCTTTACGGGCTTCCTTTTTGGGGCGCGGTTCAGACCTGGAGGGTTGGCATATTTATCTTAATGCTGATCCATCTGAGTTCAGTCTAGACTAAGTTCAAAGGGCACATGTTGATGGCTAGATCTAGACGGTGACGGTGGACCTAGTATCACTTTATATCCTTGTACAGTCGGTTCACGCTGATTTGCAGCCAAAAGGAGGAGTATTTGCGTGTATGTATACAAGTAGAATGTTAACATGGAGCTTGGTACACACCGGTAGGGACTGGTGGGCAGCCATATGCCTACCTGAAAGAATGCCTGCACCTAGAGCGTTCGGGGATCTACGCTCAAAGTCTGGAGAGGGAGACGGAAGAGGGATAAACGGCATCAAGAATTGAACGCCGATTTAAGCGCCCATTGCCAATGGTAAAATTTTGCCTGCCGGAACAACATTCGACCTTTGACCGAGCCTTTCGTCCAGAACGTTGGGATTGTGCGAGTTGGGCTTCAGACTTCAACCCTTTTCCTGGGCTTGTGCTTCGGGGATTCAAAGATCAGAATACCAAATTTCTTCATGCCCTTCTTTTCTCAGATATTTTGTTGCAGTTACTGAAGAACCCGTTACAGCCTTACAGGCTTGAATTCTAGTTTGACTTCTAGCTTTCGCCTTCGCACTAAGCTATGTCTGCGTCTGTGTTTCTGCTTTCCTCTTTTCGAGAAGTGACAGGGCTCGGGGCCTTGAAAACTTCAACGCGCTCTGTACATACATTCAAAACTGGTAAAAATAATGCATCGAACCCGTCCAAACGTAAGTGATACCCTCTGTTCATACGTTTGTTCATGTAACCCCAGTCGTTGAATAGGAAAAAGAACTCAAAATCGACAAAATAGTCGTGGTTGGACCTCTCCGTCACCTCCGTCGTCCGAACAATCCCCGGCACAATCTTTTAGATCATCTACCACGAAGACACCTGAATCCCACCGCCCGCGCCTGTCCCGTGAGCTCCCGAGACTTCGTGAAAAAGACGTTGTTCAGCAGCGCATTGCCTCTTTCCAAACCGAACGAAATCAGGACGCGAACCAGTGGGCGCAGAAGTTGGCTGAAAGGCATGAAAAGGAAGCCAGGGAAGAGAGACACCGGAAAATGGTACAAGAGATGAAACGGGGCATGCAGGTTGACGCGGTTGAACGCAGGCGAAAGGAATTGGAAAGTCGGATTGCGAAGCGAGACGGAACGTGGAAACATGAAATCCACAATCAGAAAGCGGAATCAGAACAAACATTAGGGCGAAGTAAAAGATTGTCAACAGATTCCGGGAAATTTGCAGATGGTGGTGTAGGGTCGAAAATTCAGTCGTGGATAACTAGAGCGCCAAAGACAGAACGAACAGTCCCCGTAAGGGAGACAATCATACCGCAGACAGCAAAAGATACGAAAGATCTACATAGAGAACGGTCAACCCATACATCTTCGCCTCATATTCCTCTCAAACCAAAAATAGCCACCAATTCCAGTGGTTTACCCCAACTGAAAGAGTTTTATCGCCCTCCACCTTCTCTGGTAAGTTGATTCTTCTATCTGAATATTTCGTTTTACCACTCTCTTACATGTACACTGACGCCTTTATAGACTCAACGTAAAGGCAAACTGTCGACGGTCCCGCTGACTTCGTCGTCAACCCAGGAATCTACCTCCTTCAGCTCTCCCCCTCTCCTTCCAGGACTCGTCTCGTGCTTGAACGATATTCTTGGTCCGCAGGCAAGTCCGACTGAGATCCAGAGACTGAGTATCGCAAGGGTTGTTGATGCAGTGAACAGTCCTGACTCCTCTACTCTTCCTTCTCTCGCACTCGAACCGGTTTCCGAACCTTCTGCTTACAAGGAATTTCTCCTCGCATCTGAAACGGGTTCGGGAAAATCAATAGCCTATCTACTTCCTCTCCTCCAATCACTCAAAGTATCCGAGTTGGCTCAGAATGCTCAAAAAACCTCTTCGACCTACGGCCCCGCTTCTAAATATGCATACAATCCTCGTTCCCTCGTCCTTGCACCCACGCACGAACTAGCCCGACAGCTATCCGGTTTCGCCAAAACGCTGTCCCATGAGATCAAGCTAAGGGTGGTGTGCACAAGTAGAGCCAATGGTAATAATCGAGAGAAGGATAAAGACCGGGCTCCTGACAAGGAATCAATGGTTTTGAGAGAGATGCGAGTCACCGAGACGGAGGGAGAACAGATAGCTGACGGAGTGACTGAATTAGACGTCCGACCCTTATCGCGGGATTCTTCTGCACATATTTTAACAGGCTCAGTGGGATCATCAACCTCTGGCTCTACCCGTCCAGTGGACGTCATGGTCGGCACACCCATGAAATTTCTCGAGATGATATTCGGGAGGGGTTGGGATCGCGCAGATGCCACTGATGCCAACAATGGTCACGCAAATACACGCAGAAGCATAGGCAAGCCAGAAATGGGTCTGTCCAATATCGAATGGGTTATAATAGATGAGGCCGACGTTCTCTTCGATCCCGACTTCAACTCGTTCACTCGCCTGATTCTGGCAGAGATCAGTAAAGCTAGAGGAAAGGAGGTAACTTTTGTGAAAGAGGATAAGGTTTTGAGTGCGGAGTGCTATCCTGAGGCACCTGCTGTGGCCGAGGACGTGGCTGAGGAGCCTAAAGAGGGAAATGACCGTTCCGACTCGGCGTCGGAGTCTCTACAGTCGCCCTCATCGACCTCAGTAACCTCAGCAGCATCTGTAATACCCACTAAATATCCATTCAACCTCATCTTAACAACTGCCACCATCCCGCCCGCGCTCCTGCTATATCTTCAACAACACCATCCTGCGATTTTTGCCCGCCGCCCCCGTCGCAGCCTTCGTCCCAACGCTGGAATACTCCGTTCGTCCGGTCTCCATCGCCTCCCAACTTCATTAAAAATCGATCAAGTAGATTGGAGTGGAGGGAACAAACTTGCGGATATTGAGAAGCGGCTAAGAGCTGTCTGGATGGAAGATGAGCGTAGATGGATGGGGAATGTGGGTAAAGGGCCAACGGAGTTGAGCAAGATCATTGTGTTTTGCAATAAATCCGCGAAGGTCGACGATCTAGGCGCTTATTTGGAGGAAAAGGGCATCAAGACCGTCACGCTAACGAGCAGAATTGGTTCGCTTTCGACTGTCGTCGAGGCGGGGGAAGACCACCCGAACCCTGGGGTTCCTGTCGAAGAAGGAAAATCCGACAAGGCTGAGAGAAAAGGTTCTGAACGAAGGCGTGGATCGAATAAGCATTTAGAAGGATTCTTGAGAGTGCGGTCAAAGTCAAGGGATTCATCCGACAGCAATCCTACCACGGAAGGACAGTCCTCGACGTCTTCGGCTCCACGCCGTCTGCAGCCTCTCGTCATTTCTTCGTCAGCATCACCTTCATCTCGCACCTCAAAACCCCCTTCAACACCAGCAACGCCGACACTATCCAACACTCCTCATGTCCTCCTAACGACTTCACTCCTTTCCCGTGGTCTTGACTTTGCACCTTCAGTTCGACACGTTTTCATCGTCGATGAGCCTAGGAACGTCGTGGACTTTCTACACCGTGCAGGGAGGACGGGAAGAGCAGGTACAGAAGGGGTTGTTGTTGTTTTTGGTAAGGGAGGAAGGAGCACGAGTCAAGGGAAGAAGGGACTGCCTATGGAGTGGAGAGGGGGAAGAAGTTGAAGAGAGGAAAATTAGGAGTGAGCATCATCGCTGTGAATGAGTTCACCGATGTGAACAGGCATTTACATAGCAGATACCTCGAAATTCTATCTTATCTTATCTTAGGTATGGATAATCCATCTAGTCGCAGTCAAAATGTTAATGGCTTGCTGCAACTGAGTTCGAGTACATTAATATCTATAATAATGGATACACCTTACTCGTGCACTTGTCATTGAAAATCCGGACTCTAAAATCTCCTCATTTACAGTAACGGATTCATTTTCAGGCAAGTGTCTATCTTGTGAGGAGAGAGTGGGTAGAGCACGCGACAATCTCAATGATACTTCTTTAGAAGTTTGGACGGACATCAGGACGTGGTTCATTCATGTTTTCTTCATAAAATCCAACTAATCCATCCTACTTACTATAGCGAACTACAGCCAGTCTTGTATTTAACGCTCGCGCACAGCGCAGTGGCGAAAGATAAGCATTCTGTACAATATATGTCGTCCTTTCTTGTCTTGCTCTCTTTTCAGCACCATCCTAATGCTCGATAGAGATGGAATAGAAATGGACCTCTGATGGACTCGATCCCTGATTATAGTTTCCCGCCTTGAAATAGCTCTTTGGCGAATCCAAATCGTATGTATCGAGCGTCATTTCCTCCCCATTGACAGTAACTTTTAACGTTCCCCCGCTATAATCAATTTCATATGTGAATTCGGTGCCAAGCGGAACAGTGGTTTCAAAAGTCGTGAACTTTTCATCCCCCCCACTACGTGTCTGTTCTACACCAGCTGCAATTACGCCTTTACTGTTGTAATACAGCTCAATGACCGGCTATGAGTGATTGCTTATCAGAAAAGCAAATCTCAGTATCAGAATGTCAACTAACCTTGGTGGAAACGCTATCATCAATATGGATTTGGCCGATGACAGTCCCGTGCTCACTGTCATCGGCTTGAATAACAGCAAGCGACACGGTCAGCTTGTTCGTATCCTGGGGATCCCAACTACCAAGTTCACGTAGTTCCGTACGACAATGAAGGGAGTTGGTGGTTGTAACACAGCCAGAAGATGAAGGGGATCCAGGAACTTTCATGACGAGTGCACCGTCAGTACTAGAGGTGTAAAAGTACTTGTCATCCTCATAGCCACCGTCACCCTTGAGGGACGAACTGGATTCAGTGTCAGGAGAGTCCTTGGAGCCAGTGCAGAGCTGAAGCTCCCAATTGGAAAAGTCGAAGTTTCCACCAGGAGCGACTGATTTATCAAGGGCAGCGACTGACCAGAAGTAGCAGGTGAGGAGAAGGAAGGCGGTGAGTCGGATGAGGTCTGTAGGTTTGAAGAGGGACCAGCCGGAAGAAGCCATTATGGATGAGTCGAGATACCAGCTCGAGAGGAATTCGCAGGCGACAAACAGATATGATTGGTATTTATAGTACCTGGGGATCTCATCAAGTCTAGAAATCGGGGAGACTCACCTGTTGATCTCAAATGGAAGAAAGGACAGAATGTAACCTAATGTTACAAGTTACACAAAGAAACTAGGAAACACCGCGTTGAGCGGTGACACTGATGCACTATGTATATGCCAGAATAGGTCAGAGCGTGATGAGCAATGTAAATCTTGATAAGTAACAGCACCTATTATATTAGTAAATCAGCGCTCGTGCGGGAAGGGTGCGTGTCCACTGCCCTGAGCTGGAAAGCTCGGGCATACCCTTAAAAGTCGATACAGGCTGATACCTGTTGATACCCACAGACAATGTCACCTAAAACATACCGTACTTATTTAATTTTTATAACAATGATGTAACAAGGCTTGATCTCATTGCGCTCCTTTTGACCCTCTTTTCCGGAGAGCAGTGTGCAAAATCCGCCGTGAGAGGGACTCAGATGGAATATCACAATAGATTGTAGATGCACAACAAAGGAGTATGTATATTCAGCAGCGATTGACCCATCGAGCTGGGTCGAAATTCTGGGTCTCGAAAAGAATCTTGGTTGCAGGGATGACGAATCAGGGTTAATGTTGTAAGCAAAGGCAGAATCTTTGATCATGACTAGACTCGAACCAGTCTGCTGCTGAGAAGCGATATGCGGAATCACTTTCTCGGCAGAGCGCCAGTTTCCAAAGTGTCAACTCGAGTCTAGATCATGACGATGATTCTGGGTTCTTTCCTGTTCTTTCTGGACGCCAAAATGTCGGCGTCTAAAGACTGCGCTCAAAAACTTAGTATCTCAATCAAGTAGAACGCCAGTGTGCCAGAGTGTGCCCTACCTGTTCTCCATGAACTTTTCAAACCAAAATTACATATTGTAATAGTGTTGAGCATGTCAAACTATACAGGTACATCTGGGAATATCAATCATTAATGAAGTTCAAACATTATTTTAGCTTGGCAAATCCAACAGCAGTTTCTTCCAAGCTGAAGACGTGGTAGGCGTTCTTCATCCAGCTATAAGAATTGACAGGTTCACTTGGTAAAAATTCGCATTTCAAAGGGGCAATAGACTGAACAAACCTATCACCAAGTAATAAAGTCGTGTTTCCAAGTCCGAGGTCTTTAGCAGCGAGCGCGCCAGCACAGGTAGAGGCATTTGGAGCAGTAGTTCCTAGATTAAAACTGATATAGATAGAAAGAGTATTAGTATTCAAATTGAACGAAAAGATGCGATGCATGTGACACTCACTTCTCAGACGAGATCGCAAATTTTTCTCCACCCCAGCTGAACGAGATCTCCGGCACCTTATCGCAAGGGAAAGAATAAAAACCTTCACTGGAGTCAAATACCTCGGCACCTTCGACTTTGGAATATATATCTTTCACCATATCCGGGGGTCCATACATGATCGTCGTCCCAGAGTCAATGATAGTATCAAAGTCCGAGAAGACGGTCTGTCCCCCGACAGTGATGCTGGCATTCTTGACCTGCCAGAACCCGTTTGACTTGTCCACTGGGTGGTACTCAATCGGGTCGTTGTATAGTTTTGGGTTAGTTCCGCCGAGATACAGCTCAGAATTATTCTTGGCGAGGTAGAAGCTGAAAGCCTTTGTGGTGATGGCATTTTGCTGAGCGGCGCTCACAAAAACAGGATCGGCTTTCAAGATTGAGATGGAAGGGAATCCGAGGCCGAGAACACCATCGACTGGGTCAGAAGCGAAGCTCGACGATAGATTAGTTACAGCGGAAAATCTTTGTCTTTGAACTTTGACTCCCGCGAAGGTGACGGTATCAGAGTATATTGAACCAGATACGGTAGAACCGTCGCCGTACTGGATAGAGAACGTGCCGGTCTCATTTTGGGAAGTTGAGGATGAGCTCGCATTATATTTGTGCTTGCTTGAACATGCAGTGGAATTACACAGCGATGAGGGTACCCAGAGGTCGGAGGAGCCGGCTACGAACAAAAATAGTTGATCAATTTGCATTATCAGAAAGTAATGTTCGTACTATCAAAGTCCACTAAAAACTTTTGGCCAGGTCTACCGATCGTAATCATGCCTGTTATAGAGAAATACTCAACTACGCAGTTTCCAGAAACATCATCGAACAACCTACCTGCCCATTCTGAATCGTCGTTCTCATCCGTGAGACTCTCGTCATGCTGCCCTCGAACTTGTATTTGGGTTCGCAGTGGAATATCAATTAGTTTCATACCCTAAAGTAGTATCAAGATTAGTGGACTTATCGAGAAAGGAGACGAAGTCACGAACCGCTGGTAGAGATCCTCCACTATTTCCTTGGAGGTTCATCAGGTTTCGACGATACTTGAGTGCAGTCGCAGCATTGCAAACGACGGCCTTGTTATGATTGAAGGTACCATCGGCATTGATCAGCAAGGTACGATCTGGCAAAGATATTGCTCCATAGGGTTGTTCACTTTGGGGGGAGGCAGAAACACAATTTGGAAGCGCCGCGATGGCGAGTGTGAGGGTTATGGATCCAGCGACAGAGGAAGAGATTTTGAGAAGCATTGTCGATACGGCGGATGTATATGTTAGCAGATAATAATGGAAAATGAATACACGGAAGTAGAGTTGCGTCAATGTCGTAAAATTCGTCAGCGATGCCAGAACGCGGGCTCGGAGGAAGGGGTTTTTTGGAGTGGATCCTTTTCTGACCCTCTCTATGAAGCGATCTTTATATGGATGGGATGAAGGAGGATGAAGGCGGGCGAGGCTCTGCAAAGCTATGATTCCTGATCTCAAATTCCAAGTCACAGCGCATCAAACTCACTGACAAAGTTTTCCGTTGGAGGTTCCGGTTGAAATCCGATTCGGACACAGGCAGGAGCAGGACACAGGCCTCCACCAAAAGTTGTGACATGCATATAGCATGATCCCGATAGTTTCTCATAGTTTCCGACAAGAATGCATTCCGAGATGGCGATCAGAAAGCTTCAGGAAGGACTCGGAGCTGTGTGAGAGTGGAAGAACAGTGAAGAACTCGTCTCCGATGGATGTCGTTATTTGAAACTCGGTGTATTGTCAACGTTTTGTGTACAGCTATTTGATTGCGAAGAGAAACGTAGTTTCCATCGGATTTGCAGGAAGAGGATATTTATAAGAGCATGCAAGAAGATTGAGTCGTGATAGGTCGTGATGCCCAGGTGATGCCGTTGCCAGAAAGTGGCTTTTCCCCACAAGCCAAAGCTGCTGATATCATCTCTAAGGCCCGATAAGGCCCGAATAAGGCTCACTGGCACAGTGTTTCTCGACCTCCCCGCTGCGCAAAATAGACGCACAAGACCGAACCATATACCCAAATTTACCATACAGATCCATTACAACCTTACACAAAAATCTAAACAGTATCTTATTTCTTCTTCTTCAACTCAGCGAATCCAACAGCAGCATCTTCCTCAATTTTTTCCTTTCCGAAACGGAAACCGGAGTAGACACCCTTCATGTAGCTGCAAGGAATAGTTAGTCATTTTTCATGCAACATACAACAATGGACTGGGACGAACCTGTCACCAATGAGCCAAGCGTTTCCGAGCCCAAGGTTTGAAGCGGCCAGCGACGCAACACAGGAAGAACTACCCTTCTCAGTTGTCCCAAGGTTAAAGCTAACCGAATAGGATTGGGTTAAACAGTCGGTCGAATCATACCCCAGCGTTACAAGACTCACTTTTCAGATGGAATAACGAACTTCTTGCCTTTTTTACCCCAGCTGAACGAAACTTCCGGCACCTTATCACAAGGGAACGAGTAAAATCCCTCTGTCTCGTCATACAACTTCGCTCCGTCGACCTTGGAGAACAACTCTTTCACCGCATCTGGGGGACCATACATGAGCGTCGTCCCAGAGTCGATGATGGTTGAGAAGTCCTTCCCCGCTTCCTTCCCTCCTACGTAGATACTAGCATCCAAAACCTTCCAGAAACCATCCGAGGGATCCACCTTGTGATACTCAAGAGAGCCCTCGTATAACTCCGGATTCGTCCCTCCAAGGTAGAGCTCAGATCCTTTGCCGGAGGAAAGGTGGAAGCCAAACTCTTTTGTCTTTACAGCCCCCTGCTCAGCAGCATTCAAGAACCAAGGCGTGGCTTTCAGGTTCGAGATCTTTGGCCAGGCAAGACCGAGAATACCAGCAGTGGGATCGTCTGCAAAGCTCTTGGACAAAGTAGTGACGGAGGAGAATTTCTGATCTTTGGCTGTCACTCCTTTGACAGTGACGGTATCGGAGTGAATTGGACCGGATACAGTGGAATTGTCGCCGTACAGGATTGAAAAGGTGCCAGATTCCTGCTTGGATGTTTTCGATTTTCCTGCGTCATATTTCTGCTTCTTATTTGAACAAGGTCCCTCGGTACAAGACTTATCAACAACCCAGAGGTCAGACGAACCGGCTGGAGGAAAAAACAATCTATTGTTTTGTCAATCTCGGAAATGAACGAACTTACTATCGAAATCGATCAAGAATTTCTGTTTAGGTGTACCGATCTCGATATTTCCTAGAAACCAACGATCAATTCAGGAAACACAGCATATTGGATCGTTGGGCTTACCTGCCCATTCCACGTCGCCTTCCTCGTCCGTTAAACCCTCCTCGTCTTTCTTGTCGGACTTATCGCCTCTGCGAATTTTGACACTGCTTTGATCGCCTGCAGTACCACCAGTCTTGACTGAGGATTCCGTACCCTGCATATGAAACATGAGCAAGATAGAACAACTACGAAAGGTCAAGGGAGTATGTCGCGAACCTGTGGTGTTCCATCGCTGTTTTGTGAATTTGAGTTGATTTGGGTGTACTTCGCCAAGGCATTGTGATTGAGCTCGCGCGCCTTGCTTGAATCAAAAACGCCATTGGATGTAGTTGGTGGGTCGTGTGGTGGAAGGTTGACTGTGTCTCCACCCTGCTCCTCAGTACGACGAACATGAACAGGATCTTGTGGAGCTGAGGCGGGGTCGGGAATTTCCATGCCCTGGAAAGCCAGTAGGTCTAAAGGTTCAACAGAGAAGTGAACTTGGAGAGGTACAAACCTGCGGTAATTCTCCACCGGAATTTTCTTTCAGGTTCATCAAGTTTTGACGATGTTTTTCGACGACCCTCCGATTGAGACGCTTTGCCGCTTCTAGATTAAAAGTCCCATCGGGGTTAGTTGGAGCGACGCGCGCAGGTAAGGAAATCGCGCCCGCTGCTTCTTCTCTGGCCAACGGAGCAGCAGAGACGGCAGAAAGTATCAGAAGAACGAGTGATAAGGATGCGGCGAAGGCAGGAGGAGTTTTCGAGGCCATTGGGTACACGATGGATGCAGAATTGTGATCAGATAGAAGGAAGGCGAAACGTGGCTTGGAGGCGAAATGCGATTGAGATACTGAACGAAGTCGTAAAAATTGTTGGAATACCTTCAACGTTACCAGCACGTTGTCGGAGAGATGTGGGATGAGTACTTCACTGAAGTATGGGGGTCTTTGATTGGCATGCGGCCTTTAAATACACCCGAGTTTAGCCGACCAACCGACAACTCGCCCTGGCTATAGTAGGTTATAGTGGAATATCATCCATCAAGGACTGATTTAGCGAGATATAGTGCCGTAGTAGCTGTATAGCCTGTGCTCTGCGCGGTTTTTACCCGGAGCTCCGTGCGATAGAACCTGCTTGTAGACAACCTATATGAGCACACCGGAGGTTCAAGATCTCAAATGAACATAGACGGTGAAAGACCTGAGTATGTTCGTGGTACTACCTGTATGAGCGTGTATGTAGAAATAGCTTAGTCTTGTTCTGGAGATTGTAATGTGTATATCACTTACGGTGATGGGTATCAATAAAAAGAACGCCACGGCCGATTCTGTTTATGAGTAGATACTACATATCACAGGGAGGCACAAGAGTGCGCATGAGTCTTGTCACTCGTGGTCCAAACACGCAATTCTTGAATATGTACCCATCGACTGACGAAAAGCGTACCGTAGTGTAAAAGAGCGCAGGGAGAGCGTAGGTAGGACTGTACTAGATAGCTCAGGTTCTTCTGACAAGTCAAGTTGGCCATGGGCAACGTCGATTGGATTCGATTTATGTTTGCGCCTGATCCTTGCGTTAGCCACTGAGATATGCTTTGAGTTGGCTGTGCTGTGGAAGACTTGAAAGGCGTATAAGCGCCCACTATGTCCGTGCGAAGCTCCGAAAAATGGTGGCTGCAGTGGTCCGGGTTATAAATATTTCAAATTTATCTTGGAGTCCAATCAATAGATCGACTCATCTCAATTCGGATATGTCGCAGGATTCAGCCAGCTTATCGACGATTCGTAACATTCACCAATGGAATTGTGAGTTCCCACTTTCTTTCCGATCCTTTTCGTCTTTTTAACAATCGAATCCAAGCACCAGAACGACGTTCCAGTGATCACAAACAGCTTTCCCCAATTCCTCTCGAAATCTATCTTGAAATTATCGACCACATACGACCTCGGGACGGCATATATATCAGCCCACAGCACGTATATGAGTGCATGAATAGTCTCCGAAATTTGGCGCTCGTCTGTCGTTACTTCTGCGCCCAGATTCTGCCTTGCCTGTATAAGGTCCTCATCTTTTGCCCTGAACCTGAGGAAGAGAGTCTTGGGAATAGAAGAGATGTTTTAAGCAGGACCTTCATCCCGTTCTGTCAAGATATCAATCGTGGCGAAGCTTTTGCCGAATCCCTTGCTCTCGAAGTCACCCAATGCGATATTCGAGATTGGATTGACGTCCCTTCAGAAACTCTCGACACTTCTCCTGTCAAGGCATCACTGGACGCGCTCATCGAGGCCTTACCAGCTATGACCAACCTTACATCCATCGTTCTATCTCGAACAACTCTGACCCCCGCCCTCCTTGAAAACATCCTACACCTTGAGAAACTCGCTTCACTTCGTATTCAATGCTGTGATCTCGCTGGAATGACTACCAAAGTCATTCATGATTTCGCTTCGCGAGTCAAATTGCAGACATTCCATTTTTTCTCGAATGTCATGCAAAACGAACAATTGGTCTCCAGCGCTGGGGCGTCAGAAAAGGAACTACTGTCTCTTCTCATGAATGTATCCACGTTTGGCACGGATAGCTGGCCGCTCATAAGTGCTATGATTGCCTTTGATGCTGTCCCTTCTTTTCAAACTCTGGACATCTTTCATATCCTGGATCCGGCTGCACTTTGTGATTTCCTCTGCAGGATATCGACATTGACATCGCTCACACTGGACGGCGTCGCCCCCACGGAGGACTCGTATTTCTTGGTTTTGTCGAACCTCAAACAGCTGCGACACCTCTCTTGTCCTCCTTGCTTAATTTCACGCCTCAGCGGTTCACAGAATCTCTCGACTCTATCGTTCTATACACGAGCCCATCAGTCAGAAGACCCGGCTATGCTAGCTTCTTTCATCAAGGCTGGATTAAACTCTTGGAAAGCCTTCAGTCAATTCAGATCCTTACGAGAGTTGTGTCTGCCTCTGATATTCATGTTGCTTATCACCGTCGATCCTCTGTATTCTCCCCATGATGCGAAAGAGCTCAAAAAGCTCACCGTTTCTTCAGACGGAACGGCCACAATCAGCAGAGAGTTTATCATATCTGACCCGATTTTCATGGACGGAGGTCCGATGGACGATAACGTTAAAGATGCATTCTTCATGTGGGGTTTGCTTAGGATAATCGGGCAACAAAAACATTTTCCAAAATTGGAATGGTTTACATTCCATGGCTTGAATGATAGAACCTGGAAGTGGAGGAATGAGGGTATGAGTGGCAAGTGGAGACCTTTTCAGTTGCTGGAATAGATGGAAACAAGGGTTACAGCGTTGCGGGCTTGAGCTACGAGAGTATCCTTACAAAATTATCCTTATATTTGTCCGTCTCACTTCACTACTGAGTCAAATTGCGAACATTTAGCCACGAGGGAGGACGACATTGCTGTCACTAGGAATTGAGCTGACACAGTGCGTTATCCCGGCTCGAGGCTACTTGTTATGATGCTTTGCATCACTTTGGCCTTCAAGTACTACTTCCGAGACCGCCAGATATCGCATCTGCGCCACAGCTTCCTGTGTTCGGGTCGAGAGTGAATACAAATGTCCCCGCCGTGATGCTACCTTGACCGCCCTTTGAGTCAATGGATGAGAAGCATCTTAACCATTGGGTCCAAAAACAAACTTACCTGGGGACATACTTCAGCAACAGTATCAAGGACGGTTTGGCAGTTAACACCACTTGGGACGTTGCCTTGAGAATTGGAGGGAAGCAAGTTCCAAGCAGTAAAGTCGCCTTGTGAACGCCAGATGAAGTCCGGTGAGTGATTATTCGTACAATAAATTTTGAGAGGGAGGGTGGCTTACATTTAAATCCATTGGCGTTGAAACACCGGGCATAAGTGTTCTCGGGTCCTACCTGCAAACAGGAATGAAGAATCAACTTCAACGCCCGAATCCATGAATTATGGTTGACTGACAGGGAGAATATCCTGGCCAGACTGACAGAAAGTTTGAATGAAGCTAGCACATGAACCCTCTGTTCCTGCGGAGAAACAGCCAACTGAGACTGTTTGTTCAATAGCGGGTACTACAACCATCAAGGCAAGTTGAAATATTAGTGCGTAGTTCATCTGTAAAATGATATGAGAAACTTGAAGGTTATCATCGATGAGTCGATTGTCTGAAAGACTTACCTTGCGATAGTTGGAGAGCATTTTCACAAATTATTGGCAGGAGTATTGGAGACTATCGAAAAGACAAGTGTTAGACTTTGGAATCGATCGGCTTTAAGTACTTTCTGGCCTGGTTAAGGCACCTCTACGGCTGGCAGCAGTCTTCGTCTTCCATGGAACACAGGAAGGTGAACTACCTTTGACGATTGAACCTTGAAGACTCGAGGAGGAGCAGGCTCCGCTTGGCAATTGCGAGACCGTCTTAATGCAAGCCCCGTCAAGGCCCCTGCTCCAGAAAAGAGCTCGTGGAGTGCTAGATCATGTTATATAAGTATCAGCGCTCGGGCTTTGTGGGTTCTGGTGTGCGCAGAAACAATGTGGTAAATGCTTCGATAAAGCAGTCAGTCAGTATATTGCTTGCCACCGCTAAAAGCGCCTTGCAGAGTCTTCCACCTATATAACTAGATTTCCCTTCGCCCTTACTAGATCGACAACTGCTGACCATCCTCCAAGAGAATTTCTTGGATGTAAGCTAGCGTTTGACCCTGTCCATGCGTCGAACTTTGTGATCAGTCCCAAATCGAACCGGCACTCACGGAATGCCACTCAATAGTCTTCATCCGCGGATACAAAAGCCTTCAAATGTTCCTGAAGCGGTCATGTAGTGCAAGTATGTGGCAAGGCAGCCATAGCCAATCATCGATAGCTTTTATATAGTAGATAAGCCAGAGCCCTAGTGAATAGATTTAAACAAGTCCGAGAGGAAAGCAAAGCAAAGTCCTCTTCTACAAAGAAACCACGTTTTGAATCTCCGAATCCGAGTAATGATATGAATATAGCAAAGGTCGAGCCATTCCAGAAGTCTAAAAAGAAGCAGGAGACTACGGTGTAGACCCTGAGCGAGACCCTTCAGAGAATTCATTGCTTGGTTTTTCGTTCTCTTGCATGATAGTAGATACAGGTGTCGCCTCCCTTGTGGCACTACCTTTCATCTCGCGACGCACACCGATGATCAGAAGAATCGTGCTGTGATGATCCACGTAAGGATAATGACTAGACAATGAACAACGAGAATGTTAACGGACTCACGCTGCAACTGTACACACCCATGAGATCCAAAGAAAGCAAACACAAGCAACGTTTGCCGAATAAGTATCGTATTCTAAGTTTGGACTGAGTCAGTTCATACCCATCGCTTGATGGGTAAAGATGGTTACACACTAAGTGGTGGACGAGAGAAAACAGTTATGTACTGCTCTTGAAGCTCCGCAGACGCACCCGTGATGAAGGCGGAGCGCGTGAAGACTACGATCTAAATAAAATGGAAATCTGCGTTAAAGAATTACCTTTGAAGACTGATGTTGGAGTATACGCACAGTGGTTACGATAGCAGCGAGGAGGAGACCAATGGCCATAACAACCGCCAGAATCATCCGCGTATAGTTGTACGACCTGGCATACGATGTCCTTTTAGGCCATAGGACCAACATGATGAATTCAAGACCAAATAGGGTGGAGATGAAGGAGCAGAATGTGAGGGTAAGGATCTCCCCCGCAATGATATCGTTGTTGTGAAGTTCGACCTATGAAATATATATAGCCTTGTTCAACAACATCATGGGAGAAAAAAAATTAGTTGTAAGTACTCTCAAACCTGTTTGGGTCAAAGCGTATTGCTGGACATGGGTCTGTAAACGATTGTATCGTGACATGGAGACAGTTGCAGATAAGCTAGCTCCCATGCAAATAGTTTGGGCTAGTTGATAAGCAACTGAGTGGAGAGCACCGTAAGAGGTCAGAAGTTTAAGATCGTCTGGGACGAAGAACCAACATACACAGGCGTTCGCGACGAAGATAAGGCCACCTTTTATCAAACATGTTTTTCCCTTTGAAAGCACTCCATCGCGCCTCCGATAAGTCAAAGCCCCATACTTTGCTCGGAAAAGGCATGTTTCAGGCCTTTCAAATGGGAGGGGAAACCGAAAGGGAAAGAGGGGAATTGAATTCAAGTGGACATTTGATCGACGGTCGACAGGGTACTTATAAAACTTGCTGAGAGAAGCAGCCCCATTTAGTCTCACAGTGAGAGTTCCATACGTGACAAGTCCTTCAAGATGAAAAAGGAGTGGCGTGATCATAAGAAGAACCTGTCGTTCCGCAGCTTCGTGGTCTGAATTTATACAATAAGTGTCCACGCTACTCGAGTCCAAGGCACTGCAGGAAGCATGTTTGCATACTAGCAAGTGTGGTCCCATGTAATAGCTTGTAATAGGTGTTCAAGAGCACACTATTTTACTCACAGATGCAGGTTGAGTACTTCTTTTGGGTGAGAAAGAAGACCTAAGAAGACTGAATGGAGATCGAAATGAAGCAGAACGAACAGCCTGAAGCTACTTACCGCGTTGAGTCACTCGTGACAGCCTGAGCGGAATGTCATTGTCACTCGCGCCGATTTTCCTTATCCTCCATCACCGGCTTCAGCCATCTATCATCTGGCATCCTTCTCGAATCAAACTACTGTGAGTCATTTACATACTAGCTAAACCCTCGCTACTTACGATTAGCATTCGATATTCAGTATTCTATATTCTTCACCGCTCTGAAATAAACGATCCCTGCCGCAATATTTTCGAACTGCAACCTTTGCCTCAGAAAACTAATTTGAGCGCAGCAAATCGCAACCAAGCACGGAACACGGTTTTAGTTTGCCGTACTTATTCTTATTCAGAAAATCCTCTCCTTCGATTCCATCGAATACAATAACGATAGCCTACATACAAAGGAGCTTAACACAGAAATCATTCAGGGTGAATGTTTTGCAAGATCCCTTGCTCTAACAACTGCGGGCTGGAACAGTCGCCAAACGCAGTACGAGCGCACCCTCCCCACTCCCCATCGCACAGCATATTTTCTCCTGGATCCTTCAACTCTACCGATGCTTTACATATTTCAGTTGCATATATCCAATACAACTACATATCATTTTCTTCCGATTCCGCGCACGTCTTGCTTTTCTTTTCCTCATAAACACCTGCACTGAAGCTCTGTCTTTTTTCGTGGTATTGTGTTTCCACAACACACCCACCCCTGACCCACCTTATGAATATATAAACCTCCATCAACATCAACTCCTCAACTCCCATTCACATAAATATATCCCTGGTAGTATATCGGTTTAGTACACGCGCCTGTCATAACCAAGAATTGGTGTTGGTTTCTTTCCGCGCGAAAGCTGGGTTCGACTCCCAGCCAGGGAGTGTACAGCGAATTTCCTGGATCTTGAGAAATTTGAAGGATTTTTTGCTTTTTGGTTTAGTTGGGTTTTTGGGTATGTTTTCGTTCTCTTTCCAACGCCCCGGCGCAGCTGTACGCACGTTGTAGATGGGTAGACATCCGCGGAACTCGGAAAGACTCCTAATTGTTATCTGTGTGGGATCGGATCGGACCGCTAACCCGAGTGTGTGTTGGGGCCTTGCGGATGAGGTGCGGCGTGTTAATTGGGTACTTAAGGTGAACAAATCGGCGGGTCTTGCTCTTCTTTCTTTCTTTCTCTTTCTCTTTCTCTTTCCGTTAACAACAAGAACAAGTTTAAACTGAAATGAGTACGACGCAGGTGGATACAGCGGTTCTAGGCCAGATTCTAGCGCAGCTGGAGTCGTTACAGATGACTCAGCAGGCGATGCAGGTTAAGGTTTGTGATTGGTTGTTGGTGTTGGTTTGTTGTTCTGACATCGATGGTAGTTGGATAATCTCAGCGTTAGTACACCGTTGTCGCCTCCTCCTGTTGAGGCCAAGACCCTTCCCAGTGTTAATGGAGTCAACGGAGCCAATGGAAGCAGCAGCAGCACCAACCTCTCCCGCGAGAAATCTTTGTACCCAGGTCGAGTTCTCCTAACAACCTACCCCTCCCAACACTCCATAACCCCCTACCCCCTCAAATGGGGTGCCCCCACCCCTCTCCTCCGCGGCCCCATCATCTGCTCCCGCCTCCCCTCCTCTCTCCCCTTCCGCAACGCCCTCGGTGCGCACAGCGGGAGCTACTCCATCTACCGCGCTCTCAGCATCGCCATGGGCACCCTCGACCCCAACTACAAACCCGAGTACGGGCTGACCGAGCCCCCCGTCGAGATCCGCGAAAACCCCGCGTGGCACGACGGGCAGAAGATCGTGAGTATGGACCCGTGGGGACATTTGGTGCCCCAGGTTTTTGAGAGGGAGGGGAGGGAAGGGGGGAAGGGAGGGGAGGGGCTGGATATACGCCCGTCGATATCGGTGACCAAGGCGCATATTAAGTTGAAGGAGATTGACGAGGCGGTTAAACGTGGTGAGATTGTTATTGATGGGAAGATTGTGCTGGGGAGCGAGCCGTTGAGGAGGGAAGATGGGAGTTTGGTGGAAGGGATTGATGCTGGGGTGGAGGTCAACGTGTCCAAGGCGGCGGTAGACCCCATTTGGTATTTACCCGGTGTGGCGGAGAGGTTTGGCATCGCAGAGTCGTTGTTGCGCCGCGCATTGTTCGAGGATACAGGAGGGATGTATCCAGAGTTGATCACCAGGCCGGATATTAATGTGTTTTTGCCCCCCATTGGGGGGTTAACGGTGTATATTTGTATGTTCCTCGACTTCTTCTATGTGTTTGTGCTAATCCTCGGTAGTTGGTAACCCCGCACATATCCACGACCCCTCTCGAATGATAACCGTGCGCGTGCACGACGAATGCAACGGCTCCGACGTCTTCGGCTCCGACATCTGCACATGCAAACCCTACCTCACCTACGCCATGGAAGAATGCATCCGCACCGCCCAAGGCCGACACCCCGACCAAATCACCGCCGCCCGCCAAGCCGCCTCCCCAACCAACCCAAACCCATCTACCCCTCCTATCGAACACGGGGAACCCGGCGTCGGCGTCGTCGTGTACTTCCGCAAAGAAGGCCGTGCCCTGGGTGAAGTAACCAAATACCTCGTCTACAACCTCCGCAAACGCACCGGCGACTCCGCCTCCTCCTACTTCCGCTCCACCGAGCTCGTCGCCGGGGTCAAAGACATGCGGTTCCAAGCACTCATGCCGGATGTCCTCCACTGGCTCGGGATCACCCGCATCGATAATATGGTGAGCATGAGCGATATGAAGTACGACGCGATTGTGGGGAGTGGGATTGAGATTCGGAAGAGGTATGATATTCCGGGGTATTTGATTCCCCCGGATTCGAGGGTGGAGATTGATGCGAAGATTGCGAGTGGGTATTTCACGAAGGGGAAGAGGGTTACGCAGGAGGAGTTGAAGAATACGGTGGGGAGGGCGTGGGAGGAGGTGGAGCATTGATACTTCCGAGTCGTTCGTTGCTTCGTTTCTCCTACCCAAAAAATATTTCTTTTTCCATACTCAATTGTAACTACTATACAATAATCAACTTTTCCTCCTTCCTCCTTCATTCCTAAAAAATCAATCTAATCTGTCCGTAACCCTTTCATTCTATACAATGATTAATCGGAATGAGTTTCTGTCTTGTCTTCATTTCTAAAAAAAACAATCTAATCTGTCCGGTACCTTTTCCCTCCCAACGCCCCAACGCCCAATCATCAAATAAACACTAAAAAAGAAAAAAAAAAAAAAAAACATCATCCAGGACGTCTTAGAGACTCCCTGGCTGGGAGTCGAACCCAGCTTTCGCGCGCACAAATGATTGAAGATTGTGGTTGAATGACAGGCGCGTGTACTAAACCGATATACTACCAGGGATTGTTAGAAGGTTAGTGAATGATCAATAGGTATAGCGATAATCAGCCAGTTTGATTTATGAGAAATGTATCGTATCGTATCGTCTCATTATTGTTATCGTATTGTTATCATGCCTGTACGCCATCTGCATATAGAGACATAGTCTATAGAGCAGCAGGAAATCGAACATCTGAGATATTTCATCGATCATCTCCGTGAATTAATACTCTAGGCCACAACTTGTAGAGAGGAGAGAGAAATATGTACCATAACTCTTACATATGTTAATTCTCTTCAACTATTCGGTTCATGGGATCAATGTGTTCAATAATAGAGGGGTGGCATGATGAACGAAAATTACAACCATAATGACTTTTCATTCTTCTCGATATTAATTGAAATATATCATCAACTCTCAATACCCTACATCCAACAATGCCTGTTGGACAAGGGCAACATGTCCTTCCGAGCGAGGCTTGATGGAACATTGGAATGGAGCGGGTTGACTACGGTTTTGTGTGTGTGTGTGAAAAAAGAAGCATAACCCCCGCCAATGATAAGTGTATGAATTAGTAACTAGATGGTTTGAAAAAAAAGAGGATTGAACGTACTTCAACACAGCTGAGATGTATTCGATCTTCGGAATAATAGGAATACCATGCTCGTCTATGGGAGGGGTAACGTTGAAGCAATGAAGGAGCGATGCAACGTTGATGTGGAAGGAGGATAGACCCATGTGTTTACCTGGACAGACCCTGTTTAGTTTATTAGTTGAGAAGCCATCGTTAAGAGTCAGTGCATATTCAACCGCGGATTGAATGGTTAACATTTACCTCCTCCCGAATCCAAAAGCTACCGTTGTCGGCTCACGCATGTCGGGGTTCAGCTTCCACCCCTCTCCCTGCTTGAGGAGCCACCGTTTCGGTTCGAAGGTATGTGCATTGGGTCCGTAGGTTTTCTCGTCTCGGAGGATTGCCCTGGGGGAAAAAAAAATTGGATAAAAGAATAGTAGAAGGATTGACTTTGATTGGTATACTTACCAGACATTGGGCATTATCGTTGAGCCTTTTGGGATGTAGTAGCCTTTATATGTATCGTCTGCATCCAATTGATGAGGGAAGGCTGGAAAGTAATCATCACTCAGATATTATGAACACTGGCCTTTTTGATTGATTGATTCGAGTTACACTCACCTAACGGAACGACAGGTTGCCATCTTCGAGTTGGATTGATTCATCCAAACAGCAGTCAGCCATGGATAAAATTATGGGGGGAGGAAGCCAAAATGCGAAAAAAAAAATCACCTTAGACATTCATACACAACAGCGCACACATAAGGTAAGGAATCTTTGTCCAGATCAGCATAGTCCGGTAATCGGTCCTTTCCAATAACACGGTCCAGTTCGTCCTGGGCTTCGCGTTGTGCATGGGGGAATAGCATCATAGCGAGAAGGAAGGTCCGGAGAGTGGTTATCCCTGTGTCGGCGCCGCCTGGTGCGATGATTAGATATATACATACATACAGGGGAATGTCAGGCTTTTTGGTTCAGTAAGCTAGTACCTTCGTACATGGTCCCTACAGTCTCCTTGATGATCTCCTCTTCCTTTGAGAGATGATCAGGTCGAGGATCAGGGTTCTTGGTGTTCTGTAGACATCTTAAGCTGAAGCAGTCTTCCGCGGTTCCGTTAGCCTGGTTGAAAGATAGGTCAGTTGAGGTGATGTGACTCAGGTGGTGGGAGTTGATGGACACACTCACCATGGCCTGCTTGACTTTCATGAACGGGGGCGTAATCGTTGCACCGAGAATTCCATTCCATTTTCGAGCTTTTCGTTTGAAACTTGCGCCCGGGAACCAGGACGGAACGTATTTGAGTATGGGGAAAACATCCTAAAGCCACAGAACGGGATCAGATGCACCCCTCCCTGCGACTCGCTGCGACCACTGTAATGTTGGTAGGTACTTACCACAAGGAACGCACCAGGAATTCCAGCAGTGTTCAGAACCGCGATCATCTTTTCCGCTGCATCGATGTTTGGATCATCTTTAGACTGCACATGGATCCCATACGCTACAGCTAGGATGATTGTGCCTGTCATACTATCAGAGATTTTTTTTTAAATTAGCAATTATCATAACACCAGAAAGATGATACGACTATATCAGTGATTGACATTCAAAAAAAAAGCTACTCCAAGCTCGAAAGTTGAGCTGGGGGACAAGCTGGGGAAAGGAACTCACTGTTTGATGTGCGCAAGCCATTCCTCCGGCGTTTCAACTAATTTATTCAAGAAAACTACTAAGGCTTTTTTCTCGTGAGGACGATGCAATTGTGAGTTATTCGGATGGAATTCTATACGGATATGGTACGTAACGGTATCGGAGGTCAGCGGTAAAATCTGAGATGATTGTATGTGGCTTCGAAACTCACCTTGCTGGAAAAGCTTTCTGTGAGCTCTAAAGTCCTCCCCGTAAGGCATAAGGAGAACGTCACGATCCCAGCTGAATCGTTGGCGTGGATGATTGGTAAAATTGTGTGAAAGTATAGAGTACAAGGTACGAACCCAATTCTGATAATCGGACGAAAAATTCAATTCTGGTTCGTCTCGAAAATACGCAAAATCAACTCACAAATCTTGTAACATAGTGGCATGAGGTCTGTGTACAAAATCCCAGCAAGGGGGTCCGTTAGCATGATCTCAAACCGGAGGGCATTCAAGCATACGCACCTGCTCGAATATATGCTCGACCTTTTCTCCAGCAAGTCTGTAACTGCCTGGTACGAATTCAAAATGATATAATTCCCCCCTGCAATCTCTAGGTGAAGGACATCCGAGTCTATGATCTCCTCCGTAAGTAATCGTCGGACTTCCCGTGAAACTTCAGCAATTCTCACCATATTGCTCCGCCCATTTAGAGAATGTAATCCAGTGGAAAGCAGATGGCATATCCTAGAAATGGGGTGTGTGAGCATAGTATCTATCAAAGGAGAAATCGTGATGTACAAGACTGTTTCCAAGGAGTGGGAGTTTCTTCGGGCCCGGAGGTAAGGGAAGTTGTACCGATCTACGAATGCGGTAATACCGTATGAAGAGCATGGCGACGAGTGTCGAGACGACGACAAGACCAGAGGTCGACAAAACTTCATTTATGATAACGGCCGCCATGATCGATACCGCAAGTTTTACAGTAGAGATTTGTGAAGACCGAAGCTCGAATCCCGAAACGGGTGAGAGAATATTTTGTGCGGGTCTGGCGGATGTTTTGTCAAAATCAAAGTCGAATGACGGAAAGATAGCAAGCTAGAAGGGGGGAAGAATCATATCAGCAGCAGCTACATATAAGAACCACTTTTGAATAAGTACCTTGGGATAAATAATCCAACCCTGACGCAATAATGAATGCGCGAAGCACTACTGTATTGGGGATACAGGTGACAACGGCTCCATTGTCTATTCATGGGCTTACAGGTGCTTACGAAGTGCTTCAATTCGTACATATCGTTCTGGAAGCGAGCCTGCATGTTCTTTGTGGCTCGTGTCCTCCGTGGAAAGCGATGGAATCAGCGTGAATATATTACTGTAGAATTCCGTGAGCACCAATTAGAACTTCTAAGAATTTGACAGAGAAGATGTACTTATTCTCGTGTTGTTCCCTCGACGGGGTGGGCTGAAAGGCGTGAGAGTAGGAAGAGGTTGTGCGTGGGACGTTTCTGAAAGCCTGCTTTAAGCCTCTTGTGACCGAGCACCACGACTTGAAGAAGGGAGCGATGTCAATGTAGAGATATCGTCAACGACGATTAGAACATCACCTGAATGGCAACAATCAAATTACTCCCTAACTGTTGCTTTTGAAACACCCTAGAGCTTATAAAGTAGTGGAATATCATTAGGGAGGTTGACCGAGGCGCAACACCTTGCAGCCGGTGACCTTGGAACCTGATGATAGAAAGCTACTTGATAGTACTTGATTCAACCCCTAGGATACGGCGTCTTTAGGAAATGACTGCATAATGCAGGCATAATGTACGACAGCGAGAGATGATCGCACCGATTGCAGGTACTCTCTTTCGACTACTTACCATTCAGAACGACCATGTTGCGAGGGACTGCGTTTGAGATTATTCGAGAAATCTTGGGAATGACGCCCAAACAGACCAACGGCAGTCGAAGTTAAACTTCATCTGTCGCACATGAGTATGTAGCGGAGGATAGTTTGAATGAACCTTGAATGAAAACGTGCAAATTGAGAATTTCTCGCCTTCGGGAAGTGCCATCGTGTTCAATGCGAGATTACAGAGGCGAAAACCCCTACTTATGACTGCGAAAGCGGACACCGATGATCCCAGTGGTGGCCTCTGTGAGTCATTCAAGGAGAAGGAGCACTCAAAGCGGCATTAGATATACAGTAACAGCTCTGGACTCTAGCATCGAAACTTCCCCGCTACGCTATTCCAGCTACACGATGCGCAACAAAGCCATAGATATCACAGAACCCCCACTAACTGAGACTAAGTGCCAATTCATGCGCCCTCATGCGCCTTGGTACTTTCGTCGACAACATCAACGGACGTGCACAGAAGCCTCTCGAGCCAAACAATCCTATTGACCCTAAGTGAGACCTCAAAGGATACCCCCATGTCTCTCTATGAACTCGAGAATCAGTTGAGAATTTTGAAGCGAATTTGCCGACATGTCCTCATTATTTCTCAAGAATTTGAAGGTGTTGGAAGTGAGCAGTAATTTGTCGTGGGGATACGTTCTCGAGTTTCACAGGGTTATGTATACAGGGTAACAGAAGAAACAAGCATGGCAGATGCGGCGCCAAAAAACAGCTTCTTGATTAACGTACCCCGTTGGGGACACACACCAGACACACACCTTGCTTGCGTCTGGCCGCCGATAGTCATTCCTTTGCCATTCTTCCGCATAATGGCGCACGCTCCTCACTCTTAACGCCACTGGATCCACTTGGACTCCGCATTAGTCTTTGACAATGTGCCTGAAATAACATCGGAAAAGCTTAAAGACAGGGCTGCTCAATTCTTGGCTCACCCCACTGCCTCACCTCACAAATGGGCAGTGAGGTGAGGCAAGAATTGAACAGCCATAATGTGATACATCTGGATACATATGTTGAGCGAGGCTGTTGTAGGCTGTTGTAGGATAGGTAGAGTCACTGCGAGGAATCCATCATTTCAGCACTTACGTTGACAGAATGCCAGTATTGAAATTTGAATTTGCTCAGCATGATTATGTATCGAGATTATTTGAACTTTTCAATAAGGAGAATATACTTACACAGTAAGTAAAGTTGGTGAAAGTTCTGTATAATCTTACTATAGTCTGATTGGATATTCTTAAGCTTTAATCAATGAGAGAATTGTTTTTTTGCTCAGAATTTTCACATTAGAATAAATGATGTATTCCAGTGTATTTCCCGCAGTGAGTGCAGGGTTAGAGTCGGAGTCACCTTTAAATCAAAAGGGTTGCATCCGGATCTCTTTTGCCCTATAAGTCATAAATGTGACCTGGCTCCGCCGTCGGAACGGACAGCGACAACTTGAAAAGGAAAATTTGCATGGGCACTTGAGGTTATGGATGTTCAATGACCATTGCAAGCAAGTCTGAATTCATATCACATGCGATTTGAGAATGTCACTTAAAACCCTGCTTTTTCAATCACATACGATGGTACTCGGCTGGTCCGCTATCCAACAACTGTTTCCGCCTCACTCCTTTTCTACCATGCCAAATTTGACATACTCCAAGCTCCTGCTCATTTTTCTGCTCGAATGGCCGCTATTCGCATCATCGGCTCCAACTTCTCCAGCGGGCCCAAGCTCCAGTTCCTCACAAACTGTTGATTCTTGGTTTCGTCAACACTTTATCGTTGATTCGACCTGTAATACTCAGCATGGAGAAATCGAGAAAGGGTTTTCGGACATTTTTGTACTGGCAGAGGTGGTCCAACATATATCAGAAGATTCTGTTCCGTGCGTAGACTCTCCACTTACTATCAATCTCATAAATCTAAATGCATTGGAGGTTTCTTCAAAATAAAGATATCAACACTACTTCCTTAGTCGTAAAGAGGATCCTCATGAGTTGGACATCGTTCAAAACATGGCCAAGTCCATCCTAGTGAATGGGAATTCGAATAAGAAGATAACTATCAAGTGTCCGATCACCAGTATAGGCGGGTAAGTATTTATTTAATTGCAATGATTCATGGATAATGTGTTTCTACAAATCATATGTAGAGTAGCGACAACTACTTGCAGAGAGACGGATTCTCCTGAGATATCACTCTCTTCACTCTATTTCAAATTCCCCACCTTCTCTTCGAAACCATTTACCAAGGAAGGATGGTGCACACCTCCTCCACATAAACTGGTTCAATTTATTCCACGAGCTCAAATTGGCTATCATGAGATCACGCATTTCGAACATATTGTCAAATATGCTCAAGAATTATCCGCTGTGACTGTTGATGCTCGCGTACGGACAAACAAACGGTAAGGTTTTAGACCTATCAGGCCAACCACTGAATGGTTTTTACAAACAGAGGAACTTTCGATTTCATTTTGTATGAGACAAGTTCAGGAACACCTCTCACCGGTTCGCAGTCTGTTCAGATATTGCCAAAACAATGGAAGGACTATTTATCTGGAAACATCCCAAAGCCCAATTACTATCCTGACGAAGTTGCGCAAAGTCATGCGCTTGCTGCAGTCGGTAGGTTAATTCATTGTTCCTCCCAATCATGTCTTGATTGATTCCCATTTGCGTATCTAGAGACTTTTTTCTATCAAAAGTGCCAACCGTATGGATGGGATCCAAATCAAGTATTCGTACCAGGAACAAAGGATCTTCAGTCAGACCCGAAGCATGATTATCATGCAAAGAAAACCAATTCAGGATAAAATTGTAATCACAGGTTGAGAACAAGGGTTAGGATAGGTTAGGATAGGTTAGTCAAATTATACTGTCTACGTCTGATTCCTGAACAACCAGTTTACCATACTGTACATATGTCTGGTCATACATCTGATCAGCTAGACTCAAACCAGTCTCTGCTGTGATGCATTGGTTTTGGCTAGGCAGTGCTTATTTACAGTATTTCTCATATGTGCTTTCAACCTTCCATTGCACTTGTGATTCTTTGGAACATGTCCTGTTTATTGTGTACAAACCTCTTGAACAGTTGCGGTTTCAAAAACTTTTTTTTCCTGACCCATCGCATAGCTGACTGTCGATCGGACGCTCAAAGTTTCAGGTGTCCAGCTGATTTAGAAGAATGTGTGGCTTTGTTAACATTCTTGCGAGATGAGCTGAGATGAGATCTTTCTTGTTTAACCCAATCTCATAGAGTGACCAGCCTAGCACCAACCCGCATTTGTTGAATAGCCGATACTATGATGTGGTCTCACGCGCACTGTTTCTCGACTACACTTGTAGATGAGATGAAGCGCAAATTCATTTTAATCCTCTTTCTCGTCGTTAGTAGCGGATACGAAGTGGGTAAGTTGGTTCCTATGGTGTACGTTTCCAACGGTGATTCTATAAAGTGAAGCGTGAAAACTTCGTCAACATTCTCTCAACGAAGACACTCATTAGCTCCGAACTATGTATCTTCGATCACCGGTGGCACCATTGAAGACCCAATCGCAGGTGATTCCTCAATTACTTACCGCTCAGAATGACCGTTTTGCATGAGACTGCACTGGAAATTATTCGAGTGTCGAAATTTTGGGGCAGGCAAGTACTTTCGACCTGCGTTCAGATGCAAAAGCTAGGTATGATTGAGCTTGAGCTACGGGAGTTGAGCAAGAAATTAGACAGATGGTTGTGATAAGACCGGGTGAGGAGCATCTTGCACAGATTATACGCGCCCGATTGCTGATTCAACAATTCAAGGTTTCTTTTCTTCGTGACAGTGGACAGCAGAAAGCTGCAGAAAGCTACAACACACGTAAGTAAGTCCGCAAATTTCACTGTCCCACACGACACCCCCCGTACCAAGGTTTGTCCGGCTTCATCCGCCCACACGGAAACGCTGGAGGACTCTCGTTGGGGGAAGTTGAACTTGGTCCTCGGGACGAGCGCGTGAGGGGCGAAATATCAATTTCTTACAATCTGAATATCACGTGCACGTACTACTCGTAGTCATCTCTCGTTATTCATGATCACGAACGAAATTATCTTCGTGAACTTAACAGCGGCTACCCAGGCCATTCCCTCTTTGAGAACGCGGAACAAGCACCTCAATCCCTATAAACACAGTAATATGACGCGATCAATAACTGATGAATACACCACAATGTCCTCCCTCTCGCCACAATCCTCGGACTAGTCCTAGTCAACTCCTGGTCAACTCGAATCCATTTCCTCCTTCCTCACACCTCCGGGAAATCTTATACGCGAAGTAGAACCACTTCTTTACTCTGACTTGACACTAACAACGCCATGTGTTTCGTGTCCAAAAATGGAAGGAAGACGTGGTCGAGATGTACATGTTCGTGAGTCTGTCGAAGTATAGGCATTCATACTAGTCTTTTAACCCATTTATTATCAGATTAGACCAACGTCAAAATCGGTGATATCGACTCTTTCCATGGACCAGAGGGATATAACAGGGGTACCTTGAGTATATTGAACTTGTCGGAGGGCTTCACGACGAGGTGTGTTGGAGTCTTTTGCTCCACGTTTGCACACATTGACCTCCCTCGTTTCCCTCACAGTACTGAGGCGACGCTCTTGTGTATGGAGGCTCATCTCTTTTTCCTTCGATCGGGACTGCATATACCTTTTCGACGATATCACTTACCAGCAAAGAACAGTGTCCGCATCTGGTCTACCCCTGCATATGAGCGGAGGACGACTGACTGTGATCATGGGAATTCGATGGATGTTGAGCGGAATTATCCTTTCGTGTGGTTCAAAAATTAAATGTTTAATCACTCGTCCTAATGCGCGTTAGACTCTAGGTACTCATGTCAAGCAGATGTCGATGCTGCGGTTGGCGGTTCCTTGGATGACCTCTATAATTATCACCCACAGTCGATGGAATTCTTCGGTAATGGAACGATGTACATATGTACTGCAACTTCCGGAAAGACTAGCTCCCTCACGCATTGGATGATAAACTACCGCCACAGTGCAACTAGTAAGGATCATGTATGTCCATCTATAAAAACAATCCACTCACAGGCGCTCGAAGAGTTCAAGACTTTTCTAAATCTTTCTTCTCGATAATCCATCCATACCGCGCCCATTGATCTCGAAGCTTCACCGAAATTTTTTTGCCCTGATCGATCAACCACTCGTTCTTAATATCGCCAGCCACGCTGAGTATTACAACCCTGACCCGCCCAGCCAAAGCACCGCTCCTGCATATCTTCCTCAATTGCATATACAGTTGGCGCTGGGTGTCCGTCACAACAGTCTCCGGTACTGTACACAGCTGGCCGCTATCGGGATCTTCGAATGCCGTTCCTCCACCAATTACATCTACAACCAGAGTATCTATATCCCACATGTTCGTTTGTATGTCGGATTCTGCCGAAATCGACTGGTGTAGACCCAATGGACCATGTAACAGAAATGCGGCCAGCATGTTGAACAGAGTTGTAGTAAGAGATGTCGGGCCCCCGTCGCCCCACCACGAAAATCTGTTCTCTGATTGTATCTCGAATGACAGATAAACTTTTCGACATTTCGAGTTTGGGATCGTAGCGGACGCTGCAATTCGAGGTTCAAGAGATTTTGGATACACGAGTAAAGGGAAGCGGATCCATCTCGGTAGTATCTGCTCGTAACCAAAACCCTGTGGTATCCTGTTGACCTTGAGTTGGAGTTCGAAGGATAAACCACCGTGCCTTTCTATCGACGCGATGATTTCACAGTACACCTGCCGGCATGTACTCATGAGACCAACGCAGGTACCTCTAGCCAGTGGGATCTGTCTCCAAGGACGACTCGTCAATTGGAGAGTTATTCGCTCTGAAGGTTCTGGAGGAGTTTCGTTGGGGGCAAGCAGCAACTTGTCGTAGATCTGATCCCGAATTTCGCGTGCCAACACAAGAAACATTGCAGATGTGGGCGCAATGAAAGGATGTACTGGGTGCTTTATATATCAACGTATCTCCTGGCAACCGGATCGCTGAAAGTTGCACAATAAATCATATGGTCTTTTCTTTGACACTCAATCATGCAAACTACGAGATCGTCATGCGGCATGGACTGGATGGAAATCATCAATTCTGTGTAGTATATAACCACTCGACATATCAGAATGTCAGTGTATTACCTGAAAAGCAAAAGAACCTTTGTGTTATGGTTGGAAGATGTTGAACGACATCGTAGGGGAAGACATTGCACGACCTCTTGAAGGAGATTACCTCAAAACTGGACTTCGGAAAACTGCTATCTCTTCCCGATTTTCAAAACTTTCATCATGAGATGATACAAAAGGCATGCGACGAAGATAAAAATGTCGACACTGCATTCGCCTGGGCCTACTCGCAACTCAAGTTTTTGCCAATGTAAGGCAAATATCCTTTTCCTATCTCTGAAATTCAACCTCTTGACTTGATGCGTGTAGGCCAGATGCACGGACTAGAGACAAGAAGTCGGGTGTATCCCGAGCAAAGGTCAGTTATATCGAACAATCGATGCACTTAATCATCAAAATAATAGAAATGGAACTCCGCGGTAGACAGATATATTGCAAGCAGCTCAGATTTGCGGCCGAGGTTAGATATAGAATGTGCAGCAAAGATCGGACATTCACTCGGTCCTCGTCATAAGGTGTGTGAGGCACCAGGTTGTGGAAAAGTTGAAGGCAAGGATTTGAAAGAGGTGTTGGCCTGTTCCGGGTGCAAAATGGTGAGACTTACGCTATACTCTATTCACTACTTATGTCTGTGGCTCTAGACATATTATTGTGGTTGGAAATGTCAGAAGACTTCTTGGGAAGAACACCGGAAGATCTGTAAAACCCCTGAGCAGCAAGAGGTTCCACTTCCCTCTCAGCGTGCAATAGAGGCTTTTGTACTTACTCGTGGTTTTTTTATGTTTGAGGAAAGATTGGGTATCAAGGATGAAGAAGAGCTTTGGGAGAAGCTGTCGAAAATGGGTCTCTGCAAAGATATCTGATGTTGGCTGTTTATGTTCATTCACTTTGTGCAACCTCAACACTATGTGTTAATGATGACTCTACAGTACCTGCATGTACTATATGTATATAATCTCATCAAATTTCACTCAAACAAGTTGAATACTATGTATTGAAGTAGTTATCTTAAGCATACACTTTATGCCCTGCAGTATGAGCATATATTGAGATGGACAAGGTGGAGCTTCTGGAATTTATTGTGATGTGGCAGCCATAATCAATCCCTTTGCATTCTGGTTCCGAGGCGTAATAGAGGCTTGATATGGCTTAGGATGTCTTAACAATTAACAGTAAGTAAAGGTAATGGCAAGTACACAGTGAGCTATACATACCTGAGCATGCCACTTGTATACTCTCCCAGAATGTTGATTTCATTTCCATTTCTGTCCTTTGCCTTGCCTAATGTGAGTGTGGCTAGCACAGATGCAACCGTAAGCCAGACAGTATTGTCAGCCATGTAACGGCCAGCACAAACTCTAGGGATCATAATGACAATCTGTCTAGGGTGAAGAGTGGGTGAATTGCAGCATACCTTCGTCCGAATCCAAATGCAGATATATCATTAATGTTGGTAAAAGGTCCCCCAGGGATGTTGAGGTGACGCTCAGGCAAAAATCTATCTGGTTCTGAATATACCTCCTTGTCCCGGTTCATGGCCCTAGAATCCTTACAATCAGAAGTAAGTTGGCATCTTGAACAGTTTCTACGCACCATACATTTGGAACAACAGCACATCCTGGGGACAATATTTGTGAATGAAGTACTAAAAGAAATCAAGACAGTACCTTTTGGGATATGATAACCACGGTAGTAATCATCCTCAATTGAGGTATGTATCACTCCTACAGATGGTCATAATTTAGTAAGGTCATCCATGCTGGTCATCATACTATTTACCAGAAGGTATAGGTGGGTGTAACCGCATAACTTCACGGTAGATAGCTTCTACATATGGCAAAGACAAACGGTCCTCGAAAGTAGGTAGTCGGTCCTTTCCAATGACAGCATCAATTTCTTCTTGCCCTTTCCTCTGTATTTCGGGATGGAGGGTCATGGAAAGGAGGAAGGAGCTAATTGAGGACATAGTCTTGAAGGGTTTTAATGAATTTAAAGCAGAGCTGCAATTATTCTAACAACATACCGTATCTGCTGCAGCTAATGGTGATAAATGATGTAGCAATAAGTAAGCCAATCATAGAATGATTGAACTCATACCAAGATAACTGACAATTCCCATTCTCTTGATAGCCTCAAGTGCTTCAGCATTTCCTTCATTTTGGACTGCTAATTCAGCAATGATTGAAGTCCCTAAACCCCTTTTCTTGATATATGTGACAATCTAAGATACAACATTCCATTCCAGATAAGACTGCACACTCACCAGATTATTCATAGCCATGTCAAAAGGGATGGTATCCAAGGTTTTGAGTTTTTCTAAGCATTGAGCTGCTACTTGTTGAAATCCACATCCAGGGAACCATGAGGGCATATATCGCAGCCATGGATACCTTTGGATTGTTGGAAAAGCACCTATGATTTGAGTATCTGCCAAGGTGTTCATGGCTTCAACAGCTATCTGGGCTAGATGGTCTTCGGGAGCAACGTCCAGTCCATAGACAGAGGAGAACACAAGTGATTGTGAAAGGCTGAAGATGAAGTGTGATCAAAGAAGAGTCACGATGTGGTCGGAAAGCTCATTACTTGCCCCATAGTATGTTGCATGAACTCATGAGGTGAGATTGTCAAATTACATAAAAATTCTTGAACCTTCTTATATTGATATGGATAAAAACGGTTGACAACGGCTTGGCGAAAATTTTGTAGAAAGAGTTTCCTGTCGCGGCGCCATTCATTTGAGTAACGCTTCATGGTCCGCAGACTAGTCAGGTTTCTAACAAGTAATTAAGAATGAGGGCACTCACCGCAACAGAAAAGATATATCCAATGCCACATCTATCGTTAGGGGTGTAAAAATCAGAAAGCTTTAGCTTAAACTGATGCTTGCAGAACTTACAGTTCCATCATGGGTGTCACTCGCCGGTCAGAAAAGATACGGGCTCGCTTTTCCAAGAGATCATTGGCCACTCGAGAAGTGTTGACAATCAAGATGTTCATCTCTCGAACATAAACTAATTCACCTTTTGAAGGGTCAGTTGCTCCATAGTTAGTGTCAAGTCCATGCCACGGGCCTCCATTCCGCCGCTCGGTATTCCGAAGATCTGCTCTTATTGTAATCTCTTCCTATTGTTCTTTCTCGCTACACATATCCTTTCGTTCTAGTCTCTCATTATTGTCTTTTACTCTTTCGTGCTAGTCTCTCCTTATTGTCTTTTACTCTACCCTGCAGGTACTACTCGTATAGCTCCTAGTAGTTAGTCTAGCGCTCCGCACCGATGCGCCGTTCCGTAGATATAAATACTGCCTGTACGCTACTGTAGTTCCTCAGTTTAATTATCAACTTAGATCGACTTAGATTCCCTCTTTCACTCTGTGCTCCTCTAAGTCTTCAGGCTTACTGCCTTGAAGTTCTCTCTACTCTACCTTAGGACTTATACGTTCTCTGGTTCGCTCCTCGTCACCGGCGTTATCGCCGCTCCGACTTGGCTGCTACTCAGCTCCTCTCTTCTATACTCTCGACCTCCGGGGACTTACGGCGTAACGGCGGTGTTGTTAATAACTTCACTACTGTCCCATTCGTATTCCGCACTTAGACACTCTGTGACCTCTGGCACGGTTACACGGGTTGCATGATCTTAACAGTTAGTGGATAAGCACATTGGGGTAGTTCACCCCAAATACGTACCATACTCTTTGCCCCAGTCCTGAAATTTGATCCAAGTATCATAGGTTGGCATTTCCTTGGCAGACGGGCCTGGAGGATAAAGCTTGGGGTGTGACAATTGTTTACGATAATGCAAAATAGTGACTAGATACGCCAAAGCTAAAACGGTCACTGCCATGATTGCTGTCCCGAATGAGGTAGAGAATGTATGGGCGATGTTGTGCATGAAGGAAATTATGATTTCGTTGTTGGAGGGTAATGGGAGGAAAGAAAGTAGTCGAATCTCGAGTAGCCTCACCTCCTTCATTTAAATACTTTGAAGCTCGAAAAAAAAGACCAGATGACGAAATTCTGTGTGAATGAGAGGAGTATATCGGCGATTTGCTGCCTTTCTGCCACAAGTGAAACTCGTGATGTTGATGAGAGAGGCTTTTGAATCGTTCTAGTCAATTGGAACAATCGAAGTCTGCAAACATGACTGGAGTCAACCGGGTACAGGTTCCCAGAACCCCCATTCAGAAGACCAATTTGATTTTACGCGATTTGTTCAGCTCCGGAGAGAGGGAGATGAGCTGACACAGGGAGAATGATATTACGAGGATAAAATTCGAAGCAAGCCTACATGGTGGAAAATGCATTTCGAGATTGGATGGCCGTCGTGATTCAAAGCCCGCCTTAAATTTTCACACGCTTTGAAAAAATTAAGGAAGAACCTCAACCCGGAGAACGTTGACGTTGACGAATCGGGAATCAAGAATAGGCCGCGTCGATGAAGATCACAGATGAAAATTCGAATCCGATACTTGCAAATCGATATATAGTCTCATCGCCTTCTAGCTAGTCCCGCTATAAAACAAAATAATCAAAAAGCGAATTTTTTTGCCACAAATTCGGCTTGTTTGCTACTGCAACCTCCTCCATCCATCCTTCAAGCTCTTCAATCTGGCGCGGTAGGCTCCCCATGCCAATCTCTCTATCCAGACATATCTTGCTCGTCTGAAAAAGACTTCTCGCCTCACTAGCCTCTCAGCGCTTCAGCTCAGTCTTCGAGTCACGACTTGTCACGACTGCTTACATGTATACCCTGTTCCTCCAGATTCTGCCTGCTATATGAAAGGTTGCTTGCAAACTTCAGTCAAGGGGATTCGGACTTTGTGTGAAGTAATGTCGAGGTAGTTACTCAATGACGGATCCTGAGCATGTTGCGAAAGACTTACTGGGTATGGAGATTCCGGTTTAGTACTTGTGAGCAAGTATTTCCTCCTGCGGTTTGCTTTCATCAACCTCTCTGGTGGCGCCGTCTCGAATAGATGGGAATTCAACCCGGCTTGGAGGACTGCTTTAGGTGAAATAGTGGTAGCTAGGTGTCAACGCTGGCGGGATTCATCAAATCGAAGACAAGCTAAAGGGATATTTTCTTAGCTTGGAGGACCCTGTAGGGCATAGTGGTAGGGCGTATCCCAACGAGGTGAATTCGGATCCTGCCCTTCGATCTATTTATTTTCTGAAAGGTACTGAATTGTTGATTAAGGCCTCGGGAATATTATGAGAACTTCCAGCGGACATTCTTCGGTGATTATTCTATGAAAACGGAAACTATCAAAGATCTACGACCCCGCGGATCTTTTCACGGTTGTAGAAGGTGTAGGTTCCGAACGCTGGGATGAGAGGCTTGCTTGTCGGGAAAGCATGAAGCCGATGTCTCCATTCGCGGGTATGACATTCAGGGTCTGGTCTCTTTATCAATATGCGGCACAGACTGTAGGATTGCACCTCGTACAATTCTCCACTTAACTCCGATATCCGCGAAGTTTTCACATCCACAGTTACATTGTGAAGCAGCGGTGCTCCGGCGCAATCGCTTGCTTCCATTGCAAGGAGAGCATGTACTCGGTTCATGTTCTTGATTCAGCCTTCAAGTCACCCTCCTTTAGTTCTCTGTCGTGAATAGAAAGGCTATTGGACAGTGTCTTCATTTCACTCTACGGGAATTATGGATTTGGAATCCACTGAGGGAGGGTGCTCGTTCGTGCGATCAGGAGTCATCAGGCGCTAAAGCGTCAAAAGAATTCTGCGTACATTTGACCAGATCGCGCCCAAGCCGCGCGCAGATACAACGAGTCAGCGACATAGATCAAGCCTAGTACCCAATCGTTGAGCTCTGAAATTCAAGGAAGGTTGGAGTTCCGGAGGGATTCAGCGTCTACCAGAATGAACAGCGGAATGGTTCGACTGAAGGTTTCCCTTAACGTAGCGCGGTGATCCCTTGGACGGCGGATTCTGTGACAAGCATCATGGAATTCACTGTGTTTCTTCCCCCTCACGCCCTCAAGTTTTTCCTAGTCTGGTCCACCATCTATACCAGGCTGTGGGATGGCGGGGATACCCAACATGTTGTGTTTGAATAAGGTGAGAAAAGAACTACATAACGACGCCTTTCATCCGAGAATGAGGCCTCCGATTTTGCCATGAAATGTATCATCTAGTAAGCGCCTATGTTCGCATTTTATGTACGTGTTTTTGGTCATTTCAGAACACGCTTGATCTCAGGAAGAATGCCTTCGTTCCTCTCCTTGGTCTTCTTGGGCGCTATGTTCTGCTTAAATAAAGGCTGTAGATCATCATGAAGGTTGCCAATACATATGCATGCACCCAAACATGTGTCCACCACTATGTTTGTCGAAAATGTCGAGCTACGTAGTACGCCTTGAACTACGCCTTGACCTCCTGCCTATCATCTCGTATCAAGAATCAGGAAACCGATTGCCTATATAACATACTCACTTTCCGAACGGTGGGGGTTTCCAACGATGTCTAATATTTCAGACCCACCCATTAACTGGCAACCAGATCCTGACTTTCGTGGCACATTCAACATTGTTTCTACCTGTCTAACGACGCTCTTGCTTTGCCTTTGGAGTGCGGTTCACGTTGATGTCCCAAGTCACTCGGGGAAATGTCGCGGACTATGGGTGAGAGTTGGTTGGATTTCTGTGGGACTGGTTACTCCGGAAACATTGCTCTTCATCGCGTATCGGCAATGGACTATTGCAGGGGAGATCTTCGCGGTAGCAAACCCATGTGAAGCTTCCACCAAGCCATGGCACCGACTATTCCTTCAGCTCAAGGAATACCTCAAATGGGGAGGGCCACAAGATAGTGGTTACGGGGAGGTATGAATGAATGTATGAACATAGCGCGAAGTGATATACTGATGTATTTAAGATTCAGGACTGTAGCAGGAAGCATCCCTGGACGATGATGCACAGCTATTACGCCGCAATGGGGGGATTTGTGTTCGATACACAAACGGAAGATTTTCTTCCAGCATCATACAGAAACGGACGTGCTGTAATCACACCGGAAGGTATCCAGTTTCTTCTCAGGAATCAGCCAGACTTACTCCCAGATTTATCTATCGAGGAAATTTCAGATCGGAGCAAAGCAAACGGTCTTTCGAAAAGTGTCGTTGTCGTACAGGTCACTTTCTTCCTCGTCAACTGTATCGCTCGTAAAAGCCAAGGGCTCCCCGTTACTCTGCTGGAGGTGACGACCGTGGCACACGCGTTGTGTTCTTTGCTTGCTTACGCGTTTTGGTGGAACAAGCCGCTCAGCGTTGCCCATCCTACTTTCATCCGCGGGGAAGTCGCAATGCAGACATGCGCATTGATGTGCATGGCTAGTACTTGTAGGTACTATTTCCTAGCAGGGTATCTTATGGTTTGGCGTCCTGCTGAACTCGACAGCTTGTGCTGCCATGAAATCGAGTCCCTCGATGCCGAGAAGCGTCCTGCTTCCAATAGAGACTCTACCAAACATCGGCCACAAATTTACTTCACACCCTGCCCACCCGATACCGTCCCGAAAGATGGTATGTCGCCCTGGCTCGATAGGTCGATAGGAAAGAGGTACCTCGGGCCCCAGCCTTGGTACAGAGAGTGGCAGAACAACGTCCACGACAGTGAATCTGCGCAGGGCGCAACTCCAAATCTGACTCGAAGCGACAAACGGAGATGGGCCCTTGCTTCAAGCGCTCCATGGAAACTCCTGCAGGATCTAGAAACCACACGTCGAATATCTTTCGACGACGCCGACTCGGAAGTCACAGACGTACCCCGCTATTCAGATGCCTTGGTGTCCCCAAACTCCTGCCTCTCCGCATCCCTGAAATCCCGCGGTGGCAATCCCCGCAAAATCACACTAAACGACAACGACCCAGGACCAACCGCTGCCCCGATTCTTGCGTTGTTATTCGGGTTCCCCAGTCTCACTGCATGGTATTATGATTTTCCTACACCTTTTGATCAGTTTCTTTGGCGGGTAGCAGCTTTAGCTGCGACATTCAGAGGGACTGTCTATTGGGCTACACGTAGACTTGGGTTATATGTTGCTCACCGCACGAATAATTACTTTCTGCGCAAGGCGGCGGCGGTGATTCCAGTGTGTTTGTTGATGGGGATGCTGGTTCCTTCGAGTACAATCTTGGTCGCGGAAAGCTTCAAGCAACTTTTATATCTACCTGGTGCTGCGTATCATTTGCCGATGTTGACAAGATATTGGCCTCATTTTTAGTTGGATAATGCAGAATATTTTGTTACATTGCATGTAATTATTCATGTACTCGGTCTGTATTTGCAGCTTGGACCTTCTTTGTGTACCCATTATTGAAAAAAGTATGTACTCTTGGTAATCTGTAATGTGTAAATGTAGATAGTTCGATAACTTTCATGTTACTACAAGAGTCACTGGTAAAGACTCATGACAAAATATCATATACATATACCGCAGAAATTAATTTTAGACCCCGGAGCTTTTACATTATGTACTCATTTACCGTTGAAAGGAAAGAAACATCCCACACAAAAATACACAAAGCACAAGTCTGAGGTTGTAAACTTGTATCATGCAGGTTGACAAAAGCACAGTGGGCTGTGGCAGTTTCCTCCTCAACACACCTCCAAATCGCAAGGCTCCCCCCATCCCACCTCTCCCTCTCCCTCTCCCTTTCCCTCTCCGACCACCGCGGTGTGCGCAAGGCTAAACCTAAAATAGGCTTTGTATAAAGTACAGGTAGAGCCTGAGCCAGCTTTCCTCAATCAACTGTTTCAACCACCCCGGCGCTAATTCCATCCTGGGTTTACATAGCTTCACCTAAAAATACCCTCCCCACGCTATGATCAAAAAACATACTGCACGTTCATTCTTTTGTTCGATCTCTGTTTTAATTTTCGGACCTCCAATTTAAAGATCATCGTTTTCGATCTTCATCTTCTTCATCTTCTCTTCCTCCCCCATGCCCATCCGCACAGATCCGCACTGAGTGTCCCCTTCATTTCAACCACCGGTCGCTGTTGTTGTTGTTGCTTGAGGTTCTTCTCATTCAATAATCTCTCACCACATTGGTGATTGAGACCCATCGGAACCGGAGTCTTTCATCTCCATCTGTGTCTCCATGACTGTCTCTGGTTTTGTCATTACTAACCTTGCCAACACTTGCATCAAATTTGCTCAAATTGCTTGTCCTCTACATACTACCTCAGGCTGCTTATTTTTTTTATTTGATCTTTATTTTGTTCGAAAGCCGGTTCGGAGCTGAAAAGCTGGTTGGTATCTATCTATCTATTTGGTATTATCTATCTATCTGTTTATCTATTTCTCTCTCTCTCTCTCTCTCTTGGTTCTGGGCGGTTCTAAGTAATCTAAGCAATTCTACGCAATTCTGTGCAATTCGAAGCAATTCTAAGCAATCCTAAGCAATTCTAAGCAATTCTAAGCAAATCTACGCAATTCTGTGCAATTCTAAGCAATCTGCGCAATTCTAAGCAATTCTACGCAATCTAAGCAAATCTAACCAATCCTGAGTGTGAACCCCTCTTATTTCAATGCTAATCGATATAATCTCTGAACTCTGTCATACTATGTAGTATGTAGTATGTAGTACCACCTCAGGCTCTGAGTTGTTGGGCACTCTCTGAGCCATTACTTGTGTAGCACCCTCTGAGCCATTGCTTGTTTCTGTCATACTAGTACCACCCCAGGCTCTGAGTTGTTTGAAACCCTCTGAGCGATTGCTTGTTTAGCACCCTCTGAGCCATTACTTGTTTAGCACTCTCTGAGTGATTACTTGTTTAGCACCCTCTGAGCAATTACTTGTCTTCTTCTGTGACCACCATCATCTTGTTTTTTCCCATGCTAAACAGCTGAATGCTGGGGAGAAAAAAAGACCTCGATAGTGGGTAACGTAGAGCAAAATTGAAGAAACATTATCACGTACCGAGTGAAAAGAGTGCAAACAAAAGTTCTATCAAAAAAAAAGCAAGCATGTTGTCACCACCAGAAACGGACAAGCAAGACCTCTCTGCATCGATGAATCAAAAACAAGGAGCGCTGGCGACCGAAGGCTTTGACTGCCCTGCGAACGGTGCCTTGCAGACAGAGTGGACTGTTGGTGAGGACTGAGGCTCAGAAGACAGGCAAGGTCTTGCTGGAAGTGAGGAGACTGACGATAGGAGGGCTACACCTGGGACGAAGACAGTGGGAGAAGGCTTGGTGAAGGACGGTGGTCACAAACAAGACACAGGCCCGAGTGTTGAAGATAGCAGAAGGGACAGTGAGAGCTTCAACGGGTCCGCGGACACTGCTGGGACTGTGGTGGAGTCGCCGAAAAAGACAAAGAAAAAGGCTGGGGGGCAGGCAGCACCAAAAGCAAGGGCAAAAACAGTGCAAAAGTCGGAAGTTGGTGGGGAGAAGGGCCCATTGGATGCGTGGATCAACCGCCTCTCCGGCAGCCAGGACCCTTGCCTCAACAATGTCAGCAACAATGGACCACAATGAGTCAGGGGACGAACCGTTAGCAACATCTTTGCTTCTCTCTCCTATGTCGGAGGTGCCGGATGTTATTGTGGACTCACTAGGTAATGCAACGGTGGAAGCGCATGTGGAGAAGGAGTACGGTATCAATTTGGACATGAATTCTGTCTCAAAGGTTGTCCAGGTGGCGAGCAAACTAAAGAAAACTGCTATCGCTGTTGGGGGATGGCAGATGGAGATGCGGAATGAGTTCCGGGATGAGACATCAACTCTGTGTCAAGATCTCAGCAAGCTAGAGGAGCGAGTGGCAAGAGTAGAAAAGGGCCAGGCTGGCAGTGAAAAAGCAGGGGAGTTCGTTCTATGACCGGAGCTGGTGCTGCTCAAGAGCAGGGTGCAGAATATGGAAAAGGTTGCATTGAAGATGCCGACTGGAAGCGAGATTGACGGAAGGCTAGTGGTAGCACTGAAGGGAGTAAAGGAGGACATGGCTGAGACATGCAGTGGAATACAGGGGGAGATGAGGGCCTTTGTCATAAAGTATGCAGCCCCTATCATTTTCCTTTTCTCACCGTCTCGACGCCTTTACTTGTACAATACATCATCCCATCACTGTCAAACCCCCATTGATTACTGATCCACCTGACCCATCTTCTCTTTCTACTGGCTTCCGCCACCTTCCTTGTTCCTAAACTGTACAGTATTACATCGTTGTTTCTCGCAGACCGGATTATGTATATATAGCCAACCCTCCACAGCCTGGTCCCTTATCTTGACCTCTCTGTCATTATCTGGGACCAGGTATGTGCTTACTTACTACTACCTATGACTACAATACTCAATATATCTCTGTCATTATCTGGGACCAGTTCGCCTCCGCTCCGCTTAGTCACTCCGCCTCACTGCCTAGCTTAGTCACCCCGCTTCCTGCTCCGTTAGTCACTCCGCCTCTGCCGCTTCGTGACAGCCTTGTGGGGGATTGTGAAGAACAATGCGAAGGTTGTCAGCAAGGAGGCAAGGGATGATGGCAGAGCAGTGCGTGCAGAGTTGAAGGGCAAGATCCAGCGAGTGACTGCTGCTACAAAGGAGAGTTTAAAAGAGATCCAGGGACAGCTGAGGCAGGAAACGGAAAGTAGGTGTAACAAGCAGAAGAAAAAAGCAGAGGTATACACAGCAAAGGTGGAGGATGTTGTAAAGGATTTGATGGTGAGAATAGAGGTCCTGGAGAGGCAGAACCGAGAGCTGGAAGGCAAGAACAGGGACCTCGAGCAAAGGGTAGAAAGGGTGGCGCAAGAGAAGAGGCAAGAAGAGGAGGCACAGGTGGAGAGGATGTCGGAAAGGGCAAGGGAAGTCATGGGGTATGGGGCACAGAGAAAGAGGTTGGGGGAGGACGAAATGGTGGATGAAGGCCGTAGTGGGAAGTTCCCACGTGGGAAAAGTGCAGAGTCAGTACACAATATGGGTGGCAGGGTTAATGAATGGAGCACTGACAACCAAGGGAGTGGTCACAAGGACTATTGACGGAACAATTCTCACACTTGCAGGAATTATCAGCATGATCAGCAGGATCAAGGGTATGGGGTTCCACTGCCACGTCTTGCCCGACCACCCGCCTTTGCACCAACTGCCCCAGCAAGGGATAAGCAGGAGCTGAAATTGGCTGTTGGGGTGTTTCGAGGGCAATATGCCACAGCTGGCATGGGTGATCAGATTGCGCTCATTGCAAAATCTGTCCCAAGGAGTGTCATTCCCAGGGATGTGAGGAGAGATGAATACCGGTTTGGGGTCTTGGTCATGACTCCATTCCGGTCATATCATGATAGGGATGCATTTACACAGGAGTGGAGTGCTGGCTATAAAAACTCACTGAGTGAGCAGGAAGGATTGAAGCTCTGGGGTATTGGGGAGGATTTTTAGAGGGGGCTGGGGGTCTCTTGCAGGTCAATGAGGTTGAAATATATCAGCTGGAGTGACACACTGCATGCATATTGAGGCAGGGAAGACCGTGTAATTCATGATACCATGGGAGGGGTTTTTTTCCGCTTTTCCCCTCAATAACCAACATGAATGATCATAATCGCCCCCCTGTATTAGATATGTGTGTTCCATTATTGTACAACATTACGTAATATTGTACAGTATATGGTAAACTGGTTGTTCGGGAATCGGACCTCGCCAGTATAATTCATATCCTATCCTATCCTATCCTTGTTTAGCACCCTCTGAGCCAGACCCATTACACAGGACTTCCGATGCTAATATTATTGAATTGACTAGAAATACCCCCCTCCTGGTGATTAATTATATGTACAGTATTAATTATTATGTGTTTTATTGAGTCCTATTGCTCTGTTAATGCGACTATGGCGACCTATTGCTCTATTGCTCCATTGCGACCTATTGCTCTATTGCTCCCTATTGCTCGCTCTCGATCTGGATTTTGATTCTCGGACCTCCTCCGATTGGGGGATGAGTACCAGTGGTTGAGGTGTTAGTGGTCTCTTTGTACTTGATTATGTTCTCTTCTTCGTTGATTGTCTTCGCCTTCTCTTCAGTAACCGACGCGTCGATGTGTTGTTCCTCCATCGGAACGAGTTTCGTGTGCGTGGATTTGTTGGTGGTTTTCGTTACCGCTTTGGTTTTGACTGACTTGCGAGGTGACGAGGACAATGTGGAGGAAGGGGAGGAAGAACTCGGACAAAGTCCCTCGATACTGCTCAAAGAGCATTCTGAGCATTTAGGTTTGACAGGGGTGCATATTGTCTGTGATTCGGTCAAAACCCCAAGAAGATGAAAAGGCGAGAAGGTGCATAGTAGATATATCGTAGCGCACCTGACCGAAACCTACTAAGAGATGATTGATTTTCTGGTGTAGATCGCGGGGAAGCCATGATTCGAGGTTGATTCTGTGGGGGTTGAGGTTGTGAGAGTTTATATGTTATGTAAGAAGCGCGAGATGAAAGGAACAGCGCACCTGGTTTGTTCAGGAGTCTTGGTCGGTGGATCGTGCCATCCCAAACGATTGGAGATACGATGAACGTGAACATCGACTCCGATTCCTACGTTCCTAGAAATCATCAGTTAGTTGTTATCACTGTGCACTCAAGAACGCGAGACTCTTACAACCCCCACCCAGACCCCAACATCAAATACCCCATCTTCTTTCCTACCCCAGGCAACTCCAACAACTCCTTTAGCGTCTTTGGTACATCCCCACCATACCGATCCCGACAAATCACCGCAGTTTTCTGGATGTACCCTGCCTTGCGGCGCCAGAAACCAACTTTGTTTATGCACCCTTGGACGAGAGACGGAGAAGCGGAGGCTAGAGCGGAGGCGGTGAGCCCGGGTGACCCGAGAGCACTGCGCAACGCAGAACGCAGGGCGGAGACGGCGGTGTGGGTGACGAGGTCTTTGGTTTGGGAAGAGAGCATGAGCGAGATGAGGATCGAGAAGCGTTTGGTCTGTGATGGAAATGACGTAGGTATGTATGGTGTTATTAGAGTAGCGATGAGATCATACCTTGTCTTCGTCTTCAGCTTCACCGGCAATGTCACACCCCATTGTATCGACTGGGGCATCTCGGGCACACCCGGAAGGCGTGTACCGCATTTCATGGATGAGGGAGTACGCTTGACGCCAGTGAGCAGGAACTGCGTGGGGGGTAACAGGGGTAGAGGAAGAGGTGCCTTGCTTTGGCTTGCGAGGTGATCTCGATTCGGGGACTCTGGATGTCGAAGGTTCATGAACGTGAACACGTTTAACTCGTTTCAGTGGACGAGTTTCTTCTGATTCACTTTCCGCTAAACTCCGCATAGATCTTCTCCTCGTGCGGGTCATCGACATCTCCAGCCCAGAACTTTCTTCCGCATTCCGAGATTCCGACTCGTCGAGTGTAAATAGCGTCACAGACGCATCGAACGCACTTGGGTGTGTTGTCAATTTCGGCGCTTGGGGTTGGCGGGGAGTCCGGTTCGACATGTAAGACTTGAATAATGATCCAACCCAGGGCCAGAGTCTTATAAAGCAAAGCCAAGTCAAGTCCCTGGTAGTACAGTCGACTCCCTCTTAACCCATACCCCTATAAACCCATACTCCCTTATACTCCATACATTTTCTCGGTTACCGACCTCGTTTGCAGGGAAATGCCATACATAACCCATAACTCTCCCATACCCCATAATCCATACCTTTTTGGGGATAATCTCCGCTATATTTTTACACATAACCCATACCTTGATTGCTATCATTGCATTTGATACTCCCAAAATGGAATCAGTAAGTGGACAATTGGCACAAAATTAATACAAAACCAATAAAATGGTCGATTTACACTAATTTTGAGCTAACATAACCCATGTATGGGGTGTTACAGCTCCCGATTAGGCAAATTGTCACGTATGTCACTTGGCGTGACCACCCCATAAACCCATACTCTCCCATAACCCATAGGTCTGGACCTCCACGGAGGGGTATGGGTTAAGAGGGAGTCGACTGTATATCGGTTAGTACACGCGCCTGTCATTATGTATATCACTACTAAACTGATTCGCGCGAAAGCTGGGTTCGACTCCCAGCCAGGGAGTTTCACACCGCTCTCACTACCAATTTTTTTGAAAACTATTTTTATTCAACCCTTGCGTCTCTTCTATATGTAAGGATTGAGCTCATATGCTACTCAAGTGGCGGAAATTTTCAGAACATTCAACAGCATTTTTATCACGTAGCAGAACTTTTTTTTTTGTGATAGGCCTTTGGAACAGGAAATATACCTAGTAATAAGTATTTATTGCTCCACCATCTGAGGTTTTCTTGAGTGCGACACCTGGTGACACCCGTTACTAGAGCCAGTCGCTGAAAAAAGGTAGATCTTGGAATACCGAGCGGCGGAATGGAGGCCCAAGGCATGGACTTGACAGTGAGGTGGAGTTCAAAGGTGTCGCCTTCGCATCAGTTGACAAGACTGTGCCTACAGGTCAATAACTATAGAGGTTCTGAGGTCAGATATGGGCCGGAAAATGGCCCGGGATAAGTCCGAGGTCCGGAACTGAGTATTGGCCTGTAGTACACACTGGGAGTGGGAGTCGGTGCAGCTATTAGCAATACCCTTCACACACTGTTGGTGTCCCCGGGAATATAACGGCAAGAGTGCAAGATTGGGATGAGCAGCCTAAATGGGGTTCCTGATGATCCGGGAGTCCGGAAGCAAAGGGTAAAGAAGATATTAAAGACTGGGATAGGATGGTACATATGATTTTAAGCTTGACTACAATGTACAAAGTATTCTAGCTTATATACATCCCAAATACAGTCAGAAGACTTTGATGAAAGCTTGGAACAATAAATAAATACAATGTCAGTCACAAGGTTATTATACCGAAGTCCGGTAATGAGCTTGCCTCGTTTTTGTGTGAAAGAGAAAGGAAGGAATCTAATGGGCACTCCAACCAACCAATCTAATACACAATATGCGAGTTCACTGCTATCAAATTTATTTAATAGCAAGGGGTAGCGTTGGCAAAGGTTCCGCAAAGCTTTGAGAGCTAAGTAAGAAGCTTTGATCAATCAATTTGAATCGTTCTAAGGATTCAATATATTCCTTTGATCAAGGTAGATTCAGCACGGTTTGTGCTTTGATTGTACTGATATGGGTATATCAAGAATTGGGGTTTTTGAATCAAAGTAAATTAAAACCGAAACACACAGACCCCTACAGAGGGCTAGAACTATGTGCTGGCACAACCACACAGCGTGATTTGCCCTTAAGACCAACAACTGATCCTAAGTTCGAAGAATACCCAACAACTGGATAGACTTCTCGCAGTCACAAGGAGCAGAACACGACGTTCCTATACTCACAAGTGCCGGGCCCGAATGGCTGCTAGCGAAGAGGTTTCAGTCTGGCGGGAGTGTGTCTTTCCTTTTTACGGATTAGCACTGCAACGTCGTCCCAAAATCACTTGTATTCCAGATACATCGGATCGCTATTTATACATACAGAATATAGAATCGCACAGTACAATTAATTTAATACAATAAACGTTCGGAACCGCAAGGAAACTTCTACACTCGGTCTGATACCATTTAATTTGAATCTACATGTCCTTATTTGGTCCATAATGGTTCCAAGATTCAAGTATACCTCCAAACATAGGTAGGTACTTTGTTATTCATTTAATTTAATTGTTTTGGAGAATGACTCGAATGGTGTTCAACTGTCATTGCTGTTCAACACTTACTTCGATCATTTGTCACCTCGTCTGGAGGCAAATCAGCTCTCCTCGATTCTAATCCTATCAATCTGATTCGTCTGGATTAAACTAATTGCTTCTCTCTTTCAACAGACACCCATTGTGCCTATACTCTATCAAGGGAGTTACGCACAGTATTCATTTAATGGCATTCTTCAATATTTTCTACATCAGGACTCTTTGACATTCATTTGATATGCCTTCGGAGCCTCGCAGTCTTTCGATCGTTCTTCTAGTCATTTCCCTCAACCATGCAACTTGATTGGTCTATTAGACTAAATCGCAGTCTTCGCAGTCTTTTAGGTTAATGCATGATCTCGTTCTAGAAGGAGTATTTGATAATTCCTGAGTTCTAGAAAGTCATTTCGAGTCAATCCTCGGTTCATGGTCACTTGAGTAAGTTCTTCCAAACTCCTGCCAGTGTAAGGTCCAATAAGAATACCCTTGGTATGTCATACGTGAATGGTCATCCTTCGGATGTAGTCCGAGTCTGGTATAATCCTGCTTGACAAACAGGTAGACTGCTATCCGAAGGTAGTATCGGGGATGGGTAAACTAACCAACTTGTGGTAGTATGGGTATATGGTCCCTTCAACTTATTAGACTGATTCAGTATTGACTTTGACTGTCAATCTGGGTCTCAATTACAGTCCTCTCGATACAAATCTATACGTGAAAACATCACAATTCACAGCATAGACGTCTAGCCAAAATTTAGGTGTGTCAACGGCGTAACGGCGGTGTTGTTAATAACTTCACCACTGTCCCACTCGACCTTCCACTCTTAGACACCTTGTGGCCTCTGGCACAGTTACACGGTGTACATAATCTTAACAGTTATTGGAAGCACAAAGAAACCAAGAAGCGTGAGGCTGGTAAACCTTTTATTGCTCGGAACCCGAAGAAGGGTTCCTCGGACTTCAAAGCTGGTCCTACTAACCAGCATAACAACTCTCAGTCATTGGGCTCTTCGGCGCCATTCACGCTGAAGCCTAAGTCTTTCTCTGGAGGTAAACCAAACAACAATGGTAAGCCTCAGAACTCTTCAAATTCCAGCCAATCCAGTGGTCAACGCCCCGTGTTCAAACATCTCGGTGCAGATGGGAAAGTCCTTCCCTCTGGAAGGGAAAGAAGGATGAAGAACAATCTTTGTCTCCTCTGTGGTGGTAAGCATCAGATTGCTGACTGCAATAAGTGAAAGGCTTGGGAGTCGAAGGGCCGTGCTGCCGAAGTTGAAGAAACCCCCGAAGCAACTATTGAAGTTGTTGAAGAGGAATCGGAAAACTAATCCGCAGCTCTTGTTCCCCGGTACGAAACAGGAGCTGCATTGATCAGGTTCGTACCTCACCTGGGGAGTTATACCTCAACGCGTCCGCTCTTTCTTCCATTGAACAATCTCTTGTAATATCTTTAACTACTGAATTTCCATTATCCAATTTGGCCGCACCGGCTGAACCTAATTCTGCTCTTGTTAAATTTCCTACTCTTGTTGATTCTGGTTCTACTGACTCTTTCATCGATACTCGTTACGTTTCTCAAAATTCTATTCCTACAACCAAAATCTCTCCCATTAATCTTTGTCTCTTTGATGGTTCATTATCTTCTAAACCCATTACCAATATGGTGAATATTGCCATTCGGTTTCCTTCTGGCGAGCTGCTCCTATTGCCCTTTTATGTTACACATTTAGATTCATCTTGTAAAGCAGTATTAGGTTACAGTTTCTTATCCCACTACAATCCGTTGATTGACTGGGCATCTCGAAACATTATGTTCCGTAACACTTCACACTTTGGTTCTCCACAGACGTCTGTGCCTTCTGCCACCAACACCATTGATGCAAAGGTTGCTGTTCCGCTACTGGAACCTTTGCCGTTGGTTTCACCGACAATTCTGGAAATCCCTCCTGGGGATTCACTTTGCTCTTGCTCTCGGACGTTACAGGCCAAGCCCCTCTTGTCTAAATTCCCCTTTGAACCCATCTATTCCTACCCTATGGTCTCTCAATTCACTGCTCAACTGGAAACTCCCGAGGTCGACATTGCACTTGTAAGTGCTGCAGTCTTTAATAGGGCTTGCAAGGACGCTGGTATGGAACCCATCCTTCTTCGTGCTATCCACTCAGAGGTCGCGGCCCGCGCCGCCGACCGCTCCTCCACCACTCCTACTGTCCCTCCACTCCATCCTTCTATTCCAGAAGAGTACACCGAGTTTGCAGACGTCTTCGACGAGATTGCTGCAGATTCACTCCCTGAACACAGACCTTACGACTTGAAGATTGACTTGGAAGAGGGCGCTTCGCCGCCTCTCGGCTGTATTTATCCTTTGTCTGAAAAGGAGTTAGTCGCCCTTAAAGACTTTATTGACAAACAGCTGGCAACTGGTGCCATCACCCCATCATCCTCTCCTCACGGCGCTCCGGTCCTTTTTGTCCCAAAGAAAGATGGCAAACTTTGCCTTTGCATTGATTTCCGTGGACTCAATCGTATCACCAAAAAGGATCGTTACCCATTCCCACTCATATCAGATCTTCTCGACACTCCGAAAAGAGCTAAAATATACACCAAATTGGATCTCGCTCATGCTTATCATCTGGTCAGAATCACTGAAGGTGACGAATGGAAAACCACCTTTCGGACCCGCTACGGCTCATACAAATGGAAGGTTATGTCGTTCAGCCTTATGAATGCCCCTGCGGCTTTCCAGCGGTTTGTTAATGACATCTTCTCTGACATGCTCGATGTTTGTGTCATTGTCTATCTTGACGATATTCTGATCTACTCCAATACGCCAGAAGAACACCGAGAACATGTCAAGGAAGTTCTTCAGCGGTTACGGAAACATTGGCTTTACGCCAACCCCGAGAAGTGTGAATTCAATATGGATACTGTTGAGTATTTGGGTTATATTCTTTCTCCCGACGGATTGACTATGTCCAAGGAGAAAGTTCAGACAGTTCTAGAGTGGCCGGTTCCGAGGAAGGTTAAGAACATTCAGTCCTTCCTGGGTTTTGCAAACTTCT